GGACAGGAGCAGGCAGATTTATTTTGTTTGTGTCATGTAAATTTTATATATATATATTTTTAAAATGTAAATACTGGAGCAGCCCTGAAGTACGACTTCTTTGCCCAGCACATGGGTCGGCCCTGAAGTACGACTTCTCGACCCGGGACGTAGACAGACGTCCGGATAAGTGCGTGTAGAGGGATGCTCGACATGTTGGTCTTCGCCTTCTCTCCACCTGACGGATGGGAGGCTGGCAGGGTGGTGTGGATCCCTGCCATCCATGCGGTGATTGTGTGATTTCGGTTCGATTACCGGTGTTGGTTGGGCATCCAACGCGTCGGAATCTGTATATTTGTTGTTGTTAATTCCCCGTTTTCTATGCGGATCCCGAGGAGGGCTAGGTGGGCCGCGGGTCGTTTGTTCACGTGTCATTGCTTCACCTTTTTGTTGATTGATGCTTGTATATAGTGTAGAGTTGTACAGGTTGGTTATGGTATTTATGGTTGCTTTCTTGTTCTCTTTTCTTTTCCTGTTGAAGCTCGCGTATTTTTTTTCTTCTCTCTCTCCCTTTCGTTAATTTAAACTTTCTAATTATTGACAGCCGGGACGGCTGGAGGCTACATAGAGGGGGGTAATGTAGTGACATAAGAAGGGAGGGGCTGCTGTAGGCTCTGGGTTCCCAGGTGGGTCCAGACGCGTAATCCCCTGGGCGCCAGGCGCTGGGTTCCCAGGGGGTCCAGACGCTTAAGCCTCTCGGCGCCGCCAACGGGGGGGGCTGTGTGTGCTCTGTGGGATGTCTGGTGGCGCACACGGCCCCACCCCTCGTTGGGGACTGGGCATATAAGCGGAGTTCCCTGGACGATCGGGGCCAGTTGTAACTCAAGACCCAAGACCCACGACCAGCCATCTGAAGACCCTGGGATGCTGCGAGAGCCAGCGCTGGGACTCTGGAACTCCCGACGCTACGACCTTGTGAGGGCGAGTTCCGGAGCGTAGCCAGAGTAGAGTATCTAGGCTGTGTAGCTAGGCTGTGTACCTAAGCTGTAGCAGAGTACCAGGACTGTTGGAGTGTTGTGTTGTAATAAAGAAGTTACCTCTACAAGTGTCTCCGCAACCCGTTACATTTGGTGTTAGAAGTGGCTATCGAGACAAGAAGTAAGCCACGTACCTTCAGTCCTGACGGCGATGAAGAGGAGCAGGCAGCGATGGGGCGGCCAACGCCGGCCGACAGCGACGCTGCACCGCCGGCCGACAACAACGCCGCACCGCCGGCTGAGCAGCTGTCTGCTCCGCCGACCGTCCCCTCTCCAGCGTCGGGAGCAGAGATGGAGGAGGCGCTGCTTCGCCTCGCAGAGCTGCTCTGCGCCACCGCCTCCCTCCTGGGCGAGCTGCGGTGCTCGCGGCCGATGGCGGGAGGGAGAGAGGCGGCGCGGCGCTCGCCCGAGCCCGCCGCCGCCATTCCCCCCACGGATGTGAGAGATACTTCCGGGTGTGTCGTCACTTCCACCAGAGGAGCAGTGACCGCTGGGAGCGACGTCACTTCCGGGCCCAGCGTGTGCCAACCCGACGACGCCGCGTCATCAGCGCTGCGTCCCTCACCGCCGGGTGACAGCTGTTGGCAACCTAGCATACCGCGTCATCAGCGCTGCGACCGGACAGTGAGGGCGCCATTCTTACTGTAACCAGCGCCGGGGCCGGCACATGGACCGACTCGCTGCTCGCCGCCTTTGCTGCTCTGGCCAAAGGTTGGAGGTCGGGAGACCAGGCCCCTGACACTTCGTACATTTTACGCGCTCCGGATTAATGATTTTTTTGTTGATATTTTCTTCGTTGTCGTCGGGGAGTCGTGACTGTTGTTGGGTAAACTGTGTGGAGCTTCGCCCGTGAGTGTTGTCAATGTGTGTGCGAAACTTTGCTTGTGATTGTTAACAATGTATGGTTTATATTGAGCTTTGTTCGTGATTGTTAATGTATAGCTTGTGCTGTCATTGTTAACGATGTATATACTGTATGGGGCATTTATCTTGAGATGGTGACATGCTGCCAAGGATTTGGAATTGTCATGCTGGCTCTCAAATATCTTGGGGTGCAGATCCTGACCAGGATGGCCCAGCGGGTGTTGCGTGTCTAACACGAGAGTTGTGGTCCCGTCATGCTATGGCTGACGGCTTGACCTGACAGCCCGGAGATAGAGACACTCCGTGGCATGTCTAGCCTAGTGGGCTGTGTGCTCACATGGCTCGGAGAGTGTGGTCCCGTCATGCTATGGCTGACGGCTTGACCTGACAGCCCGGAGATAGACACTCCGTGGCATGTCTAGCCTAGTGGGCTGTGTGCTCACATGGCTCGGAGAGTGTGGTCCCGTCATGCTATGGCTGACGGCTTGACCTGACAGCCCGGAGATTGAAACACTCCGTGGCATGTCTAGCCTAGTGGGATGTGCGCTCACATGGCTCGGAGAGTGTGGTCCCGTCATGGAATAGCTGACGGCTTGACCTGACGGCCCGGAGGTTGAGACCCTCCGTGGTACGTCTGGAGCAGTAGGCTCACCCTGACGGCCCGGAGATTGAAACACTCCGAGGCGCGTTGAAACAGTGGGCTGGAGATTCGTGGTGTTCAGGGGTAGTTGTCCCGTTACGTTGGGACTGTATCCCTCAGTTGTTAGGGTGCATGTTGTGCAGGGAGTGAACAATGGGTCGTCTCAGATCGGTCGGTACAGCTATATGCTGCGATGCGAGTCTTGGAGAGAGATTGGGTCTCAGATCGGTCGGTACAGCTATATGCTGCGATGCGAGTCTTGGAGAGAGGTTGGGTCTCAGATCGGTCGGTACAGCTATATGCTGCGATGCGAGTCTTGGAGAGAGGTTGGGTCTCAGATCGGTCGGTACAGCTATATGCTGCGATGCGAGTCTTGGAGAGAGGTTGGGTCTCAGATCGGTCGGTACAGCTATATGCTGCGATGCGAGTCTTGGAGAGAGACTGGGTTGAAGTCCCCCCTGATATGGCCGACGTGCGCGGTTTTAGGATGGAGACGCCACGTTGGAAAGGCGGGGGGTGCAAACGGTTGACATGTAATGTCGGTGGTGGTCCTCATTGAGGGCTGCTGGGACGCAAGCACGGGATGCCTTTTGGAGATGCGGTTCATGCGTGCGGCCACCATTTATGGACAGGAGCAGGCAGATTTATTTTGTTTGTGTCATGTAAATTTTATATATATATATTTTTAAAATGTAAATACTGGAGCAGCCCTGAAGTACGACTTCTTTGCCCAGCACATGGGTCGGCCCTGAAGTACGACTTCTCGACCCGGGACGTAGACAGACGTCCGGATAAGTGCGTGTAGAGGGATGCTCGACATGTTGGTCTTCGCCTTCTCTCCACCTGACGGATGGGAGGCTGGCAGGGTGGTGTGGATCCCTGCCATCCATGCGGTGATTGTGTGATTTCGGTTCGATTACCGGTGTTGGTTGGGCATCCAACGCGTCGGAATCTGTATATTTGTTGTTGTTAATTCCCCGTTTTCTATGCGGATCCCGAGGAGGGCTAGGTGGGCCGCGGGTCGTTTGTTCACGTGTCATTGCTTCACCTTTTTGTTGATTGATGCTTGTATATAGTGTAGAGTTGTACAGGTTGGTTATGGTATTTATGGTTGCTTTCTTGTTCTCTTTTCTTTTCCTGTTGAAGCTCGCGTATTTTTTTTCTTCTCTCTCTCCCTTTCGTTAATTTAAACTTTCTAATTATTGACAGCCGGGACAGCTGGAGGCTACATAGAGGGGGGTAATGTAGTGACATAAGAAGGGAGGGGCTGCTGTAGGCTCTGGGTTCCCAGGTGGGTCCAGACGCGTAATCCCCTGGGCGCCAGGCGCTGGGTTCCCAGGGGGTCCAGACGCTTAAGCCTCTCGGCGCCGCCAACGGGGGGGGCTGTGTGTGCTCTGTGGGATGTCTGGTGGCGCACACGGCCCCACCCCTCGTTGGGGACTAGGCATATAAGCGGAGCTCCCTGGACGATCGGGGCCAGTTGTAACTCAAGACCCAAGACCCACGACCAGCCATCTGAAGACCCTGGGATGCTGCGAGAGCCAGCGCTGGGACTCTGGAACTCCCGACGCTACGACCTTGTGAGGGCGAGTTCCGGAGCGTAGCCAGAGTAGAGTATCTAGGCTGTGTAGCTAGGCTGTGTACCTAAGCTGTAGCAGAGTACCAGGACTGTTGGAGTGTTGTGTTGTAATAAAGAAGTTACCTCTACAAGTGTCTCCGGAACCCGTTACACATGAATGAGACTACTGTCTGCTTATATTTCATTCAAGGGTCCATCGCTAGTGATCTGCTGTGGTCATGTCTGGTATACAGAAGGGCATGGGTTTGATCCCGAACCTGACGCTTGATGTGTATTGGAAGTTTGCGTGTCTCTCTCTCAGTGGTCAGGGTCAATTTTTCTCCGGGTCATTCGGATTTTCCCTTCAAATTTAGAAACATGCATTTAGAGTCTGTGACTGAAATACATTTCCACATGATAAGCCACTTCTTTGAGCTATTATTTGTGGTCAGGTCTCTTCTGAAAAAGACCTATACAGCTCAGTGGCCCTTACTTAGGAAAATAATAATAAATAAATCGCCTCATCAATCGGGCCATTGGTAATATGCTACCACCTGATGTTTGGTGATTTGTGAATCATTTATGTCACATGAACAACTACCAAATATATATATTTTCAATATTTTAAGTGCTGATGTATCTGTCTGCAACCACTGAATTGACTGAACACACATTATCCTAAGTTTTTGATTACATTTCTTTAATGAAAATCAAATCACAACATTAAATTGTAAGCAGCGAATCATCTCACATCATGTTTAAGAACAGCATTCTCTTAGATTTTTTTAAAAGGCAATTCGGCAAAAGGATGGCCCGCTACCTGAATCAAGCATACGTTGTTTGAAAAAAAGGTTGAAACAATATCCCTGCTTAAAATGTGGGTTTATTAAACAAAAACGTGTCAAGTGGACAACTAACGCAACTCAAGCGAGATCACCGTGGCCCCTTTCTCAGGAACATCGTGATGCTCGGTTACGTTGAAGCATTTGATTAAGCCAAGAACAATCTGTCCAGAAACATACTAGTTAATTTTCAACGGGGAAGATAACTGCGTTCTGCAATTGCTCATTACAGAGTTGGAGGCAAGGGACAGGCGAAATGAGTACTATGGAGAGTATTGATCTAGTCATGCAATAGCCGAATTACTTTGTGCATTTTCTCCTAAAATTGCCACAACATCAAGTGCGTACCGCCGGTACTACGGTTGTATCTCTGAGCCTTGAGACACCTGTCCACTTGATCACCTTGTGACGTCAAAGTTTTATAGAAAGCAATCAACAAGAGACCAATTACCCGACCCAATACAAACTAAGATGACCGTACAAAACCAGTCTCAATCGCTAACATTCAAAGTGTCTCTAAAGCCATGTCCCACGCGTCGCCAAAATCTACTTGCTAAGAGCACTTGAATGAAATTAGCCAGACACTATTTTAAGAAAACACATTCAAGGGAATTACATTCGCATTCAACTTCAGAAAACAAAATCAGCACAATCATATTGTTATAGTAATAGGGTTTTACCCTTTCAACTGGTACAAAACTGACACCTTTATACAAGGCATCATGTTTGCAATAACCACAACACAAGCAGTCAAAATGCAAACAAAAAGAAACAACTCTGATGATGATAATAAAGTTGATTGGTCCACACCGGAGACAGCTTTTCTTAGAGCCTAGTCTACACCAATGGAGACGAGGCTCGAGTCTCCATTTTGACTGCTTGTGTTGTGGTTATTGCAAACATGATGCTTTGTATAAAGGTGTCAGTTTTGTACCAGTTGAAAGGGTAATTACTATATTTTGCCACTGGTAAAGGAGGTATCATAGTGTTAATCATATTGTTTTCGAAGATATTTACACGTGCACTAAATATAATATAGATTTCTTTTTTTTTTTGCTCCGGATAAAATCATTTGTGTTTTTTAGAGGCTGCCATTTCTTTGCCTACGGTGGCGTTACTGTGTTTGGCCCTACAGAGCCAGCGACAGCAGATCGTGATGAGCGCAGTCAACACGCTTGTCACCAGGACTATGGCTGCCAGCAGAAACGCCGCCACATCAAAGCCGGCCTCCTGGTACCAGGTGAGGTGGTGAGCCGCCACTCGCAGGTGCTCCGCACCGTGCCGCATCACAAACTCCACCCAGAACACTGCCCTGTCCATGGGCTTCTGCGGCTGGTCGTGGTGCAGACGCGAGAGAAGTGATGACTTCTCCTTGTAGCTGCTAAGAAAATCCGACACGGCAAAGGATGCAGTAGGTCTCTATTTGGTGTTTGAACACCTTAACACCTGTTTTATTGCCATAAAGGGTAAAGCCTATTCTTGTATTTCTTTTCGTTATTTTGATACTGCCATAAAGGTCCCACAAATAGGCGACAGTATGTTCTGTACGTATGTTGGACTTCTTTTCGCATCGTACGTAGCCAACCGCGATAATCGGAGGTGCGGGGCAAGGACGTAACGCAAACAGCAGTATCATTCATTTCGCATGACCATGAAGAGCCACCAGCAGCTGCTATCACACCGTGACCACCCCTGCTGTCACTTTGAGCAAGGAGTCCCCTGTCTTAGGTTGAACTAATGGGCTATTATGGACCCTAATTGCACGTGACGGCTTTATTGCATTTTTGAGTTTCTGCTAATCAATTTTAATTACATCTAGTTGACTAGTTAAAAGAAAATTATGTTGAAGAATTAACTAATGCACATTTCATCGGCTCATCAGAGCTCCCTCCAGCCCATTAATTTACGTCGACTGCGCTTAATCATCGTTGGAATGTGTTCCTACCCACGCCAGCAATGTCTACTCGTTAATATATAAATTCGTGCACCACTTAAATTACGGAGCACAAAGAGAGATTATTAGTACACGTGGCACGGCCTTCTGTATATCTGACTCTCAGTATGTCGAGCGCAATGTTGATTTACAAAGAGTCGAAATCCAATGCAACGTCGCATCATGACGCTGCGCATATTCATCCCCCGTATCTGGAAACTTTGGCAATGGTATGGCCGTCTCTTTAATTGCTGGAATGATCGCAATGGACTCTTTTTCGTGGTGGCGAGGAGGGATGTAATTGCAGTCCTCCCTCAACAAGGGGTATGGGGGGGCTGTATTCAGAGGAAGCTCCTTCTGGTATTTGTTTAGAGAGGCATCAGCTCAAGTCAGTTATTCAGCCCACCAACGATGACGTGATTTCTCACGATCCGAGGTCATGATACAATGCAAGATTGGAATAACACGAAAAAATGTGTCATTGTCTCTACCATCCGATTTCTTCAGTATTCTCACTTTTTTGTCTCCATCGGTACAGAAATTTTGCCCTCTGTAAGCCTGAATGTATAGATTATTGTCAATAATTAAATCAATGATTACACTCACGATCCAATAGGTGTATTTGGAGCATAATAAATGATTAAATTAACGCATTACCACTTGACAGCATGCATTGTGACATTTACCCTAGACAGTAAGAAATATTATTTGTGAATGTTATCAAAAGTGCAATGTTTTATATCTTAAAGCTCTCTACCATGATTTTTGGTAAACATTATATACGTCAATGAAATAAACACAAAAAGCAGTTCTATAGAAATTAGTTTTCAATCTAGATTTAGAAGTGCATCGCTCCAGTGGCTTCCTAATATTGGAAGAAAGAGCATTCCAAACGACCGCAGAAGCGCATCTGAAAGAGCGCGATGCAGTGACAGTCTTTGTTCAATGGTTCGAGCGGAAATCTTACGAAATTCAACTCATAATCAAATTGCAAAAGCCACAAAGTAGGTTAGTTTGGCATGGCAGAGTGCGATGAGACTGCACGCCTTTCCTACACAAGCTCCCACCGGTGCGATATTACCAGCCAATCGCTTGAGACGCACCGACCCACCACCGTACCTCTTGTGAGTGGCGATTGTGGAGATAGACAAGGCGAGAGAGCCAGCGTCGAGGGAGTGAATGTTGAGCACCAGTGCTGCACCCTTGTTTTGCATGCGGGCCATGTTTTCGAACTGGTCCCCGAAGAGTGGCAGGCCGAGCATGGGGACGCCATAGCAGATGGCCTCGAAGATGCCGAGCGATCCCCCGTGCGTCACGAATACACGAGTCTTAGCGTGGGCTGTCGTCCACCGGCACCATCACAGCCAGACAGGAACACAACGCATATTCGGATGTTCTTTTGAACACTTTGTTCAATAAACTATAAACTAAAACTATAAATTATTTTTATTTTGCGATGTAAGGCCCACTGAGCTATACAGCCCTTTTCCAGAAGCGACCTGGCCACAAATAATAGCTCAACTAAGTGGCTTATCATATGGAAATGTATAGTAGCCAAATACTCTAAACGCATGTTTTTAATTGTAAAGTGATAAAGCAGAGGAAACTCCACGCGACCACGGGGAGAACATACACATTTCAAATATCCAAACGCCAAATATACAGGCATGAGGGTTGAGATCGAACCCACGACCTCCTGTATACCTGGCGAGATAGTTCATATCACTGAGCGATACATAGCTTTGGAACTGGAACATAAAGTGACTTTGGTCAAATATTAATGATTTGAGATGTTGTACAAGCATGTTTTTCTCAGTTTGTGATGGCACGTTAGCTGCATTCTAATTCTCAGCCATAACCATATCTGACTTTCGGGCCGGATGCTCTGAGCTATCGGCAAAAAAAACAGTAACAGTTTCATGCCGTTCACATAGCCAGAACCATGACTAGTTTATACGACTGTGTATTTTACTGAGGTACATTTTTAGTTTTTTCTCCGCTGGTGCGTCATCTGGTCCAACACCAGCGGAGACGGGGCTCTAAGAAAAGCTGTCTCGGGTGTGGCCCAATCAATTTCAAGGACAGTGCATATCATTATCAGAGTTGTCACTTTTTGTTTTCATTTTGACTGCTTGTGTTGTGGTTATTGCAAACATGATCCCTTGTATAAAGGTGTCAGTTTTAGTGTTAGGTAAAAGGGTAAAACCCTACTACTATCTCAACACCTGTTTGTTTGTTACCAGATAAAAGGGGGAAACCTATTCTCATACCTGTGTTGGACACAACTAGGATTTGCTCCCTGGATCCCAGATGTCCAGAAACACTTTAGGGCTTGCTTGAAAATGAGTTGATGCTGTTTAATAAATAAATAAAGTATGCACTTTTTAAAATGCTGATTATAATTACTGTATAGGTGTTACCACACGCACCTAAGAGGTCCCTCTGTGGTAACCAGGGCATCACTTTTGTGTTGTTTGAGAGCTTTTCGACAGTTGGTCCTTCATAGCGCCATATAACCTTTGGAGTAAAACATAAACGAATCAGCAGAGTTTTCACCAGCAATCAATGCTCTAGATATCGTGTCACGCAAGCTAATTCTATATATATTGTAATCACCTTCCATGATACGACACAATGTAAGTAATGGGTGTGAAAAGTTAAAGGGCCCAACTGCATTCAATGTGATAGTGTATTAAAATTATTGCATACTGACGAGCTTGTTTCATTGCTCCAAGAGAAAAGAAAGAATATTGGTGAGAATATAGAAGAAAAACATTGATGTCTGCTGGTTAAATTGACATTTTCAGTCCATATGTACTCTCTAGGCTATGCATAATCAGCTTGTTGTCCTTCTCCTGCACCTTCGATTAGCACGGTTGGCTACGTACGGTGCAAAATAAGTTCAACATACATTCAAGCCATACAATTATGGGACATGTGCGAACACTGTGGTGCTGGATTACTCTGCATCTTTGATACAGATGTAATGTCAGCAAAAAATACCCATGCGGGATTTGGCCAGTGGGAATTAACGTTTAACAGTCTAGCAAATGAGTAAAGTGCATGCCGGTATTTTAAGGTAAGCCAACACCCCCAGATTTAAGTATTGTCTAATAAGGCAAGATACAAATGTATAACAAATAAAAAATAACAGTTCAATTTAAAAGTAACCCAATAACTTAGTGATGTTTAAAATCCACTGTTTAAAAGTAGGTCACAGAGTCCACAGCTCATTGTAAATGATTGTCAGATTTAATTGTAAATGGGGCAATAATGCAATGTCTCGTACAATGACTGCAAATATTGTCTCGGGAATTAATCACATTAGGAACAATGCCTTGGATATCCAACAGTGCGAATATAAAACTCGCGTGGCCACAACGTCAATCTGCAGCAGTGTGAATATTTAGATTAATATTTCAATATCACACCAAAAAAATTGAAGCAATATGTAACTGGATTGTTTGCGCATTTGGATTAAGCTCTGTTGTCAGCGACTTTGGGGAAACCTGTTCTCTGGGACCTTCCACAATTATTATTATCGCGCGCAAGGCTTTGCCAAGCCAAGTGACAGCTGCCACTTCATCAGCAGCGTGGAGGGCCATAAAGGCATAAACCACCGTCGAGTCCAGTCAGAGGGGAATCGTCGACAATGTGCGACACGGTCAGCCACTGACGACATGCACAGAGTGGGTTGTGGTCACGCTGGTCGCAGCTGTGGAGGTTGGCTGCACATAAGACCCAGGCCCGCACGGAAACTGCTGAGCAGGGCCCATGGCGTGGCGAGTTGATGCCAGGAAGACGAATGGTGAGGATGAGGGATGAGAAAGTGGTTCTTGATACCTTCCACTATGCAAGGAGGGTAGCTTCTTGCATTGGGAAGCCAGTTGGAAGGCACTTGGTTCATATTCATTTCCTCAACTCAATGGCTGGATATACATAAATACTAACACACAGGGGCTGAGTCCAGTGACAACCACTCTCAGGTTGGCACTCACATAGCAGGGCTTAGACTTTTACTTGTGTTTTGCATCAACACATATGCATGATATGTAACTCTTAAAAGCTATATATATATATTTACAGCCCATGAAAGACCCATTTATGTCACATTTTTCCAGCAGCAATCAATTAAAACATAACTGACATAGCACTTGGTTATACCTTGTGCAATCATGAAACATGTATTTTGTACAAAGTTGAGTTTGATTCATATTTTGGAAGCCGTCGGAGAGGACCACATATTAATTCAGTCATCCGCATGTCATGCGTAATTTCCTTATTACCTTTTGAGGGATTCTGCCCAGGCCCTCTGCAATAACGTTGGCTATTCTATGAGGAATGGCTGACACCAAGGATCCAAATGATACCACGACCACACCATGCTCCCCAGAACTCTGCACAAACTCCTCCAAATCCTGCAAAAGAAAACCCACACACATGTATTAAATAGGCGTTTTATATTAGTCACAGTGTCTAATTATATTCTTTAGTGTGTAAACATATAATTAAAACGGGTTGTCTTTTATAATCCTGTCATTTAAATACAATTGACCTATCCTTAGCAAGGAATTATATATTTGTAGATTTTTTCCCCCCAGAAATTAAACTCTGCCAACTGTTTCCCAACTTGCTTCCATTATATGAATATTATGCATATGAATAGAGCACGTCACAAACCTAATACTTTCTTGTATTATACTGAAGCCAACGATGTTTTCAGTTTATCTATGTGTAAGCGTGAATATAACAGCAAATGACTCATGCAGGTAAAGAGTGTAGGAAACAAATACCTGTGGAAGAGGTTTAGCTTCACCGGATGTCAAACCTCCGACGTTCACCATGTTGGGCATAGTCGGGCGGGGATAGTCAGAGACAAAGTCTGTCCGGTGCAGCCAGATGGACGCATTGCTAAGCAGCTCCATTGTCGTAACGTCCCGGCCCAGGTGGCGCCTGGCCAGCTCATCAAAGCGTTTCAGAATGAAGTCAATACACAGGTGATCCTGCTTTAAACCCATAAACATGTTGGTGACCCGCTCGGTGAAACTCATTTGGTCTGTGAAGCCTGACATACTTTGGGGAACGTACGACGATGGTGCTGGGCAGTGGGCAGCTTTTAAGTCGATATTGCATGGAATACCACGCAAAAGAAATATTGACGGGAGCCCCAGTGCGTCAGCTAAAATTGCTCCACATGGATCTATGGGGTCAGCGAGAAGAACCTCAAAGTTATAGGTTCGAAGTCGCTGCATCACAGCAACATTGCCAAGTAAGCTATCACACATTACGGCACACTTCTTGTAGATACTCTCAAAGCTCCTAAAAGTGAATTCTGTAACGCCATCCGTTTCTTTAAATACCACTTCTCGTAAAAACGTGTCGAACACGTTATCTTGATCAACAAAGGGCACAGGGAAGGTCTCCGAGTCTAGCCCAGGCGTCTCCCCCACCATCCAATTACCTGTCGCGGGCAATGCCACGACCACTCGGTAACCACGCCGAGACACGGCGAGGGACAGAGCACGCAGGCTCATCCAGTGGCTGCCATCAGTTGGGTACACCAGCATGCCACCCACAGCACGGTCACCGTCAGATTTCTCCTGGCCCACGGCCATGTGCATGAAGGCGAGGGTTAGAGCAAAGCTGAAACACCACCGCATGGCCTGGCAAAAACAATACACAATTGATCGAAATACAGTCGTGGTTTAGCTATTGTCTTATTGTTTTTTTTATTGGTTAATATTTCAGCTAGAAATTGTGATTACTCTAAAGACTAGAGATAGGATGAAGCCAAATTTGGATTAAAATTTGATTTGTGTGGCACTTTTCTCGGAGTTGATCAATCCAAATATGTATTCAAAATCGTATGCATTTTTGGGCAGAGATGTTCAGCCTGTAAATTTAGTGTGTTTAAGTGTAAATCTGTGGTACACAGTTACACACTGCACATTACATACATGACATTTATATTACACATTTAAACACGAGGCAATCACATACACACACTAAATATTGGTATGCTATATGTAGACACGAAACTAAAGGTCTACAAGTTAAGGAGTACATCTTCTTGGTTCTTTTGGTAAAGTCACGTAAAAGGGAAGTAATAAAATAATTAAAATAAAACATAATAAAATAATTCTCATGACGTTTCGGCCACAACGCAAGCAGCCGTCCTCAGGTGAAGACCCCCGACAGACCTGGTCTTCACTTGAGGACGGCTGCTTGCGTTGTGGCCGAAACGTCGTGAGAATTATTTTATTATGTTTTATTTTTGTTTTATTTTTATTATTTTATTACTCCCCTCCTACGTGACTTTACCGAAAGAACCAAGAAGATGAATCCCTGCAGTCACGAAAGCTTTAAATCAAATTTAAGGAGTACAGATAATAGTATATACTGTTGTGTTAATTCTTGGGAAAAAATTGGTAGTGAATCTTTATTTCATGAACAATTTACGTAATGTTTCACAAGAAACGATTTGGAACTGGATTGCTATGTGGCAAATTTGTATTTGATCACCTATGGACAATAGTTTATCTTATATTGGTCTTTTTCTGTCCTAACGAGACAGGTTGCTCAAGATTGAGTTGATGGACGTTTGTCTAGATGCTATATGGATAACATATTGTATAACTACGTAAAATATTAACTTCAACAACAGATAACATTGTAAATGGCCCCCTAATTTATACGTACAAAATCATCATTGTAAGCTTTTTCCTTTTTTCCAGAATGTTATGACTTTACAAATGTAAACTGACCATCTGTGGTAAAATAACAGATGTTGGCAACACAATGAATGAATCAAAAGTCTTTGGTTCTTTCGGTAAAGTCATGTACGTAGAAAAAATAATAGATCACGACGTTTCGATCGCAACAACAAGCGACTGTCTTCAGGTAACAACAACAACTTCAGGTGAAGACGGTCGCTTGTGTTGCGATCGAAACGTCGTGATTTATTATTTTTTCTACCTACGTGACTTTACTGAAAGAACCAAAGAGTATGGATTCCTGCAGTCACGAAAGCTTAAAATCAAGATTGAATGAATCAAAGTTAATATTTAGTTTAAAATGAAGCGATGTGTACTAACATGACATGTCAGAAGCAAGCATTAGAAAATATTCATTATGGATGTTATGATTTGTCATTTGGCAGTTATTTGTTACTTTCTGCGTGTCTTTGAAGCTGATACGAGTTATCACATTAGATTCCTACATTATATAAACAAATGATAATTAACATATTCAAAGTTATGTCCTCTGCAAATACGAATACAAGTTTGTGCATTGCCATTTCGTTTACTTTTTGCATTGATAAAGATTTGTGTTCATCTGATTCAGTTAAGGATTCGAAAGCTCAGAATAAAATTCAGATTTGATTTATTCGGCTATGATGGATTTGTTTAAAGACAACTGAACATATATATACGAGAGAACTGCATGTCTTATCTTGAAACAGTATACATCATATTTTTTGGTATTCAAAGTATGTTTTTTGGTCAAATTTCCAAAAAATAGTATCCATTGCAGTTTTACAAATTTATTCTGTACAATGTAACATATCATGATGGCATATTGTTTGCAAACATACATTTAAAATGGGATATTTTTAAACAATTTAGACATTCATGAAGTGCAGAGGATGAAGGTCATTGGTGTTAAACATGACCTTCGTTAATGCAGCTGGGGTCTCAAAAAAGATTAGTCATGCCATGATGCCAGCTTTTATCTGGCGTAACCTTGGCGAATTCCTCGCGTTATTTTATGCGAAATCATATGCTTTTGCAAGAGCCACATTTCCAATTGTAGTCTGCCCTTTCCACCATGACAAAAGAATAGATTTTCCCAACCAATTTTATGCTGATTTTGATATCGGCATCATGTCGTCAGGTGGAGAGTACTTTCGGAGATCTTACGGAGAAGTGCAAGCCTTTGTTAGAGAATGGCCTGCAGAAGCAAATATCATAGAGCTACCCCTGAGATATGTTTAAGTGACCACTGGTGCGCAAAATAGGGGACAGCACTTTATCCATCCGCTCTGCATACGAGCGTAATGTTAATCGCATGACAGTCTAACCGATATTTTAATTCTCAGTGCTGGAATTTGGTCAAATAACATGCTGAATCAAATTCAGACCATCAACTACAGTAACTACAATGGAGAATTTGGTCCGAGGATAATGATATGTAGTCAAAAAGCTAATTTCTAGCACTTGTACGTACTGTTGGAACAGCAACTTACAGAGTGCAATGATAAATCTTAACGGCCTATATACTGTATTGTGCTGGTTAGTAGATACAATGTAAACAGATTATTATAGTGTATAAATGATGTGCAATAATCTCGTAGAATTTGGAAATGAAAAATTCTTGCAGCCAAGCCAATCAAAAAAATAATCAGGAAGACCCAACTTGAGAAAATGCCTTCATCTAAGAAAAACACACGGATTTCTAACTGCTATTAAGCAATCATAACAAAACGGCTTACAAAAAAAACCCATTTTAACATTCCAACAATGTTAAACTCCCCACAAAAACTACATTTTAGATATCAGTCATAGATTAAACAGTGATGGGTCCTCACCAGTTTAATAACTGAATGTTATTGTTTGTTATAAACAATATATATCCAACAACAACGCAGCGTTAATCCAGGTACTTGGCTTAAATATTCTAAAAATACTTTTCGTACTTACTGCTTAATCTTTTTCTCTGAAGTAACTTAGATGCTCGGACGAGGCAGCAAATCTTGATTTAGGAGACTGTGCTTTGTAGAAATTGTGCTCATTCGGAAGCAGAGAAGGCAATCGTCCAATTAAGAGGAGCGTGGCAGAAATGTTATAAACTATCAAAACACCACGAATGCAGCTACGCTGTGAACACTGCAAAACGTTGAAACACGTTACACAGCGCACCGTTCAGTAGGTGTGCTCCCTTTGGTTAAAAAACAAGAAACGCTGGACTTTGACTTGATAAAAAAAAGTCTACTTTCTAACTGTTGCACACTCGAAATGAAGGACGTGGGCAGGTGCTCCAAATCGAGGGCAAGCACATTTATTTATTGTGGTTAATATTAATCTTGTGAAGAACAGCACCGTCACGCTGTAAAATGCACCAGCACGTGTCACACACAGCAATTATTCCGAGTCGCCATTAACCATGTGGCTGGTGTATCCGCGCGGTCATTCAATAACCCTGCCAGCTACCTACAGGCCCAACTCAGTCATCACATGCTGCTGTACACACATGCATTGATGCACTGCACAGCACATCAGGACTTTCACAGAACCACACTTTACTCCCTTGCTGCACACGGACACACTTAAAAGAGTGATCCATTCCTAATGTGCCACACTCTCCCCCACAGAATGAGTGTCGTCTCGACACTCCACCTTTCTCCTTGCAAACATTTTGCAGTCTTTTTTCCTTAAACTGGGCATGAAAGGAGTTTATGAAATCGTGAGCACAATTTCTCTAGGGATCATATCCCTTCCAAGATAGCGCCACTCCAGAAGCTCTCTATTTTGGGGTGAGCTCCAACTCTTTGTGCACGAAGAGATAGGAGCCCAAGCATTGTATTATGCTTTTGGAATTACCAGACAATCTGGTATTATTAAACCATGCTTCACATTTTACTGACCAGAAATGGTTAGGATTATTTTCCCAGTACCTGCCAAGATAAAATCCTTTACAGCTTGTCAATGCCATGTGGAATTTACCTCTTAGGTACTTACTTATCGGCCTACCAACATACTTTAAACCATTTCCTCACCATTTTTTTCTCATCTTAGGCAATGACCCATTCTTAACATATTAAACACAACACTAACAAACCAAAAACATCTTAAACAACTAACAACAATATGACTACAGCTTATATCTTGTCTTGATCACGCATGTTGTAGGGCTTCTTCTTCACCGCCAGCTCCGTCGTCAGCAGGAACTTGATGATGGCGTAGTGGCCCATCTTGTTGTGCGTAGGTGTGCTCTTGCCCGGGTACTTGGGTTGCAGCTGCAGCCACAGCATGTGAGGCCTGCAGAACGTGGGGAAGGTGTGCACCTTGCGGTGGCGCACCGCGTACACCTTGCGCAGCACCTTCTTCTTGACCTTCTGCGCCTTGGCCCTCACCTCGCCCTTGGGCTGCGCCTCGGCCCCGCGGGCCTTGCTGCCCTCAGGATACCCCTTGCCTTGGTGATACGCCACAGGTCTTACTGCTGCTGGATACACAGATTTCACCGGCTGTAATTGTCCGAGGGTGACCCGCTGATCAAGTGTGAGATGCTGTGTTTGGTTGTGTTCATCACTGAGATTGGTATGCAGGATGAGTTGCCTCTACTCAGTGTCACCAGGACCTCGTTGATGTTTAAACCCTCTGGCCATTAGGGCTTCTCTTCAGGGACAAACAGCATCACTTCATTTTTCCCCAGCTGTCCCAAATGAGCACGACTTCGAACCATTGTGGCTTGACCTGGTGGTAGCACCACTCTCTGTTTGCCTGTCTTGACTGCCCCACCATCACAAAAGAGTGATCCATTTCTAATGTGCCACATAACCAGTTGAATTGCGCAACACTCTACAAGCTTGACATTTTTTTCCAATAAGAAGTGAGGGTGTTAATAAAATCAGTACTACCTATTCATTGGCCTGGTCAGCTTTTCTAGACACATTTGTTTAAATAATAATTAGCTATTTGTCTTTCAAATCTATCCCCCTACGTACAACATTAAGTATTTTTTGCAAATTCGATCAGCCATAAGGCCTCATGGGAGTGCATAATTTCAACATACTTGCCTATAATTAAAAAAACCCTATGTTTTACCCACACTTATTTCGTGAATCGAAAGCAAAATATTCTATTGAGAACTCGGAGGCACGGAGCCAGAACTCCAGGAGTCCTTCATACGCCGGCATGAACATGAGAGAGCCTTGAGCCGTCCCTTGAGAATGAGTGGTGCTTGGATGCTGTTGCTGCGTGTGTGCAGTGGGAAAGAGTTCCAGATGGCTGATAGTGCAGCTACGGAGAAACGTCGCTCAGCCAAAACAGTCCCTGCTTCTTGGTATGAAAGGGAGTCCACACGAGTCGTCCTGCTAGGGAACATTATTGTTCCATCAACACCGACAAGAACATTTGTTGGGCACCACCACTGTTGTTGACGACCAGTCATTTCTTTCCCGGAGCCCTCTGGCTTTGTTTTCCACCTACCCCCCTTCTCTCCTTCTTCCGTGCCAATCTGTGTTTCTCCCCCATTCCCCATTTCCCCCACCTTTCCTTGCCAGTGCCATTCTTCAGTTATTTCTCTCGGGGTGGACCCTTATTCTCTTCATGACCCCTACACTCAATCCTGACCATGTCTCCGAGCAAACTCTACAAGTGTAATAAATAAGCTGTTAGATGTACCCCGTAGGACGCGTAGGTTTGCTGTGGTGGTTTGAGTGAGAAGGGTGGAGAGATGTGGCAGGAGACCTTGAAAAACAGATCTATGGCACCGGATAGCGATTTTTGTACTGGGTCCTTTATTTGATCGGTATCCAGTGCAAGCTAATTTAGCATAGCCATGGAAGCCTTATGACTACACCTAATGCTGAGGTCGGTGCGTGACAGGTCATTTTGAAACCTCTGTAGTTTAAGGTGCTTTGCTGGAATTCGAAAAAGGATGGCGTTATAATAATCAACATATGGCAGTTTAACACATAGGCTTTTGGGACCTATATCATCCATCATACAGTTTTTTTGGGGTTAGATCACGTAAATATAAATGTGTCGTTAAACCCACCACCACCACCCGACACAGCTAATTAGTAAGGGTTGTCACTTAAACAACATTCCAATTCGTTACTAGTGTAGTGAGTCCAACTGAGTCGCAGATGTTGTTTTGGGAGCAACACTATTTATTCAATAAATCAACATAACATAACACAACCTACACTTGGGTGTTGAATGCTCATCTAGCCACGCTATGGCAGAACTAGACAAGGTTCGCTATTCTGGCCCGGACCACAAGCTGGGTCCTGGAACGCATGGCTAGAGGCTTCTTTTTACCCGACGTGGATCTTCATCACCAGCAACACGAAGAACCCCGAGCCCCTCCCTCACGGGGCCCCCGTTATATCGGCCTGGGCTGGGGCTGGCTCCGCCCCTCGCCCCGTCCACCTTCTAGATCTCTCGAGCTCTTTCCCGAATGCTCCCCGAGAGCTCTTCGATACCACGTGACCGCCCAGCGGCCCCACCGGTGGCCCCCCTCCAATATCATCCGGTAACGTGTTGGCAGGTCAACCAGCGTATCATGCCCCAACGTAACCCTGGCTGGCTGACACTCCTTCTCGCTCCCTCACCGAGAGCCCGCACCGCACACTGTACGTGGTGCCTCCGCGCTAACCAGCGCTCACCCAAGCCTCACTAGGGCTGGTACTACACCCAACAAGCGGGCTACACATAATGCCAACACATTCTCCGCCGTGGTTTCGTAACCCCGGCACCACATAATGACAATCACAGTCACTACACTAGTACAGCACATCTGTGTGTTGGAGAGTAAATTCACAACATTTGCAATCTGAGTACGACGTTGCGCCAGTAATTACAACCAGCATCATCAGGCGACAGCCAGATTTGTGGAGAAATTCTCCTGTTTCATTTGGCAGTTCACAAGTTCAAGCAAGCCTGACTGCTGATAAGACACTGACTGTCGAAACTGGTCCAGAGTTTGCCTGCATTGAACCAATGCGGCTGAAATTATGAACTGCCAGAATGGCTGATGTAATGTATTCAAAGTATTTTTGTTCATGTTTTATGAAGAGGCACAGATGTATGAAGAGTATTGTTTACTTATTTATTGTGATGCATATATTCTGCACAATGACGTTAATTATGATAGCTACACTTAAACACATATAAAGAAAATAGTTTTAGGTATGTTGGAGAAAGTTGAGTGGTATAATGTGTTTTTTTATCCCTGTTTCGTCAATCCAATTTAACAAAACATCTTATCTTGACATTAATGACTATGGTAAAAGTGTTACACCCTAACTCCCCTTGTAATGTACACAGTACTTTCAATACATCATGTTTGATTTGGAATACATTAACAGGACCCTGCGGGGTGGGCTGGTAGGAATAATACTTAGTACCGGTACAGAGATATCGACCAGGTATAGAGGAGTTAAAGAAAAAATTACTGTATTCTAGTGTAACGTTAATTAAAAGTGTTTGTTTTGACAAGAAACGCTGTGAGATTTAAAGACTCGTAGTCTTTCATTTCCAACACCACCCTCAACACCACCCCTCCCACGGACGGACGGACGGACGGACGGACGGACGGACACATTAATCTATTGGTGGTCTGGTCCACTTCGTTCCTACCAGTAAAATAGATGACTATACACCACGGTATCCTAAAACTATTCTCGATACTACAACCTCAGTCATGGGTAACATTATATAATCATGTTTATTTTTATATCGTGTGGTTCATGCAAATGGCATCTCACAGCGCTGATGAACTAGTGAAGCTGAAGGCAGCCAGATGGTGAGCCGACCCCAACAATTGCCCAATCTCTGGAGTCCTCTCTATATTAAGATGTTTTCAGATAATTACTGGGCCTTTATATAAATGGGAGGGAACTGGAGCACCTGGAGAAAACCTACACGTATTGGGGGCAACACTATCCCAGACGGAAGGGACAGATTAAATTAATCTGCACTTTGCCCGTACCGCCTTTTTATGGCAAGTCAGGAAACGGCAGGCACCTACACGCCAATGGAAAGGGAGTTTCACAAACATCTGTGTGACCCACCAACCCTCCCCTGCACAGTGAATTACAGGCAGACGCCACCACAGCCCAGCTAATTATTCCCACCATAAATTGTCTGGTGGCAATGTTTTTAAAAGGGCCTGTTTGTGTACTATATAATAAAATGTATTATATTAATTCCATAAGAATATGAAAAATTTCTCCAAACAAATATGACTATTAGAATAGAATTAAGTCTCCTGTCCGATGATGCCGACTAATCTCTCAAATCTCACCCATGTTTCAACATAAAGTTTCAACTTATTCGAGAAGGAAACGCTTTTCTGTTCATATTGTGCTGAATAAATGTAAAACTGGGGTGTGACAGTAATTCAAATTGACTGAAGTGAACACGTTTAGCCGACGCGTGCCTTTTGTTTTAGTTTCCTGTGTGGCAAGCTAATTTCTTTTTATAATTAAGCATGTTATTCAATTACTCATATTAACGCTTAGTAAGTTAATCGGATGGAATAATTTTCCAAACTAAAACTTTACTTGTCACACATCAGCTAACACAAGCCACATCATTTGAACTTCAATTTCGACTGTTCAAGGGGAAAAACGTGCAATGATTACTTAAGGAAAATAAATAAAGTTTCTCACACACACACCACCACACACACTGTAGCTTGCCAGATAAATACTTCTGTAGTAACTTGTAACGTCACTAACGTGTGGGTCTGTACACACATGACGTCACTACGTGTGTATGTGGCACGGCCGGGTCGGGGAGCCTGGAGGCCATCGGTCAGTGCCACGGGGGTCGTGTGAGGCCGTGGCACCCTGCATGAACCCGGCCGGACACGTGACCGGATCAAGGTGGGGGCCGGGAGCCCCGGGGGGACCTTGGAGGCCACGTGGCCAGAAGCAGAGCCTTCTCGAGGGTTCTCGAAGGTGGGCGTGGCCTGGGTGTGGCCTGGCCATGTCGAGGCGCATATAAGGGGGCTCTGCACCTGGTGCGGGGCTGCTCGGGTCCGGGATGAAGATGCCTCGTGAAGACGCCTCATGAAGAGTGAAGCCAAGCCTCATGTCAGCGTGGCCAAGCAGTAGCCCTCCTGGCTTTGCCACGCCAGTTGTTTTCAGTGTCAGTGTTAGCGAGGATAGGTCGGTGGTCACCACACTATTTGTCGTGTGATTCCACGTTGTTAATAAAGTGTGTGCGCCTTTATCGAACCATTTCACTTCCTATCATACAGAATGAACATTTAACGTCACCATTTATCTTCTGGGACCATGTCTCTACCTAATACACCCCCCAGTGGAGCTCTGCCATTTCATACAAATACTTTTGATACGTCACACTTGAGTTGATAGCCTACGCCGTGTGTCGAGATTGCAGCTGCATCTGTTCAGTTCCAGTCTGAAGAGCCATGTTTAAGCATCCAAGACCGAACAGGCCAGCACACCGGCACTTATTCATAGAATGTTGTGCACAGAAATAGAAATATTTTGTCACTGAAATCATTCAAATAATACCATAATTTTGTTATTCGTTTTTTTTTCTCTGTTTTATTTCATATGTTATCATATTGTGCTGTAGTGGTTGCTGTGTTTGTTATGGTGTGTATTGTGTTGGATTCATCTTGCATCCACACCAACAGCAGCTCCAGAGGATGGCTGCTTGCGTTGTGGCCGAAACGTCGTGAGAATTGTATTTTATTATGTTTTATTATTCTTTTATTATTATTATTTCCCTTCTACGTGACTTTACCGAAAGAACCAAGAAGAAAAAAAGGAGCAGCTCCACAGTTCTCTCCAGCAGGAATTTTCTGCCCCTACACCAGCCTCCAAAGCGCTGGCCCCTAGCCTGCTGGACCGGGCATTGACAGCAGAGGTCGCAAACGGGTTTTGATTTCTTACCCGCACCCTACCCGAAATGAGTGACAAACGGTTACTCACTAGTGACTCACGGCCTACCCGTACCCGGCCGCACCAGGGTCGCAAACGGTATCCGGGTATCGGGTAGGGTACGGGTATCGGGTACCCGGTTGCGACCTCTGGCATCGAGACACCACCGGCCTTGCCAGCCTGGAAGCAGCGCCTGCCCTCTGAGGGAAACCACCCAGGCAGCCGTGGCCATGTAATCATGGCTAGTGACCAATCTGTACTGTGGCTCACACAACGAAGGGTCACGTTTCTTTTTTTAATAGAAACCGTTTGATACAGTCACAACAAAGGACACGCTCATATGCAAAGTAGGGTTGGTAGGCCTGGAGATTGCGTCCTCTGTGTTGGCTTCACTCCCTGACAGGAGCTTACTAAGGTATAGAGGGCTCAAGATCTAACCAAGGTGGGGGACGGGGGCATGGGGGTAGGAAAAAGATAACGAACAAAATAAAAGAAAGGAAAAAATGGACCCTACCCACCCACTCTCCTGTATGTATGTTGAACTTCTTTCGCGCCGTACATAGCCAACCGTGCTAATCAGAGGTGCGGGGGAAATGACAACAAACTAAACACAAAAAGCAGTTCTAAAGAAATTAGTTTTCAATCAAGATTTAAAAGTGCATATCTCCAGTGGCTTCTTAAAATCAGAAGAGCGTTCCAGACGGCCGCAGAAGTGCATTTACATTTGCGCGATGCAGTGACCATATTTGTTTGATGGCTAACCAAAAGCCTCTGCAAGTGTGACCGGAGTTGGCGTGATTGTTTATGCTCCTTGAAGAGATCAGCTCTCACTCACGTAAGATATACTGAGGGTCCAATGAACCCTAGAACCAACCTCCCCACTTCCTTGCCATTTCTTCTCAATTCAAGTTTACACCATGGTACAGTTCAGTAGCTTGTGCTAGACGGGGTTGTTGAGAAGTGATGGCCCACATACCGCCTCGAATTCCCGTGCTTTCCCTTTTAATTTGTAACTGCGGTGCTCCATTGCGGTCAGGGCATACAGTGAGCGGGTCCGGTGTTTCCACGAGGGGGGTTCACGGTCCTTCCAATTGCCAAGGATAGATTTCCTCGCAATAAACAGTTAAGGCTTGGAGTATAGTATACTTTGATTTGGATACTGCCACTAGTTTTCTAGGCCCAATGCTTCCTTTAGTGTATAAAATGTAATGGGAAGGTTTGATTTGCATGCATTTTTTTAATCCTCCAATTGTTGCTCCACGTGTGTTCCTATGTATGACACAAATCAAAGGTGCGAGGTCACGATGATCTAAGGTGCAAGGATCGTTTTCTCACGTGCACAATCGAGTAACGGCATTGACTGTGATAGCCCCTTTATTGAAGACACAAAACAATCATTCACGTTGGTGTGTAGAATTAAAGTAACAAAATATATAAGCAGACAATGTCTCATTCAAGACAATACTTTTTCCTCAATTTTTTTGTGGAGAGACAGATATATGAAGGAGACTATTGTCTGCTTATCCTTCATTAAAGGGTCCACCGTTATTGTTCTGGTGTGACCATGTCTTATCGGGGCCATGTTATCACCTCATTAACAGGGCCACTGGTATTATGCTTTGCCACCACTCAATTGACTTTATACAAACCGTCTTAACTTTTGTATAACTTTCTTAAAAATTAGAAATCAAATCACAACCTTAAATTTTAATCAGCAAATAATCTCGAATCATTTTTCCAGAAGAGCATTCTCTATTCAATGATTTGAAGGGAATTTGCCAAAAGGCTGCCCCACTGTCCGAATTAAGCATGCGTGGCTGTTTGAAAAATCGGTTTAAACATAACAATTACTTGAGTTTTTTAGAGGCTGCCATTTCTTTGCCTACAGTGGCGTTACGGTGTTTGGCCCTACAGAGCCAGCGACAGCAGATCGTGATGAGCGCAGTCAACACGCTTGTCACCAGGACTATGGCTGCCAGCAGAAACGCCGCCACATCAAAGCCGGCCTCCTGGTACCAGGTGAGGTGGTGAGCCGCCACTCGCAGGTGCTCCGCACCGTGCCGCATCACAAACTCCACCCAGAACACTGCCCTGTCCATGGGCTTCTGCGGCTGGTCGTGGTGCAGACGCGAGAGAAGTGATGACTTCTCCTTGTAGCTGCTAAGAAAATCAGACACGGCAAACGCTGCAGTATCATCCAATTCGCATGACCGTAAAGACCCACCCAGAAACTGCTGTCACACTGAGAGAGTTGTCCGCTGCCACAGGTTGAACAAAATGTACGTTTATGGACACTTGTTGCACGTGACAGTTTTGGTGCATGTGTGGTGCCACAACGAAGGGGCCGCTCTGCCGAGCCAGGGAGCCGCCCGGCTTCCACCACTGCACTGCCCCCCATCACCCCCCCCACATAAGCACGCACCCGCACCCACGTAGGGCCTTGTGGTCGGGTCACCTACCCTGAGTTTTCACCCGAGGGCCCCCTCGGGGGGTTACCCCACGGTTTCTCACGGCCAGGGAATTGGACAGGACCCTTCCCAGGCTAAGTAACACTGCGGCGCCGGGGGCGGATTTGAGATCGCACGACCACGGCGAGCTCAGAGAGCCCCGCAGTTAGAAACGCATACAAACACAAACACGGGTCAGCAAGGCAGATAGCTAGGATCAGGACCCGGGGCTACTGATTGGTCAAAAGGTCAAAGGCCGGCGGGATCGCAAAAGGGCGGGAAATCCTAGGCTCAGGATTGGTCGAGAGACCAAGGCGGTCGGGACGGGGGCGCCTAGCCTTTGATGTGGATAGTTTAAAAGAAAACGCAGGGGCAGTAGGGAACTCTCTTCTTCTGGAGTAGTGACACGGGGTCAACGACGAGGGAGTCATCGAGCGAGCCGCTAGATCGTCTGCAGGACGACCTGAGCGCCGCAAGGTCACCTAGGACTACAGACGGTATCGTATTACGCGCCTTACAACACCTCAGAGCGGAGAGTAGGATCCGTAGGAGAGGGTTAGTTCGGGGTAAGGACGAGTAGGAAAGCGGTTTAACAGAGAGCGCAGCATAGAATAGGGCTGCACGCCACTAGAGAGTGGGTTAGAAGCGCCTTGCTGGCCCGTACACACACACGGGTGGCTCGGTGGGTTAACAAGGGCTAATAAAATCTCGAGCGTAGTAACCAAACCGTGTTGTTGGGTGTTTTTTGAACGTGGTATTAGCATGCACTGCATTCGCGGGTGTGTGGTCGTTGTATGCGTAAAGGCCGTGGTCTCTGTACGATTGTGCGGGTACGGAGGTGTGTGTGTTAACGCCCGGGGAGAGCACTTTTGTGTGTTGGCGTGCCTACGCAGCCGTGTGAGAGGAGAATCGTCCTTGCACGATACTTGTGTTGACGTGCACGCGCGAGTGCGGGAGGGGACGAGTCGTTGTGTCGGCGTGTGTCCCGCTTGCGTGTGCTCGTTACTTGCGTAAGCTCTCGGCGTGCGTAATCGGCGTACCCCAGGTGCGCGATCGTAACGTGAGCGGCCAGCGTGGCGCAGAGCGGCGCAAGAGTGGGTATCGCGTGTGGAGCTGTATGTGTGTGCGCGCACGTTCACGACGTGTGTAATACAGGTGCGCGATCCTAACGTGAGTGGTCAGTGTTGAGTGAGTGCCGTGCAGAGCTGTGTGTGGGTGTGCGCGTACGTAATTAACCATGCCTGCTACGCGGACCCGCGGTGGAGGGGAATCCTCGGGCGACGGCTCCCACACCATGGGTGAGGAACCTAGCAGCGGTTCGCTTAGCAGCGGGGGGGCGATTGATGAGGTTAGCCCGGCCGTTAGCATTATTGAGGGAGGGATCTCGGGGGCTAGCGACCCCCACACATGCTTTGAATCACCTGTTCACGTAGCTGGTGATACATTTTATAGCAACAAAAATTGCATAATTTATTCCAAGTTTAAACCCTGATATTTAGCCAACATCATATTTGTCACTGACACTATTTGTATGCGACAATGCAAACTTCGAAACACGTTTACAAAATATAAGAGCGTGGAATGGCAAGAGTGCTATGGGACTGCGCGCCTTTTCTACACAAGCTCCCACCGGTGCGATATTATCAGCCAATCGCTTGAGACGCACCGACCCACCACCGTACCTCTTGTGAGTGGCGATTGTGGAGATGGACGAGGCGAGAGAGCCAGCGTCGAGGGAGTGAATGTTGAGCACCAGTGCTGCACCCTTGTTTTGCATGCGGGCCACGTTTTCGAACTGGTCCCCGAAGAGTGGCAGGCCGAGCATGGGGACGCCATAGCAGATGGCCTCGAAGATGCCTTGCAATCCCCCGTGCGTCACGAATACACGAGTCTTAGCGTGGGCTGCCATCCACCGGCACCATCACAGCCAGACAGGGACAACCTTCGATTAGCACGGTTGGCGATGTACGGTGCGAAAGAAGTTAAACATACAACACACATTCGGATGCTTCTTTGAACGCTTCGTTCATTTATGTTGTGCGTGTTACATAGCTTTGGAACTGGAACATACAGTGGCTTTGGTCAAAAATCATGATTTTTAGATGTTATACAAGCCCGTTTTTACCAGTTTGTGATGGCACGTGAGCTTAAGTGTAATTCGGAGCTGTAACCACACCTCACGTTAGAGTGGGATGCTCTGAGCTATAGCTACACGGAGTAGTAACCGTCTCGTGCTTTGACATGACCAGGGAATTCCTATAGCTTATACTACTGTATATTTCTTACTGAGGCTGTGCAAAAATAAAATAAAAGAACCTCAAAAACTGCAAGTGGAACTAAAAATAGTAATACTTTATTCTGAAGAGAAAAAACTCCCTGAAAAGCAAAATCTAAAATAAATGTAATGAATTAAACTTAACCTAAATAAATGCAAAACGTTGAAAATTGAGTATGCAGCATGCGTATTGTTATGATAGATGTATTGCGATCTCCATTGGAAAACTGAGTTAACTGTATGCAGAACATTTCCGGAATTTGGACGTTGGTACTAAAAGAGAATAATACGTTCCTTCGGAGTGGGCAGGTAGGAACTTGGTTGGACAGCGCATTCGTGCACGACAGACAAATATGCACGACAGACAAATAATCCCTGGTGGGCAGTGTGTAACCTAATTCTAGATTTGAAGCTTTCGTGCCTGCAAGGACAGCAATTTTGCTGTAACGGTTTCACCTGAAGACCTGAAGACGGAAGCTTGTGTTGCCTCCAAAACGTCGTGATTTAATTTATTTGTTTTCTTTAAACCTACGTGACTTTACCGAAAAAACCAAAGAGTAGTGTGGAACCTGTTGTTCCTACCTGTGTTAAGAGAATGTAAATGACAAAAGCATCCTTCAACAGCCAACCCTGCTCACCGACTGAGAACTGAGCATGCACGCTTGGCCTCAATGCCTCAAGTGCTCCGTGTGGTCGATACGACCGTATGGATGCGAGAGTTGGACACTTGAAAGGGTACCGTTCGGAGGAAAGACATGTTTTGAAATGTGGTATTTCATAGAAGGACATTGGCAACAGGGTGTAGGACTAGAAACGATGAACAAAGAAGTGTTAACAATAACGGTGATGCCAAATGATGTTGTTGGATTTAGTCAGAGGAAGGCGGCATACTGCGGACAATTAATGCGAGGGTCACAGGGAGCCCTATGACTGCCTTCTTCTTGGGAGAATCTCAGGCAAAAGGGCAAGAGAAATGTTTAGATGAACATGGTGGGATGACATCAAGGAGTAGACACATCTCATAATGGGGAATAGCATGTGAGCATGTGCAGTGGTCAGAGGAAGTGATGACGCATGTTGGCTGTGGACCATGGCAATCGCAGCCGACACTGAAGGATGCAATTAAGCAAAAGCTGAATACAGATATTGCAACACGCACCTAAGAGGTCCCTCTGTGGTAACCATGACATCACTTTTGTGTTGTTCGAGAGATTTTCGAGAGTTGGTCCTTCATAGCGCCATATAACCTGTGGAGTAAAGCACAAATTAATCGACAGAATATTCACCAATAAACGAGGCACTAGTTGTCACGTCGCAGGAGCTTATTCCATGTAATCAACTTACATGGTGACACAGAATATATACATCGTTTATGAATATTGGTAATGGGTAGGAAGCTATCGAAATGTGCAGTGGACACCTACGGACTATCTACCGATGGATCGTGGTGATCATGATAATGATGAGGAAACCCTAGTCTTTCCGTGTACTCGCCCAATTGACCCAACTACGTTCCATTTCGTAAACGGACCTAACTATATTCAGTGTGCATGTGTTTAAAAAGCATTGCATACCGGTTGAGCTTGTTCCATTGCTGCAAGAGCAAGGAAAGACGATGGGTGAGAAGGTAGGAGATTTTTTAAAAATCATAGTTATATTGCAATTCTCTGTCCATGTGTGCTCTCTAGGCTAAACATATTTATGGGACGTATGTAAACACTCTGGTGGACTACTCTGCATCTTTCACCTCGATGGAATGTCAGCAAACAATACCCATACGGGATCTGGCCAGCAGACAGTTATATCTGACAGTCTTGCGTATTAATAATGTGTGTGGCTGGCTGGTAAGACCAGCCATGTCCCCCAGATGCAAATGCTGCGTATCAAACTAAGAGCCAAACATAGTATAACAGAAAACGCATTAATAAAGTTAACTTTAAAAGTAACTCAGGAAATCGTAATGTGTGGACTGGTTTGCACCATAGGTTACATATTACACAGCTCAACATAAATTATTATCTGAATTGCATTATAATTAAGGCAATTGTTTCAGGATTGAGTTATACATTATTTGAGGCAATGCTTCTTCTAACATCTGAGCCACCGAGTTGCATCAAATTGTATTTGTTTCCTAAGCGTTGGGTGACCACTGCACGTGGCTGAAGGCCCCCTTGGGATTTCGTTCATGTTCTGCATCAACTCCTTCCATACAATATGTCATAGAAACGGTTATATTTATTTTCCAGACCCTGAGAGAAACATTTATGCCACCATCTTCCAGCAGCCATCAGTAAAACAAATTACTGACAGATATGCATGGAGGTTGAACTTCTTTTGCAACCGTACGTAGTCACCCGTACTGATCGGTTGTGTGGGGGAAGGACAACACACTAAACACGAAAAGCAGTTCGAACAAAAATTAGTTTTCAATATAGATTGCACAAGGTATCATCAAGGGAATAATTATACCTTGTGCAACATGTATTTTGTCAAAGTAGAGTTGAATTCATAAGTTTGGAAGCCACGGGATAGGACCACACATTACTTCAGACATCTACTGTACATGTGATGCATAATTTCCTTATTACCTTTTGTGGGATTCTGCCCAGGCCCTCTGCAAGAACGTTTGCTATTCTAGAAGGAATGGCCGACACCATGGATCCAAATGACACCACGACCACACCATGCTCCTCAGAACTCTGCATAAACTCCTCCAAATCCTGCAGGATAAAAACATGCCCAAATGGATTAATTAGGCGTTTTGCATTGGCCATCGTGGTGTCAAATCATATTCTCCAGTGTGGAAAATTTTCATTAAAACAAGTTGTCTTATTTACACCTCATCATTAGACCTCCTTTGCCAGTACCAAAATATAATAATACTGGTTTTCCCCTTTTTTTTCTGGGTCGAGGCTCAAAAGAAAGCCGTCCCTGGTGTGAACCAATCAGTTTCAAGGACAATGCATATATTATCATACTGTGTTGTTTTTGTTTGAATTTTGACTGCAAGTATTGTGGTTAATGCGGACATGAATCCTTGTAAAAAGGTTTCAGTTTTGTTGCCAGAAAAAAAAGGGGAAAACCCCTATTATTATAATATTTATTTACACCTGTCATCACATTACATTTACATGCAGGTTTAAATGCTACACCCAGTTTGGCTAGCATGAGCTCGAATTGATTAAATATTTGTCTTTCCCTCACTACGTATTTTTTTATATCCAGAAAATTACCTCTTCAAGGTGTGCCCAAAGTTATTTAAGTGATGTTATCCATATCATCAGAACATAATTCGAATTCTTAATAGTCTGAACAAATGCAGGTAAAGACTGCACATTGACGGTAACATTTTTACCTGTGGAAGAGGTCTCGCATCATCGAATGTCATACCTCCGACGTTCACCATGTTGGGCATAGTCGGGCGGGGATAGTCAAAGACAAAGTCTGTCCGGTGCAGCCAGATGGACGCATTGCTAAGCAGCTCCATGGCCGTAACGTCCCGGCCCAGGTGGCGCCTGGCCAGCTCATCAAAGCGTTTCAGAAGGAAGTCAATACACAGGTGATCCTGCTCCAGGCCCGTCAACATGTTTGTGACCCGCTCGGTGAAACTCATGTGGTCTGTAAACCTTGAAGTACTTCGGGGAACGTACGACGATGGTGCTGGGCAGTGGGCAGCTTTTAAGTCGATATCACAAGGAATACCACGCATTAGAAATACTGAAGGGAGCCCCAGTGCATCAGCTAAAATTGCTCCACATGGATCCATGGGGTCAGCGAGAAGAACCTCGAAGTTATGGGCCCGAAGTCGCTGCATCACAGCAACATTGCCGAGTAAGCTGTCACACATTACGGCAAACCTCTTATTCATGCTCTCCAAGTGCGTAAAGTGGAATCCTGTAGAGCCACCCTTTTCCGCAAACACCACATCACGCAAAAAACTTCCTGAACTTTGCTTCTTCTTCTCCCCATCAAAAAAAGGCACGGGGAAGGTCTCCGAGTCTAACCCAGGCGTCTCTCCCACCATCAGATTACCCGTCGCGGGCAATGCCACGACCACTCGGTGACCACGCCGAGACAAGGCGAGGGACAGAGCACGTAGGCTCATCCAGTGGCTGCCATCAGTTGGGTACACCAGCATGCCACCCACAGCACGGTCACCGTCAGATTTCTCCTGGCCCACGGCCATGTGCATGAAGGCGAGGGTTTGAGCAAAGCTGAAACACCACCGCATGTCCTGGCAGAACAACACACAACATCGATTGATAAACAATCGTGGTTTGGCTTTTGCCCGACTTGTTTTTAACATGAATAAACCATTGATTTAAAGCTTTCGTGACAGCAGGAATTCATACTCTTCGGTCTTCCGGTCAAGTCACGGAAATAAAAATAAAAATAGATCACGACCTAATTTTTTACGTGACTTGATTTGACCAAAAGACCCAAGAGTATGAATAAACAATTTAAAAGTATACATTGTGAGGACTCTAAACAACAACTGCTATCTTGATTTGAAGTGTTCATGACTGCAGGAATCCATACTCTCTGGCTCTTTTGGTAAAGTCACGTAGATATAAAAAATAATAAAAGAAAACACGACGTTTCGGTCGCAACACAAGCGGACGTTTTCAGGTAAAAAAAAAGTATCTGCTGTTGTGGCTTTATATAGGCACGGGAGGGGGGGGGAGAAATTTGGTTGTAGGAGTTAGGCACGGGATGGGGGGAGAGGACGGAGGACACACGGGTGGGTGAGTGAAAATCATAGCAGTTAAAACTTAACGCGGTTTATCACATCCTTCCAATGATTGCTCAATCTGAATCCATCTTCTCGATTAATTTTTTGTCTGTGTTTGTATATCTGGATGGCTTCGTGAACAAATCTCTGATGGTGGCCCGAAAACAATGTCGTGTGTGCCCACAGCGTTTAAACAATGATCCGCCACCGTCGAGGTGTTGGTTCTACCGTGTTTCAAAACCGCTTTGTGTTCACGAACCCAGTCTGAGACATGTCGCTTCGTTTCACCAATGTAACTGCTGCCGCAGACACAACTCAGCTTATAGACAGCAGGACATTGCATGTCCAGAATCGCATCTTTTACTGATGGGATCAAATCACGGATTTTGTGTACTGTATTGAACCGAACTTGGATCTTGCGTTTGTTTAAGATTTTGGAAATCCTTTTGGTAACCCCTGCTATGTATGGTAAGGTGATGGTTTTTATTGGGTCCTCAGATGGTTCTCTACCCATGGTTGGGGATGCAGCTTTGCGGATTGTGCGGTCAGAATATCCATTCTTCCTGAGAGCCTGGCATACGTGTTCAAGCTCACTGGCTAGGTGGTGCTGGTCGGAGATGCAACGGGCCCTATGGTGTAGTGTTTTGATGAGGGAATTATTTTGGGCTAGATGGTGGTGGGAGTCAGGCTTTAAATAGGAATCCGTGTGGGTGGCTTTCCTGTAGACAGAGTATCCCAACGAGCCATCAGGTCTCTTCTCAATTAAAACATCCAGGAATGGTAGCTTTCCATCATTTTCCACTTACATAGTGAATTTGATAGATGGGTGTATGGAATTGATGTGGTTGAGAAATTGGTATAGTGCCATCCGGCCATGTTGCCAGATGACGAACGTGTCATCTACATATCTCTTCCACAAGGAAGGACGTCAGGTGGATGTCTGGATTGCGTCTGTCTCAAATTTCTCCATGAAAATGTTCGCTACCACTGGTGATAGGGGAGAGCCCATTGCAGTACCTTAATTCTGTTTGTAGAAAGTACCATTCCAGGTGAAGTAAGTGTTGGTAAACCAAGGTACATCAGGATCCAATCCCTGTTGGACTAGGTCTTCAATGATTGCAATAGTATCAGGTACCTTGGTGAAGAGGGAGACTACATCGAAAAGCAAATCCTCCGGGGACAGTGGTATGTCCTTGATTAGTGAAACCAAGTGGGCCGAATAAAGTACAGCTGAGGTGGTCTTGCCCGTGAAGGGAAACAGAGTCTCAGACAGAAATCGTACCAGTCTGTAAGTGGGTGAGTTGATGGTGGATACGATAGGACGGAGTGGAGTACCCTCTTTATGGATTTTTGGAAGGCCGTAAAATCTGGGTGGTCTGGCAGCTAAAGGTTTTAGAGAGAGCTGTTTCGTGTGTTGGATTAGGAAAGTCGAATTAGTGATGATTTTGTTGGTTTTAGTAGCCAAGCTATTGGTAGGGTCTCTGTTAATTTTGGTATAGCAGCCATCATTGTGAAGGTCCTGGATTTTGCTGTTGTAAGTGGTTTTATCCATGATGACAGTGGCATTGCCCTTGTCGGCTGAGAGGATGACAATATCATCTCTCTTTTTTAATTGAGAGAGTTCAAAACGTTCGTCCTTGCTAATGTTGCTAATGGGTTTCTTAGCATTCTTGAGGATATCAACAATTTCAGATTTTGCAACGTCTGCCGGGATGTGTCCCAGACCTTTGAGGGCTACGGTTTTTTTTTCTCACCTGAAGACGGCCGCTTGTGTTGCAACCGAAACGTCGTGTTTTCTTTTATTTTATTTTCTATATACACGACTTTACTGAAAGAACCAGATAGTATAACAACTGCTATTTGCCACTAACTGACGGTGACGTCACCACGGTGCTTGTCGTTCGTTCGTTTCTCAGTCCGCTTGTCCTGGTGAGGGTCACGGCGGCAGCATGTTGAGTAGGGCGGTCCAGACCTCTCTTTTCCTGGTGACATAATCTAGCTCTACATTACTATACACTACTACACTATACACCACTATACACAACTCTTCCTGGGGAATTCCCAGGCGTTCCCAGGCCAGCTGAGTGACATAGGCCCATATTCTTAGGGTTTTTTTCGGTAAAGTCACGTAGGTAAAAATTTTAAATTAATAAAAGTAAAATAAAATAAAAATCACGACGTTTCGGAGGCAACACAAGCTTCCGTCTTCAGGTGGAACCGTCACAGCACCTGAAGACAGAGACTTGTGTTGCCTCGGAAACGTCGTGATTTTTATTCTATTTTTATGTTACTTTTATTAATTTTTTTTTTTTATGTTTTACCTACGTGACTTTACCGAAAAAACCTAAGAATATGAATCCTTGCAGTCACGAAAGCTTCAAATCTAGAATGACATAGGCCCGCCAGCGTGTCCTGGGCCGGCCCCGGAGTCTTCGCCCAGTGGGACATGCCCGGTAGAGTTCCAGGGGGAGTCTACCGGGGGGCATCTGTACCAGGTGCCTGAACCACCTCAACTGGCTCCCCTCGATCCGGAGGAGCAGCGGCTCGACTCTGAAACTCTCCCGGATTACCGAGCTCCTCACCCGATCACGGAGAGCGAGCCTGACAACCCTGCGGAGAAATCTCATTTCGGCCCTTTTTACCCACGATGTCATCCTTTCGGTCATTACCCAAAACTCATAACCATAGGCGAGGGTGGGAATGTAGACCTGTAAATCGAGAGCTTTGTTCGAGAACTCAGCTCCCGCTTAACCCAGAATGGATCGAAGGCAGACCAACTTGAATATTTATAACCGGCGAAGGTGTTCCATTCGGGGGTCCACGTTTCGCAAGGATAGAGAACAGATAGCATGACCGTGGCCGAGAAGACCCGAAGCTTTGTGTGGCAACTCTAAAGGCATATGAGGGAACTGCATCTGTTTTGAGTACGATTATTCGAAATGCTATTTTTGCACCCCTGAAGTATGTGCTACTTTATATTAAAATTTCCAAAATACCAAAGATGTCATACAAGTTTAGTTTGTAAAATAATGTTTAAAAAGCTGCAGACATTTACGAAGTAGGGGTTAAATTCCATTCGTTACACATGGCCTTAGCTCCTGCCATTGGGTGTTGTGCAAGGGTGGCTCGTTCTACGACGATGCCTGTATTATCTGCGATAACCTTGGTTACAGCCTTGGGTTTGACTATAAAACAGTGTGCTTGTGCGAATATACACGTTCCAATTGTTGATTTCCATTTCAGTGTCTATTTTCCTTTGCTAGGAAAACATTGTTTAACTGCCACCATTGCAACCACATGCTTCTGACGTAAATGCACAACAAATGTTGGCAAATGCTCGATTTAAGGGTTTCAGTGAGAGATGACATGTTTGTGTGCTGCACGGCGTCACACTATAATGAGGCAATGCACATTTCACGTGATGTGATGATTGGCACACTGGACTTGCGATCCAGAAGTTGCTTAGTTCCATTCCACCCTCCCGGCACGGCAGTCGAAACAATGTTTCAAGTTTATTTAACACCCCCCCACCCCAAACCCTCATCGCCTGTCCACCCAGCAGTAGTAATGGTTGTGGAGACGCAAATATGGGAATATGCATTCATCATTAGAGTAAACAATTAACGATTTCGGAAATGTATAATATTGGAATGGCAATATAAGATGAGAATGATAATATGGCTGTTTGGAATCTTTCCGCGAAAAGGTTGAGGAATTATAATTTAGAGTCGCGGTGGTGAGATGTTAACTCCTTCTCCTGGTATGCAGGAGGTCGTGTGGTTCGATCCCAACCTTGATGTCTGTAAATTTGGGGTTTACGTGTTCTCCCCATGGTCGCGTGGATTTTTCTCCAGGTCCTCCGGTTTTTCCCTCCACATTTTGAAACATCCGTTTAAAGTATTTTGTGCCATATAGTGCTTAAGTAGAGCAAAAATACATTTCACTGGTCTATATATGTATTGGTATAGCACAATATGCAACTTAACGCTCTGAACAGCTACTAACAAAAAAATGAATACTACTGTATAGTGTACAAATGCCATGCACACATTTTTATACATTTGGAAATGTATAGCTCCCAGAGCTTCGTCACGAAAGAATATCGTTAAACTTAACAAAGGGAATTTCTCTCAACTAAGCAAAATCATGTACCGTATTTATTAGGCTCATACTTTCAAAAGATAGCGATTTCAAGTTTCAAAACGAGAACCAATGAAACATTCCAGCATTTCTCAAACGCCATACTAATAATCTTTTAAGTAAAGTATTGCTTCTAATGGGGATAATTTTCGTTCAATTTGAAATGCCAAGAGTAACACACAGCGGTGCCCCCGATTAGTCACCGAATTGAATGTAAATGATGAAGTATATAACCAGCAACAAAGGACGATTCATCCAGGTACAGTATATTGACTTAATGTGTGTGTGTTATGTATACAACACAACTTCTAATACTTACTACTTTTGTTGCTTTTAGGTGACGTAGATGATCTGTAGAGGAATAAAATCTTGATTTTGAGGACCTGTTTGCAGAATGTATGCTCATTCAGTAGCATACGAGGCAATCGTACAATTAAGTGTAACGTGAACCTGCAGCTACAATACTCTGAACGCGGCAAGAACTTTTCAGCGTTACACAGCGGACCGTTCAATAGGTTAGACAATATACGTTAGACTTTGGCTTCTGATAAAAACAATAATAATAATAATAAAAAACCGCTTGGACTATGCAACTTTTTAAAATGTGAAATCCTTTTCCAGTAAAAAGTGGGTGTAAATAAAATCAGTACGGTACTGCCAATGCATTGCCCGAGTCAGATTTTCTTAACGGACTTAAATGTTCATTCGATAGCGAGCGGCAATCGTCCAATTAAGTGGAGTCTTCATTTGCGACGCATTGCAGGTATTGTGCGCAGTGCAGATTCCTTTTAAACCCCGAAACTGTGCACCAAGTAATAGCTACCGACATAAACCTTTGGTAAATAAACCGCACAACGTGCATTGGACTTTAGCCTGAGAACATTGACATGCACTGGTTCATTCATGCAACACTTTTAGATTGAAATATATTTTGTTCATTCTTCATTCAGTCTTTCCCATCGATTTGTTTACGCGTAAATATAAATAGATGTAACAAAAGCACAACTTGATAGATTTCTGGATAAACCACATGTCATGAAAATGACACGTACCACCAATGCAAGTTTTGAATACGATGGAGAATGCTTTAATTGCAGAGGTACAGTGAGGGAAAAAGTATTTGATCCCCTGCTGATTTTGTACGTTTGCCCACTGACAAAGAAATGATCAGTCTATAATTTTAATGGTAGGTTTATTTGAACAGTGAGAGACAGAATAACAACAAAATCCAGAAAAACGCATGTCAAAATAATTATAAATTGATTTGCATTTTAATGAGGTAAATAAGTATTTGACCCCACTGCAAAACATGACTTAGTAGTTGGTGGCAAAATCCTTGTTGGCAATCACAGAGGTCAGACGTTTCTTGAAGTTGGCCACCAGGTTTGCACACATCTCAGGAGGGATTTTGTCCTACTCCTCTTTGCAGATCTTCTCTAAGTCATTAAGGTTTCGAGGCTGACGTTTGGCAACTCGAACCTTCAGCTCCCTCCACAGATGTTTCATGGGATTAAGGTCTGGAGACTGGCTCGGCCAGACATGGGCAAAGCACGGCCCGCGGGCCGTACGGCCCGTTGGGCTTTTTAATCCGGCCCGCCGAACTTGTCCAAATATTATTATTAAATAAAATGTTACCTTCCCCCTGTAATGCCCCCATGTCCCCAATAGATGGCGCACCTCGAACAACAGAGAAAACTAACATTGCCGCGTCAAGGTTGAGAATCGTTCAACAAAATGATTGTTTCGTCTGCTACATCAGTCGGTCGATTCTGAGAGAGAGAGAATATTCGTATGAGCAATTCATGTTTCTATTGAAAGTAAGTTAACAGTAATATTTGGGTACAGTATTGTTTTTGGAAGCATTCACCGTAATATCGTATGAACGTTTACTTCACCGCATCATCGTATGACTGATGCGAGAAGAGATTAACGGGTTCTTATGTTAGAGATGTACGTACTCGGCGCTTTCGCTCTCTAAATTACGGCTTGAATGGGGGGGAGGGGTATGACTACATCACAAAATTAATATCTTACTAGGAATTTTATATAACAAACGTTATATACATAACCGTTACGCTTTGTGTAATTCAACAAAACAAACAAAACTTAACTCCGAGTTTTCTCCGAATTTCACGAGTCCGTTCTAGACCCCATTGTTTTTTAAAGAGTTTTAAGCACAGAAAACATAATTACATTTCGACTTAAAGCTTTCGTGACTGCAGGGATTCATCTTCTTGGTTCTTTCGGTAAAGTCACGTAGAAGAGAAGTAATAAAATAATAAAAATAAAACAATAAAATTATTCTCACGACGTTTCGGCCACAACGCAAGTAGCCGTCCTCAGGTGTTGTCGTCTCGACAGACCTGTTCTTCACCTGAGGACGGCTACTTGCGTTGTGGCCGAAACGTCGTGAGAATAATTTTATTGTTTTATTTTTATTATTTTATTACTTCCCTTCAACATAATTAAAGTTTGAAAAATCATTAATTATACAAACTTTTCAATAATGTCCTTCTTCACTTCGATTTAAATTTTCTTTAAAAACTTCTTCCCACCAACATTACCACTCATTACCACTTTCTCCGAAGGCAAGTTTGTAAAAGAATGCATGGTACAGACAACAGACATCTTGTGTCCGGAGATCAAAAGCAAATTTGAAAAAGTCAGTTTATCACGCAGGACTGTGACTCACCGTGTGGAACTGATTGATAAAAATATAGCCAGTCAATTAAACAAAAAGTCTGATTCCTTTGAATTATATTCACTAGCACTGGATGAAAGTACGGACGTAAAAGACACTGCTCAGCTTCTCATTTTTATTCGAGGCATTGACGACAGTTTTGCGATAACAGAGGAGTTTTTGACCATAGAGTCCCTGATAGGAACAACGCGGGAAGAGGACTTGCATAACCAGGTATCTGCTGCCATCGATAGAATGACGCTACCTTGGAGCGAGTAAACTTGTCAATGTCACAACGGATGGATCGCCAAATTTAACTGGAAAAAATGTTGGGCTGCTGAAAAGAATCCAGGATAAAGTGAAAGAGGAAAACCCTGTCCAGGATCTTATTTTCCTTCACTGCATCATCCGTCAGGAATCCCTGTGTAAGTCTGTATTGCAGCTTAATCATGTCGTGAATCCAGTCGTAAAACTTGTGAACTTTATACGAGCATGGGGACTTCAGCACCGTCAGCTTATTACATTCCTGGAGGAAACTGATGCGGATCATCAGGACTTGCTGTACAACTCTCGTGTCCGCTGGTTAAGTTTGGGGAAAGAGTTACAACGAGTGTGGGAGCTGAAAGAGGACATCATCGCCTTTTTGGAGTTGATGGGGAAATCTGACGAATTCCCTGAGCTAAGCGACAAGAACTGGCTTAGTGACTTTGCGTTTGCTGTGGACATATTTGCACACATGAATGAGCTGAATATAAAACTGCAGGGGAAAGATCAGTTTGTTCACGACATGTACAAACATGTGAAAGCCTTCAAGTCCAAGCTCAGTTTGTTCTCCGGACAAATTGCGAACAAATCTTTTGCTCATTTCCCCACACTTGCCATTCAGGAAGAGCCATTGCAAAACGCAAAAAAATACAGCAAATCGCTTGAGGACCTGCACGGAGAATTCTGCCGTAGGTTCTCTGATTTCGAAAAAATTGAACAGTCACTTCAGCTGGTGTCCTGTCCCCTGTCACAAGACCCTGAAACAGCACCACAGGAGCTGCAGTTGAAACTGATAGATCTTCAGTCTGACTCCGTCCTAAAGGAGAAGTTAAACTGAATGACTTTTATGCTTCACTTAACAGAGCCACGTTTCCAAACCTCTGGAGGACTGCACACAAGATACTGACTTTGTTTGGCTCGACTTATGTGTGTGAGCAGACATTCAGCGTCATGAACGCCAACAAAGCCCGTCACAGATCAAAGTTAACGGATCAGCACCTCAGATCTATCCTGAGAATTGGCACAACCAAAATAACTCCAGACTTGGATGCACTGGCAAAAATGGGAGATCAACAACACTGAAACTGAGAGTGATGATGTGTTGCTGCAGCGAGGTTGGAGCCAAATCTCCGACACACAGCCTGCGTGGCTACTCTAACCTGTTAATGTAGATAATAAAAAAGTTCAAGTGAGGTAATTGGTTTAGCGCAGGCCTCAGATATTTTCATGATATTTGATCAGTCACGTTACGACATGTTTTTGTATTGTTCATGTTCGTGCAATTTGTTAAATTGCCTTGCAAATAAATGTTTTGCTACCTGTTAAAGGCCAAATCCTTTCATGTAATGATTTTTACATGTCATTTATATTAGTTCACACAAACACTCCATCCATCTGTTCCTGGCCCGGCCCCTCTGTCAAATTTTAGAACCCATTGTGGCCCACGAGTCAAAATGTTTGCCCACCCCTGGTCTAGACCACTCCATGACCTTAATGTGCTTCTTCTTGAGCCACTCCTTTGTTGCCTTGGCTGTGTGTTTTGGGTCATTGTGATGCTGGAATACCCATCCACGACCCATTTTTCAATGCCCTGGCTGAGGGAAGGAGGTTCTCACCCAAGATTTGACCGTACATGGCCCCGTTCATCGTCCCTTTGATGCAGTGAAGTTGTCCTGTCCCCTTAGCAGAAAATCACCCCAAAAGCATAATGTTTCCACCTCCATGTTTGACGGTGGGGATGGTGTTCTTGGGGTTATAGGCAGCATTCCTCCTCCTCCAAACACGGCGAGTTGAGTTGATGCCTCCATTTTGGTCTCATCTGACCACAACACTTTCACCCAGTTGTCTTCTGAATCATTCAGATGTTCATTGGCAAACTTCAGACGGGCATGTATATGTGCTTTCTTGAGCAGGGGGACCTTGCGGGCGCTGCAGGATTTCAGTCCTTCACGGCGTAGTGTGTTACCAACTGTTTTCTTAGTGACTATGGTCCCAGCTGCCTTGAGATCATTGACAAGATCCTCCCGTGTAGTTCTGGGCTGATTCCTCACCGTTCTCATGATCATTGCAACTCCACGAGTTGAGATCTTGCATGGAGGGAGATTGACAGTTCTTTTGTGTTTCTTCCATTTGCGAATAATCGCACCAACTGTTGTCACCTTCTCACCAAGCTGCTTGATGGTCTTGTAGCCCATTCCAGCCTTGTGTAGGTCTACAATCTTGTCCCTAACATCCTTGGAGAGCTCTTTGGTCTTGGCCATGGTGGAGAGTTTGGAATCTGATTGATTGCTTCTGTGAACAGGTGTCTTTTTCCAGGTAACAAGCTGAGATTAGGAGCACTCCCTTTAAGAGTGTACTCCTGATCTCAGCTCATTACCTGTATAAAAGACACCTGGGAGCCAGAAATCTTTCTGATTGAGAGGGGGTCAAATACTTATTTCCCTCATTAAAAAACAAATCAATTTATAACATTTTTACATGCGTTTTTCTGGATTTTGTTGTTGTTATTCTGTCTCTCACTGTTCAAATAAACCTACCATTAAAAGTATAGACTGATCATTTAATTGTCAGTGGGCAAACGTACAAAATCAGCAGGGGATCAAATACTTTTTTCCCCTCACTGTATCATCATAATCAAAGCAATACCAGCAGTGTTGTTTGCTATTTGTGAATTTTATTTTAATATCACCAAGAAATGGATTACTGAAATAAAACATGTTGTATATTTTAAGAATGCAGACAAGTTGTGAAGGACAGGTAGCCACCAAGACAGAGCAGACGAGAGCATCATTTATCCATCCCTAAATGGACTTCACTACAAAACATGCAATTTTTTTCTCTCGAAATGTTGCATTATGCATAACAAAAACACACACGATACATAGGCAACACTAAAGTTTCAACATGATTGATTTCAGTTTTAGGCTTTCACGACTGGACTCAGTCATAGCATTACAGTATTTGGGTTAGCTGTGTGGTTAATTAGTATAGGTACAAAGTCCCACTTATGTGGCCAAAGTTAATTACAAACCAGAATTGACCTCTTGCCGACAGTCGTCAGATGGGTCAGATTGGGTCACAGGCAATAGAAATTGCAACTGCAAATAGCAGAATTCTCCGACAACCCCGTATTTATTTATGTGCTATGGAGGACAATTCTTGAAACGCTGCCTATTTTATTTTATGGCGGTGCTATTGACAAACGCGTTGAGTTCTTTCCTTATTTATAGGTTAAAATTTACATTAAAATATCGTGCACACATTGGCATCTCATTATGGTCACGAAAGCCTGTGTTCAAATTGGACTTCATCTCTACGCAGCTAACCCAAAGATACTATTGATATGACGTACTTATACATCACATGGAAAATGAAGAGCAATGCTTATTTTTAAAAAAAGTGTATGTAGATAAATTTCGATTTAAAGCTTTCGTGACTGCAGGGATTCATCTTCTTGGTTCTTTCGATAAAGTCACGTAGAAGGGAAGTAATAAAATAATAAAAATAAAACATAATAAAATAGTTCTCACGACGTTTCGGCCACAACGCAAGCAACCGTCCTCAGGTGAAAACCAGGTCTGTCGAGGCGACAGCGTTTCATTCAGACGCTGTTGCCTCGACAGACCTGGTTTTCACCTGAGGACGGCTGCTTGCGTTGTGGCCGAAACGTCGTGAGAATTATTTTATTATGTTTTATTTTTATTATTTTATTACTTCCCTTCTACGTGACTTTACCAAAAGAACCAAGAAGATGTATGTAGATACATAAGGGAATGTGGTTTACATCGGGAATGAAGAGATTACAGACTTTTTGTATAAAGGAGCTTGTTTTATAACAGCAAGCACACTGTATAAAATGCGTATTACATTCGCCAATATACTAAGGGGATATCATGGAGCAGGAGAATGAAGATGGGTCATCTGATCAAATCAGTCTCGATGGTCCCTCAACCGTTTAGCACATTCTTGACCAAGTCTGTAAAAACACAAAACATTGCAATTGTTTAGGCTACTTCAGGTACATTACAATCCCACTCTCGTCTTAATAGCAAAATATAAAGTGTTATTTCCCACAAATGACTTCTGACATTTGGCTTATTTTTTAAAAACCTATGGACCAAAATATGATAATGTGCACACTTTAGCCTGACATTTTTGGGGGATTTTTTTTTCATATAATATATTTATTTTATTATGAGCCGGTGTAATATCCAGGAAATTAGATATATAATTGTGGATAATTATATAGGGTTCTGAATAGATTTTTCAAATGAATCAAAGTAATACTAACATATTTTATTTACAATGCTTTAGTGAATACTATAAAACAGCCACATCAGCAGTGTGTATGTAAACAGAATAAGGTTTGTAGCATAGACGTAAAAAAATAGAATTTAAATGCTTTTACTGGACTGGACTTTTCAACGTATTTTCAATTTAGTGTGATAAAAACCATTATATTTCCAAATAATATATTTACATTGCTATGACATCTTTGCATCAATAAACAATGCAGGTGGCCACATTTGGACACCCTTCCAAATACTCATGGTTTAATCCATTCAGGCCAGCTAGATGTTGGAAAAATGTTGACATCAAGGCAGATTAAAAGGCATCACGCATACCATAATGAGCTGCTCAGGCAGACATGATGTGTCTAATAAAATCTGAAAGAAAAACATCAAAATGGGTAACAGATTAAGAATTGTTTTGAAACCCAAAATATTTCACATTCAAATGTACAACCTATCTCCCTTCCTGATTCTTTTTTTTATAGAAATCAAACATCCATGAACAATACAATTCCAACAAAACTGAGCTTACAAGAAACCTTGGGTACATTTACCATAATTACAATGTTCATTTACAGTTGCAGATTAAGTTGCCCATGTAAACTTGTATCAATGCAATAAGTGTAATCAGTCAGCCTTATGAAGAAAAAAATATATCCTACCACATAAATTGAGACAATGAGTTTTATTTGGATTGCTCAAGAAGTACAACTGCCTGTTGTGGTACTGTCATTTCAGCAACATACTGCATTGGAAATTATGTAAATGTTCCAGCTCACATTATTTTCAGCCAAATTATATCCACTCGTGGATGAAGGCCTCCCCACATCATTGCCATCCCTCGCAGTCATATGATGCCACAAAGCATCTGGGTCCTGTGCATTAGCCGATCTCATTGCTATATATTTTAGGTGGTTGTTGTATTGAAATCGTCCCTTCCTTGGCTGTCATTCCAACTCCAATGTTCGAGTTTTAATGATGATCCTGGCTAATGTATTTCTCAATTACCTGACATTTCTTAGACAAGAGAGATGTACGGAGCGGTGAGGCATGAGAAGACAAATAAGGTGAAAGTGCTTAATGAGAAACCAAATAGGTGGCGATACGTAAAAAAAATGTCTGGCTTTGACTTTAGCCACACTGCTAGCAATAAAAGTTACGTGTTCTGATATGGGATTGCAGTCTGTATTCAATAAGTACAATCATCATTTCGATTTAAAGCTTTCGTGACTGCAGGGATTCGTCTTCTTGGTTCTTTCGGTAAAGTCACGTAGAAGGGAAATAATAAAATAATAAAAATAATTATTTTATTATGCTTTATTTTTTTTTTCTACGTGACTTTACCGAAAGAACCAAGAAGATGAATTATGTTTTATTTTTATTATTTAATTGTTTTTCCGTTCTACGTGACTTTACCGAAAGAACCAAGAATACTATCATCATCATAAGCACTGATCTAACCACTTCTGGATTAAGACTTCTGCAAGTCTCTCCCCTTCTCTCACGGTCCAGTGATTCAACAATGTTGTCTATCTCCTGCATGCAAGCTAAGCTCATGGCTCAATCTTCGAGGTGGACATGCTATTGGGGCATGCCTCCTCTTTCAGCTGCCACTCCATCCTTAGTCTTGATCAATGTCTTCTCTATTAATGTCTTGGCCAGGCCTGCTTACCTTTCTTAGCAGTCGATAAAATGTATAGAATTTGTGTTGGTTTTATGATCAACGTGTTCCTCTTTATTTATCTCGGATAACTTTGCAGCATGCATATCTCCATGCTTTGGGTACGTTTCACCTTATTTTCGATGTTCTTTGTCAGAGATCATGTTTTTGATCCATGGCAATGCAAGGAAAATTCACAAACTGAAAACTGTTTCTTTAGGCATCGTGGTATATACATTTTCAAACCAAAGTTGGCTACCCCCATCTCCATAAATTAGGAGAAACATGTTCGAATGTTTTGCTTTGGAACTCAGACTTTAGAAAGTTTATGTTTCCATGGCTACAAGAGTTCTGAATGCAAATATGATATAATAAAACCAACGACTCAATATTATATATAAAGTGTGACAATAAATCCGAATGGTATAATAACAATTCACCCTTGCAGCAATTCCAAGGTTGCAATGCAATGACACTTTTTGGCCTTATTAAACAGCCTTGCTTGTATTGCTTCAAGTCTTTTGCCCATCTTGTTTGTATTATTTGATTTCGTTCTCTCCATTAGCCTGAGTGTAAAATAAGCATATCATTTTCAGATGAGAAAAAGTGAAGTGTTTTCACAAAATGAGATGGTTGAGAACAAAAATCCCACCGTTTACCAGCAGGTGGCCATAGTACCACCAGTCGTGGCTGAAGAATACCTTCGATAATCATCACCCAGGAATATCCTTAACGCTCGTGATGCCACTCCACACCGACCAGCCCCCCTCATTAATATTCATGAGCAGGTGACGGCCTCCAAATGGACACCCCCCCACCCCTCCTCATTAATAATCATGAGCGGGTGACGTCACTCAACATTGAACAGCCCCCCTCATTAATAATCATTATAAGGTGACGTCCTACAAATGGACCCCCCACCCCCATTCATAATAATTAGCGGCTGACGTCACTCCACATGGGGGGCCGAGGCGCCTCCTCCCCTCTAGGCGGCATCAACTGACAACCCTCACTACAAAGGCAGAACCCTCACGTCACGTGATATCCGTAACGCTATTGAGACATCGAAGTAAAAAGGACGTCATGATGAACAAGGGATTACCGTGCCATTACAAATTGCACACGAATGGATGCAATTAATATCACGTCGCGGCCTGCTTTTCGCTTACAAGTTTCAGATTTACTGCAATACACCCGTCCTTGGACGAGCAAAACGCTAGTTCAAATAAGGTTTGTTTAATTTGGTGTGAACTCAAAGACCAGGTGTCTTGTTTCAAGAGTAACCTGGTTTGATTAGACCACATAATATCACCGTTTTGCAGAAAGTTTTATTTGCAACCTCCTTTCACTTGAATGATGTCCTCTATTGCCTACGCAAGTCACTGCAATATCTCCTGGGACTGACAATGAAACCAAAATGGCACACTGTAACTTATATAATTCCATCAGTTAAGCAAAGACTCGTCGCGGCTGCGGCTGTTACATTTTTTCAATCCAGATGTGGGCAATGGAGAATTAAAATACAAGAATGGTGCACTTGGCTGACCTCTCCTGGTGACAAATGATTACTGTGAATTCCTGAAATCATTGGTAGACCATCGAAGGGTAAAATGTTCCACTCTCAGTCGTCATAAACCCCAGGTGGCATTACCTTCATAATTGATGAGGCCATTGGTATCCTCCTGCCCAACCAACAGCAGCTCCACCTCTTCCTCTGACATCCTCTCCCCTGCACAATATGCACAATGGGCATGGTCAACAAACAGCTCCAGCACACCACATCCAGCAAGCGAACAAGCCTGTCTCATCTTCTTGGTTCTTTCGCTAAAGTCACGTTGAATGGAAATAATAAAAATAAAACATAATAAAATAATTCTCACGACGTTTCGGCCACAACGCAAGCAGCCGTCCTCAGGTGGAGAGCAGGTCTGTCAGAAAGACAGCGTCTGAATGAACACCACCAGGCTTGGCAGCGTATATTTAAGCTGGGTTGGAGGGGGAAGAACGCCTTGACAAAGGAATTTGCATATAAAGAGGAATTTAGCATATTTATGGGAAATGCAGGTATGTGATTAGTACTACTTATGCCCGTGCATTATGCAGGATTAGCAGCATCAAAGGGGAGGGGATAGGGGTAGCATTAATAAAGGGAAGGAGTGTTAATAGTATATAGCTGCAGTAACTAAAACCACCACGTAAACAACTAAAGTATAAACTACATAGTATCATCAGTATACTAAATATACTCTACAATAAGCTGAGTAACTAACAGTAAGTAATACATTACAATTCTACGTCGTAAAAAAAATATATGCTTCCATCTAAACTTTATTCTCTTACATCACACGAGTCTACACCGTACTATATACTGCCATAGACAAACCCAACATTAAATTATATACTGCATTGCTATAAACCACCCTAAACCTTATACATTGTAATATTACACTACGTATTATTCTACCCACCCTAATGTATATCACACTGCTGTATATTCACTATACAATTACGATACTATATATTACTTTGTACATTGTATTAAGCATATAAGTTTTGACCGTCGTGTGAAAGATACTAAGAGGAAGCACCGAAATATGTCAATGGGAGAGTAGTGGTCGGAAACTTGCTGTTCTTCACCTGAGGACGGCTGCTTGCGTTGTGGCCGAAACGTCGTGAGAATTATTTTATTATGTTTTATTTTTATTATTTATTATTTCCATTCTACGTGACTTTACCGAAAGAACCAAGAAGATGAATCCCTGCAGTCACGAAAGCTTTAAATCAAAAAGCCTGTCTCAGTCCCTGGTACTGTACAGTCAATTCCAAAGTCTGCATCGACATTAACACGTATGTTTATGTAACGGTTGTATATTCATCACCAGAAACATTTTCATTAAATCAAAATAATATTTTTTTTACAGCCCTGACATTTGGGGAGGCCTTTATCCAATAGTGGATTGGACACAAATTTAAAAGCAATGCATTTATTTTTATTCACACTTAAAATAATAATCCCAAAAAATACAGGCATTAGAGGAGAGAAAAAAAAGTTTATATAGTATTCAAGCTAGGGAAAGCCATCCAACGAGATTATTGTTATATAAAAACATTGCACATTAATACATGCCAAATTGGCAAAGAAAATATTCCAACCCTCAGGGGTCAAAAACTGTTTAAAATCCGTGATATTAGAAACAAAAAATCACGCATCGTGAGAGCTCTGCTCATTGTACATTATTTAGGAAATCCTTGTCCACATTAATTCCTTTGACCGGTGCTTTGCCGATTGCCAACTGAAATTACGTTTACTGATATGACACTTGATTACAATTTTATACGCATAATGACAAAACATTGCAATGAAAATATATGGTTTGATTAATGGTCGTACACAGAGTGTTTGTAAAGTGAATGCAAAAAGTCCACGATTCAATATTTTTCTCACTCTACGGCTCACTTTGCTTCATAAACAACACAAGGCCGTCTGACTGAAATCATAATTTTAAAAAGTTGATGATCCTCGTGCCCACTGTCAAGAGTAATCACCGAGTGTGCAAAGCACATGACGCAATTCAGCTCCCATCACGGTGCCATTGCCCTCCTTGTCAAACACTCGCAGACCCTCCACAAAATCCTCAAATGTGCCTTGGTCTTTGGACTTTGTGACAGTCTGCAGCATGGGTAGAAATTGCTCAAAATCCAGCATCTTCACATTCATTTCTGTAGAGTCCAAACACAATTCCAAATAACAACAAAATTACATTTCCTAAAGATGTCTTTGTTAACATAAAAACAAAGGTAAAGCAGATGAAGACAGTGACAAAGTAATCGTTACTCTTTTACTCAAAAATATATAGCAGGTATTTTATTTTAATGCAAACATACAGTAAACACGAACCTTGGGAATATGGGTAAATACAAATAAACCAACTTAAAACGTTATTAAAATTTTTGCACGTTTATTTTTTTAATTCGCTTGACCAAGTCTAAATTACAAAATTGCATTGATAATCTGATTATATTACTACTTGGATGGTAAAATATTTAATGTAAAGTTTGTGATTTTGTGGAATGAGGTGGCTGGCAACTAACCTACAGAAAACGCAACGAATCCTTAGAGCCTAAACAACCAACCTGTTCCGAACGCAAATCTCATAAATAATGCATTACCGACAGCCCTAATGACATTGAAACTCCTGATACTCATCTCAACGCTTGTAGGAAACAACATAATCTGGGCATAATATACTTCACGGAGGTTTAAACAATTGCAGTTCCTACAATTTGTCAGGCAATGGCAATGAGGAAAAAGAGAAAATAAAGCGTGGTGCAGTGGTATTAGGATCACAGAATGTGGTACATTGTGCATTGTACCTGCAGGCTTAGGGTTGCCCAGCAATTTGAGCACCTCTGCATTGGTGGGGTTTTGGCCAAGGGCTCTCATTACCTCCCCACACTGGCTGTAAGAGATCTTCATTTCTCCAGTCCGGTCAAAGAGTGAGAATGCCTCTTTGAAGTCTGGGAGTGCACACAAAACATATTCCAACATGTGAAACAGAAAACACTTGTTACACTCTCTAAAGGCAAGGGGTGCACAAAATGCCTCATTTTTCCCTCTGACATTTAATGAAATAAAACAGATTTGGTATTAATTCTAGATTTGAAGCTTTCGTGACTGCAAGGATTCATATTCTTAGGTTTTTTCGGTAAAGTCACGTAGGTAAAAAATTAAAATTAACAAAAGTAAAATAAAATAAAAATCACGACGTTTCGGAGCTTGTGTTGCCTCCGAAACGTTGTGATTTTTATTTAATTTTACTTTTATTAATTTAATTTTTTTACCTACGTGACTTTACCGAAAAAACCTAAGAATATAGATTTGGTATTAATTCACGTGCATATTATTAACATTTGCCTATTTTTCAAAGTGTCCATCCTTTTCTACTCACATATGCCAACGTGAAACCAGGGCTGGCATTCCTTCATGGATTAATCAGGATCACGTAACTATTTACAAACATCATCCCTGTATAATATAAACGCCCAACTTTATCTGTGATGAATATCATTTGTTATGCAGTCTATTCATAGTCTCAAGCCGCACCTTAACATAATAATAAAAAGTCTGCCGTTCCTGCCCCCCCCCCTCAACCATTATATATACGGAGTGGTATCTCTTGTAATCTCTCATTTACTTGATACAGCTGTCGGGCTGTGACGGTTCCACCTGAAGACGGAAGATTGTGTTGCCTCCGAAACGTCGTGATTTTTATTTTATTTTACTTTTATTAATTTTTTTTAAATTTTTTTACCTACGTGACTTTACCGAAAAAAAAAACCTAAGAATATGTGATGAATATGACGAACGCTGCACTTCCCGTCGTTTTCATGCAGGGGGCGCTGCAAACCTACGCGCCCCATGCATGAACAACAGAAGCGCAGGGACAGACGTTCGATTACGTTGGAATCGATCTGCAGACGGCGGTCGTCTCGCACGGCCAGCAGCTCCATGTCGCCTTAGGGGCCGTCCATAAATGACGTCACGCGATTTTGGACGATTTTTGACCGCCCCCCCTCCCCTCGTCACACGGCGTCACAAAAAGTCAGACCCCCCCCTCAAATATGACGTCACAAAGCTCTGCCCCCCCCCAAAACCATATTTCCATTTTGAAAATAAAATATGCTTCAAATCGCTTTAAACTATTGTCATTGGAGTGCGTATTTAATGTGGTGCTGCACTCTGATGTTGCAGGAGAAAAACATATTTAAAAGTCTAATTAAGTAGAACGTGTTTATATTTATTTAAAGTTGCGCATTTTTACGTGATGTCACATTTCTCAATCCCCCCCCCCCCCCTCTCGTCACACATCGTCACAAATGTCTGACCTCCCCCCCCCCCTAGGTGTGTGACGTCATTTATGGACTGCCCCTTATCTCGATCCCGCAATCCCAAACAGGTGAAAGTCCGCATCGAACCGAACTCCCAGCAAGGACATCTACGAAATGTCGTTTTCAATTAAGTCTTCCAGATGTAAAATGCTATTTATATATAAACAACATCTGCGCTATGCCGATCTAGCTGCCGAAGCACGGCATCATGGCTGGAACACAGAAGTCCGACCAGTAGAGGTGGGCTGCAGAGGTTTTGTGGCAACATCTACAACCAGACTGCTTAGAGACCTGGGAATTAAGGGCCAGAGCCAGCGTTCGGCAATCAGAGCTGTATCGGAGGCGGCAGAAGGCAGCAGTCAGTGGCTCTGGATGAAGCGGAAAGACCCCAGCTGGGCCCCGAAGTGAGAGGGCCAGGAGGTATGCGGTCAACAATGCTTGACTCAGGGAGGAGGACGCCCCTGCCATGCATAGTCCCATAGGATGTTGACTATCAACAACAAGGCAACTCCTATGACTAATTGGGAATGGGACGCAAGCGTCGGATTGATCACCCTGTCGCTGGCCGCCTTTGGGGAGGGTGTATAGTGTGAAAGGCCGAAACACCCTAGGAACCAAAGGTACACTACTAACGATGCGCTCCCCAAATTTCACCAGGCTCACTGTTCATGAACTCTTGGAAGTGCTTGCACAAAGGATAGTAACATCTCATCCTGTGTTCTTGGAATCTGGCTGCAATGAATATGATGAACACTTGAGAGAGAGAACGAGGCGATTCCCAGAATCGACTTGGCCCCCAACGACACGACTTTGCCATTTGTTTTGCGACGACGACAATTTCTCATTCTCCCCGCATCCGCTGTCACAATCAACAAGTCGCAGGAACAGACATTCCATTACGTTGGTAAGCGCACAACTTTACCTATCTTTCTATGATGAATACTAGGTTGTTGGAGGGCGATGCAGGCACCCCCCAACAACCTAGTTCCTGTATATCAGTGGGTTTTTGTCTGCTTCGAAACATTTCCCAAATAGGAATCTTTAAACAGACTGAAGATATTAAAATGTGACAGTGCCAAGTCTGGGTTGTAAGGTACATTTGGCAACACAGTCCAACCTAACTGTCCAATGACCTCTGACATTCTTAGGTACCACGTTGTGTTTTGATATTGTCATATTGGAGGATTGACTCTGCCATATCTGAACTGTTTCTTTACCTGGATTCGAAGCTTTCGTGACTGCAGGAATTACTCTTTGGTTCTTTCGGTAAAGTCATGTAGAAAATAAAATAATAATAGAATACGACGTGTCTTGGTGTGTCTCGCCCGGTGTCTCTCTGCATGTGTGTGTGCCTATGTTGTTTCCGTGTCTGTGTTTTATAATTTATTCCTACCTGATGGCTGCTTGTGTTGCAACCGAAACGTCTTATTCTATTATTTTATTTTCTACGTGACTTTACCGAAAGAACCAAAGAGTGTTTCTTTACCTACCTTCACCAACCCTCTCTGACCAGCGTGGTCATGTATGGCTGTCAGGGCATGGGGACGCCTTCATTCAGCAGTGGATTGTGAAAGGGATGCACATATTACACAATTTATTTGGTGATTTTGATCCATTCTAAGAAATGAAGTATGACAATCTCAAACAGATATTCAAAAATTACTTTGAATACATTAATTGATTGAAATCTCGAATAGTTGCTCTGCACTGGCTATATGAATTCATCAAATTATTTAATCACTACTACCAGGATGTAAATTATGATTTTACAAAAAGAATGTAGAGTAAACAGCATGTTTTATAGGATTAAACTAAGCTTGTAAACTTTGATGTAATGCTTTTGAAAAAAATATTTTCAAATAAGAATAGGTTTTACCCTTTCTGGCAATGAAACAGGTGATAAGATGTTCAAACACCAAATATAAACTTTTGTATGGAATCATGTCTGCTTCAACCACACCTACTTATGGTGAATGCTTGGGTGTAACACTTTTTTAATAAACTGTTTCGATTGTCTCCTGTTTTAGTATTAAGTGGTTCAGTATATACGAGCATACATAACCGATTAGCATGGTTGGCTACATAAGGTGTTAAAGAAGTTCAACATAAATACATACATAACCAATTACATTAAGGTTTAACATGTAGGCTTTCACGACCAATATCATCCATAAGAGGTTTTTGGGTTGGATCACGTAAAAATATAAATGTGTAGTTAAAACCCGCCACCACCCGACACACCGGTGTGTTGGAGAGCCAAGCCACAACATTAACAAACTTTTGGCACGTTCTGTTTACGTAACAACCCTTACTAGTTGGCTGTGTCGGATGGTGGCGAGTTTTAACGACACATTTATATATTTGTGATCCAACCCAAAAACCTCTATTATGCAATTACATGAAACCTAACAAACTTCCAAAGGGGCACTTTAATAACTGAAACCTTTTCGGTTAAAGTTGGGTAGACAGCTGTTTGGACAACCAAATTATACTCTTGTAGCAAGTCTTTGTGTAATGTTAGGTTAAATAAACACATATTTCCCACCATTCGGAAGTGTGAGCATCAACGATAAAGGCAAACTAAGTTAAAGAAAGCTTTGGAGTGGATTGGGAAGTCAAACAAATGCACATTGCGAAACCGAAATATATATAATGGTAAAACCTTGAAATAACACGTGTATTAAATGAGTAAATTCCCAAAATCAAATCAAGTAGAAATTAGCACATCTCTTACTAATTAAACAAGGTGGGTAATGTATAATGTATTGTGTTTCGTGTTATAACTGCATTTGCATGCATTACTTAAGCTATCAAATGGCCTGGCAGGCCCAAGTTTGCCATTTCCTTTAACACAAACGGTTGAAACTTGTATTAAAAAAACCACACGAAAGAATGCATCCTGTCTGCATTGAGCAAACCATTCAGGCTTGCCTGTGGCGGTATCAGGGTCTAATGAATAATTGATTGGCATGGACACGGATCTCCAATTCGGCTAAAGGATACACTGACAAAATGATAACATCTAAGTGTCATGATGCAGATTCTGCCCAGCTCACCACCCTGCATCATTGTCCAGTTTAGGATTTATCCAGGAAGCATGTACACCCACTCAAAGAACACAAGACTATATTTGACTGATTTTATGGATATTGCTACCCACAATCTTACATTTGTAGAATAGCATGAAAATTACACCCCCATCACTGTGTAAGCCCTGATATTTTCAAAAAATCAACGATGAGATGAGAAGAAATTATCAAATGTTTTGTCTCCACATTTATTACTCTACACAATGATACATTTGTAGCAAAACAGCTTTTAGTCGTAGAATATATTGACCGAATAAATTTGTTTTTATTTTAGGAAAATAAATTTAACTTCATAAATTTGACACTGAAAATATGCAACGTCTCATTCCGGACAATACTATGGCTTCCAATAGTCCACAAAACACAATTCCATGTTTGTGGGGTTGTAACCAATAAAGATAACACTCATTTCCGCTCCCATTGGTACATTCTAAACATACACGTTTATATTTCGATTTAAAGCTTTCGTGACTGCAGTGATTCATATTCTTGGCTCTTTCGGTAAAGTCACGTAGAAGGGAAATAATAAAATTAAAAAAATTAAACAATGAAATGCTCACGACGTTTCGATTGCAACACAAGCAATCATCATCAGGTGTGAAAACCACAGCAAGAAAATTTGAAAAACGAAATCGAAACGTCGTGAGAATTGTATTTTATTTTTATTATTTCCCTTCTACGTGACTTTACCGAAAGAACCAAGAATATACACGTTTGTCATTAGAGAATGTAGTAATGTGTCATGGACAAGTCTGTTGTGTGCACCAATGGCCTAAACGTCCTTTTAAAAAATGAACAAGCACAAAATCTACATGTGTATTTATGGAAGGCCGTATATACAGTGAAATACTCTATTCTACATGTACAAACAAAATTGTTTATGGGTAGTTGCAGATGGAATCTTATCAAAATAACAAGTGCGCACAAGTCTGGAACAAATTAATTTCAAGCAAGCCCAGACAGGAAGAGCAATGTAAACATCCTACTTCAAAAATCAAGCTGAAACTACATCATTAAACGTAAAAAAGTCTAAAGTTTAGCCACTAAATGCTCAAATCAAATTGCCCTCTACAGTTGATTCACATTGAAGCGACCCGTCAGTTTATACAACGTGTATAGTGTACTCTCAAGCATATCCAGTATAACGCTTTAAAGTTAGCCAAAAACCGTCAAATACAGATTACGTCATTCTGCCCATGAATGCACTGCTATTTTTCAAAAATTTCAACCATCTATCGTAGAATTTCATGAAGCTATATATATGAAAGGAGTTTAACGCCACACTGGGTGTGAAAATGAAAACTCGTTCATCTTTAAGAGATGCAAAAATCAGGTACGGCGTCTCAGCATACAAATGGTTCTCTGTTGACTTTCCACACACCCACGCAATCATTCAGTCTTGCACATTTCCCATGGACTTCACCCACATATTCGTCTCCCCTCTATTCTTCTTCATGGCTTGCATTGGTCCGGTAAATAGACTGCCGATATTAACCGTGGTGAGCGTGGCGTTAGGACAGGACGGGGTTCTACCTGCAGATGTTTATGACTAACCTTCCTCTTTTTATCCTTACTTAGCGCAACTCTTACACACTTTAAAACAAATATATCAATTGTCGACTGCACGCAAATTAGTCTGATCAACATTTATATTGAGAACATTCAATGACTAAAAGATCTTGAAAATAAAACGGTTGTTGTTTATTGAGAGGAAAGAGCCATTCTTGCCAACTCGCCTTATTCAGCTATTCATGACGTAAATAAAAAAAACTTTGTTACATTTGGTTTAACCTTGTTTAAAACTCAGTGAAGCATACATTCTAAACCATGTATTCATGATCAACCCACTACACAGCTCCATTACATAATTTTTGTAAACTATTCCTGCACGTATTTCTAAACACAACACTTATCTCTTTCTTCTCGTTACTTTGACTGGCACGTTGCTAGTGTTTATACATACAGCACAATTATCGTTATCAGCAATTAGGAACTGCATTGGCAGTTATGTGGTATAAACGACAGTATCACAGAATAGTATTACATTGAAGACATGAGTGTTTGTAAATTATGACAATGGTTACGTGTGTCATCCATCTTTTTCTTATCGAAACACCCTGTGACTGAAACATAACCGAACTGCAGTATTGTATATATTTATCTAATCTTAGATGTATGTAAGTGACTATCCATGACGAAGAGTAAACATTTTCAGCCACAATTAAGACATTGGGTGACTTTTCCACTTGACATACGCTCTTTGAAGGGCACATGAAATGTGTTGCCTAATGTGCAGAAATACCTACTGAAGGCACCACGAAAGCACAGAAGTTCTGATGTCGACTTCCAAAGGCATTTCTCTGTAGAAGTGACTTTACACATTTATCATCGCGTGAAATGAAACTAATTTTAAAACAAGTAATTTAGTGGCCCTTTTGACAAACCAGTCCAATAAACATATATTACATACTTCCTTGATTTTTATATACCAGGTGTGAGCCCATTGAGAATAAATGTATTTTCAGCAGACAGCCGAGTCACAAAGCAATAAACCTCTAGACAAATGGTTGAAACATCTAACGTCATAACATTAAAACAACGTTACACATGGATATTGGTACAATGACATGACATTATTTATCTACAATAAAACAAGGAATGCATGATATACTTAAAAAAAACATTCATTTCCAGGAAGCTACATTTTAGTTATAAACGAATCTATTTTAAAAGCAACATTGACAATACCGATATAAAATATTGCCATCGGCCCAGATCTGTATTTGATTAATTTAGCACCTGCACATGCGTTCATCTCATCGCTCCATCTCCACAGTGGATGTGCGCTCAGGTGTGATTCCACATTTGGCTGCCTTTCGTTGTTAGTTTTGCCCATCGATCATCATCCCTTCTCGCGAAGCGTCATGTCAAGTCCATTTACCTGGCTTTAAGCTGTCAATAAGAGGTCTGTAATGCGTTATTGTTCTCCGTGTGTTCATCTGTCAGTTTTATTCCAAGCATGCACGTCTCCATGCTATATTATGGAACTTTTAGATGTAATTTTTTTTCTTCTTGGCTCTTTCGGTAAAGTCACGTAGAAGGGAAATAATAACATAATAAAACATAACAAAATTCTCACGACGTTTCGGCCACAACACAATCAGCCGTCCTCAGGTGAAGAAACAGAGCTGTCGGAAAGACAGCTTTGTTTTTTGATTTTATGTTAATTTTATTTAATGTTTTAGTTTATTATTTTATTATTTCCCTTCTACGTGACTTTACCGAAAGAACCAAGAAGATGAATAATCCCTGCAGTCACGAAAGCTTTAAATCGAAAGTTATTTTTTTTTGTTCATGAACATGTAAAAATATGAAATATTCACCGATTAAAAATGTTCTTCCGGCACACTGGTATACTCTATTGCTTTTCATTATTCACTTTAGTTTTCCAAAAGCACTCAAACCTCTTATGTCATCGTTTGGCACACCTTAAATAGTTTCCGACGCTTTACATACACCGTTATGTTTACTAATGGTATTCTGCATATGCAATTACGTACGGTGATATACGGGTAAAATGGATTGGGACACATCTGGAATGATAAACACATGATAAAATAAAATTAAAAACCGCTGAATAAATGCCAAGAAGGGCCCAGAAAGTTATGCGGTGGGCCCCACCCCGGGCAAACTTCCAACAAAGGGGCAAAAACCAAAAAAAAGCCCGTATAGCCTAAACAGCCTTGGGGTAAGTGCTGTTAGTGAGTATCACCCTGTGGCACACGAGGGCGTGGGTGGCCAGCACCACGCCCGGCCGTCTTTGTCTCCCCAAGTGGCTCTGTTTAACACGCTGCACCAGGTCCCAATTTGAGTCCGAGTCGACCTAGGGGAGGCCCATGACCGGTCAAGATAATCGTCACCGGTGGTGGTGGCCGTGAGCAGGGAATCGAACTCAGATCATTGCCGGCAGCGTAGCGCTAACCGCTGCGCCACCGCTCCCTGCAAGTGAACTCAATTTCTTTGACACTCCGAGCGAATGAAGCAACCAAAAGAGGAATGGGGCGTCATTAAGGTCCACATTTGTGCGTGTGCGCTTGTGTCTGCGGTGAAAATTACGGAGAAATACCAAACCACAATCGCCAAACCACTTACCGGCTACTTGGTCTTCCGAAAAGTCAGACTGAAACAAGCGAAACACAGCGGACACACGTGAGACACGTCGTCACGTCGCGTTGACTTGCGGCAGCACGGTCAATTATCATTTCTCCAGGTAATGTTATACATTTTTTGTGTTCTTTCAAGTCAAAAAAACATTATAATGTGTCAACAAAAATGTTCGCTCACCATCGCTGCTGTCGCTGCTGCTGCTTCTTCTGTTGTTGTTGCTTATCCCGGGGGCGGGGCGTAGCGGAGGGGGCGGGGCATAGTGGAGGGGGCGGGGCATAGCGGAGGGGGCGGGGCGTAGCGGAGGGGGCGGGGTATAGTTGAGGGGGCGGGGCGTAGCGGAGGGGGCGGTAACCTCCTCACCGTGGTTACGTCACCGTCGCCCTGCGATCGTCCCCGCCCTCGCGTTACATTTCCCACAGCGGATGCGCAGCTCGAATCGGCCAATCAGCGCGCGCGGCTCCGCGGGTTTAACCAATCGAACGGCGGAGAATTTCCTCTCCCCCTCCCCCCTCTCTCTATGCGAGCTAGGAAATGTAATCCCCCCGTTCGCGGTTGCTTACCGTGCAGTGTGGTGTAGACGCGCATCTCATGCTGTTTTGTTTCGGCATCTCCACTTGATGCAATTACGGTAAGAGACACGCGGACGGCAGTTTTGGAGTGATTCCGTGACTTTGTTAGCAGCGTAAGTCATGCCAGTTAAACAACCGGACATGTATTCTTTGTTCTTTCGGTAAAGTCACGTAGAAGGGATATAATAAAATAATGGAAATATTAAACAATAAAAAATTCTCACGACGTTTCGACTGCAACACAAGCAATCATCATCAGGTGTGAAATCCACAGCAAGAAAATTTGAAAACATTTTAAATTTTCTTGCTGTGGATTTCACAAATCTGAATTGTTTTCAAATTTTCTTGCTGTGGATTTCACAAATTAGAATTTTTTTTTTTATTTTCTTGCTGTGGATTTCACACCTGATGATGATTGCTTGTGTTGCAGTCGAAACGTCGTGAGAATGTTTTATTGTTTAATATTTCTATTACTTTATTATTTCCCTTCTACGTGACTTTACCGAAAGAACCAAGAATATGAATCCCTGCAGTCACGCAAGCTTTAAATCAAAATTTAACCGGACATGTGTTAAAAAAAAAAGATTTTTATATAGCAATCATCGGATTTCTCCAGTGTAAATATCCTGAATCTGAGCAACAAACAAACTTCTGCCAGGCTAGGTGCACCATGACCAAAGAAGACGACAACCCACAGTGCTGCTCATCTTCCACCCCAAGCGCACGTGGTCGGAATTCCGCAGTTTCGTAGCAGGCTTCGAAGTTCCTGTGCAGGGCATTCGTTCGAGAAGATCACTGTTCACTTTTGAGCACAGGGCAGTACGGTATTCGTTTTATCCACCGCGGAAAGATGATAGGTTGAGTCCACCGCAGAATGAATTTGAACTCGCTGCCAGTGATTGAGTCTAAGGTTGTTGTTGTTGTTGTTCAGCCCACTCAGTGGCAATTCCTGCGTTGGCATCAATTTTGGAAAAGGTTATTTGCAGGGCAGCAAACGCCTTATGTGGAACCTTTTAGGGTAGCGGCCACAGCGATTCATTGCAAGAATTTTATCCGATGAGCATATTCCCATTTTTGGAGTCAAGTTTTGCTTTTTGTTGTTGTTGTGAGGCTTTCCAATATGTTTTTTATAATCAGCTGACAATATTACATCGCACATGTGATTCCTTGGGGCAAATTGTTGGGTGGTGGGGGGGTGGGAATTGCAACGTTAAACACATTTCCCAGGTAAATAAAAATTAATCAAAGTCAAATAAAATAAAAAATAAAATCACGACGTTTCGGAGGCAAATGGGTCAATGTATTTGAACAAAAAAAATGGCTGTGTTTCTACGTTATCCGCACTGCTAGCGGTAAAAGTTGCAATTGCTGATACCGTCATCATCTCAAGACGTGGTCTGTCCAGTGCTGGATGAAGGCATCCCTAAGCCGGTGACCCACCACCACGTGTCACGGTCTACCGATGCGATCCACCGAGCCACACGCACACACGAGGTCCTTTCATAGCTCCATCTCTGCGGCAGACGTGCATCTCGGGCGTGTTTTTTGTTGTTTTAGTTGCCTGTTTAAAATAATCTCGACCGCCTGCCCGAGTCTGCTCACAGTCCCTGTGATGCCTTCACGGCATTGTTCTCTGATCCACGTGTTTATCCCCACTCTGCTATAAATGTCCAAATGATGAGGCCACTTTATTATTGAGCTATTATTAAAATAAGTTCCTACCTCAGTGGGCTCTGTCTGGAAGGACGGGGTATGGTTTAGTTGTATCTGTTTGGGTGATTTGTTTACCTTTCTTGTACTTCATCATGTGTTTGTGTCGTTGTTGTTGTAACTGGACATCTGTGAAAAAGAGCTTCATAGCTCCTCGGATTCCTCCACTATAAATAAACATCGGATTCTACCATCGTGGAAATCGTCTTGCAAATTTATCCAGGGTAACTCCGAACATGTACCGCCCGTTTAAATATCCAATATCCACCCATCCATCCCCTCTTCATCCTCGTGCCCGAGAGCCTCGGGACAGAGTCAGTTGGGGTTCGGTTAGACCGGCACCATGAGGGCCCAGAAAACCCTGGCTGGGCCAACCCAGACCCCAAGGGTCCCACCAAGGGCCCCAGGGATCATGGTTCTGCTGCTGTTTGCAGTGGCCACGGGGGCAGAGCTGTTGGCAGCTACAGGCAAATAATGACGCACTGCACTGCAGATAATCACATTGTCACACAGTATCGTTGTAACATTGTGATGTCTTCTGCAAATGCCATCCAAATAACGGATGTTATTTAACATGTTTTGCTTTAAAAAAATATTTTATTTGCATTATTGTGATAACACGATCATGCATGATATACAAATGCATAATAATAATTGTGTCACGTATATATAATTATTTTCCTGAAATTAATTGTGGATTGTTATTAACGTGCAATTAGGTAAACGCTGCTGTGTGCTTTTGACCGTTAACGGGTGTAGGTCGTGTCAAGTCTAGTTCACTTCATGATAAACCATACAGGACATTAACGACGGGATCAAGGTCGTTTAATCAACATCCAGAACACAAGTCTGTATGCCTTGGCTGCAAAAACACACACATGGGACTGTAAGGGAAACCTTTCTTGTGCAATTGCATGATTTATACAAACGTTGCAAAATAACTGCTGTATAAACGCTAACAACGAGGGTGTGTCACTTTCTAAGTGTCTTGGGATTCAACAATACAAGGATCCCGGCCTTAAAGATGTATTTGCACGTTGTCTAAAAGTGCAATTATTCCTTATAAATCAAGCCAGTACTTAACTAAATATGATTCTTGGTTGAAATACAGTACATATAATTCAGTTGCTTTAATGCCTTACCGTTATGTATTGCTCAGAGTCGGTGGTGGTGCAGAGGTGAAAGTTGATGAGCTGAGTTCGATTCCTGGCATGATTCCTGGAAGGACTTTATCCAGCAATAGTTTTACAAATGGCTGTAAATTATTGTTCAGCATTTTAATGGACATCATCACTAATGTTCTAAATAATATTGTAAAACTTCCCATAGAGGCTAACCCCCCTATTCCTGATGACGACCGCTTGTGTTGCGATCTAAACGTCGTGGTTTCTTTATTCACTTAATCTTTATTATAATTTTTCCTGCGTCAGCAGTTATCCTGCTGTGTTTGTCTCACCTGATGACGGTTGCTTGTGTTGCGATCGAAACGCCGTGATCTATTATTTTTTCTACCTACGTGACTTTACCGAAATAACTAAAGAGTATGGATTCCTGCAAGCTTTAAATCAAGATTGAATATAAGCTTCCCATAGTTTATGGTTCAAAACCCCAATAACTAAGCCATGCTTAGCTGAGTGACTTTTATGTGTTTGAAAATTGAGTACATTTGGCAGAAAGTTATGACTACATGGTAAACGCGTAAAATACATTTGTTTACAAACGTGATTTTCTAAATCAAGGTATAAACCTTCACCTAGGTATATTCTGTATACATGCAAGCACATACATCTGTGTAAATGAACAAATACCTTTTACATGTACGTCTCTGCAGTGAAGATAAAAATGTAGGATCTCAGGAGTTGAGTAAATAATTTTTACTATGAGGGTGTTCATATTAAAACAGACATGAAGATGTCCCACAAACACCCAATAATAGATGTTGCCAAACCTTCTTACGACTTCGTAACGTTTATCTGGATAAATAAAGGGCATTATTTAATTTGAAGGTGTTTTAAACATTTTATTCTGCTCATAATGCTGTAATGGTCAGTCACACAAGTTGTTTTCCAATTTGCATTTTAACAAAGATGATTCTCATTCAAATAAGTACGAGAATATTTGTGCTGCTTTAACTTGTACTGCCACGTAATGTGGATTTGCGTTGCATTAAGAAGTGGGCCTGTAATTTTTGTGATTTTTTTGTTGTTGTTGCGTATACACAGACAATGGACAGCTAGCCGAGCCCCAAATACAAGCCGGCCCTCTGAGTGTAGGGCACAAGTCCATCTATGGGAGAGAACACAAATCAGGTAAAATGCGTACTGTAGTGGATCAGTAGGGAAGAGGTTAATACAGTATCTCAACCTTATAGCTGAAAGGTAAACATTGAGCTCAGCACTTATTAAAATCACACCATCATGGGACATGTCTGTAGACATTGGTATGTGACATTTTTAAGTTGTGTGGGATATTTTATTGGCAGTACAGCAACACATTATCACACATTTACATATATTGCTTCTGAAAAAAACGTGTACATCCATGTAGTTAAGTTATCAACACCATGCATTTATAGTCCACATTGCTGCGTATGAAAATTTAACTTGGGTAAATTCTGCTTGTTTAATTAAAGTTACTGATATAAATACCACCTCTCGTAGGAGTAAATTGATGCCTTTTATGAATTTGAATATATATAGATATGTCTATCCACCACTGGATGAGGGTCTTCCCATGCAATAAGGCTCGTAGGGGTTTACCATACTTCATTAAGCGGGTAAGTGTGTGTTGGTGAAGGTGGGGAGAATAGATGATTAGAGGTGGGAGCATTGAAATACAGCACAACTACGGATTTTGATCCACTGCCCTCTGCTACTGACAACAAAGCGCAGGCCACCGATGCCGATGACAACCTGTGTGAGTGCTGGTCATCCATCCAAATGATACAAAAAAAATATAATTAATATGGCCGCTCAAATGACTCTCCATCAAAATAATAATATGACACGATATTGAAATGAGTCCTTGTGAACACAAAAATTAATATTTATGTTTATTTGCATAACACTATGTTGGAGCCTCAGTTATTAGATAATTATCTTGGTATATGCTGCACTACTTATACAAATGAAGCTCATTTGATATAACGTGTGATGGACATGAAGTCTTTGTCAAAATGAGCCAATATTAACTATTTATTGAACGCCCACCTTCCCAAAGTGAATGTGTATGTGCGTGTGCATGGAAGGAGCCCGCTCATCCACTGCCTTCGAGAAGAGCAGCAGGAGAATCATTATGAAGAGTTCCATGTGGCGTGGGGTGGCCCAAATGGACGTCTCGTTCCAGGTCTTTCCAGCTGTTTTCCACGGCAGTATACACCATGTTCACACGTGTGCGTTTCAAATAAGTGATATTGAAATGTAAAAATAGAAATTTGCGTCTTTGTTCAACTGCACTTAAGCTTCCCATAAGTCACACCAATTTTTGCCACCTCTTTTCTCTAGCACACTGTTACCTAACAAATTACGAATGGAAAATAACGTTTTGATATCCACGTTCATTCAAATTTGACAGTATTTCTTTTGATGCATAATAGTACGTCATTTTGTTATTCAGTCAAGTGTTTTTTCTTCCGTGTTTTTCCATTTCATTGTACAATGTCCTTTACAGGAGAAAATACTAAAGAAAAACATGAAGGCACTTGGCTCATTCTGCATGGAATGTTGCCCAACATGTCAGGTCCTTACCAGTGCGTTCTGTCTTACAAAGAGAAAGAAACCCACACCCTTATGAGAGTCTCACTGAGCTTCATAGTCTACGGTACGTTACTGTTTTGTGATCGAAAGTAAGGAAGATCACTGATGGACAAAATCGGAGACATCCTCTCACAATGTTACATTTACATCACGATAAGTGATTCGGAATTTACTTTTCAGTTTCTGAAAGATGCACAAAATACACCTTATTACCACATGCTGACCAACAAGTTAACTTCTCTGCGGCAATAATCAATTTTGCATAAACATGAACATGGGCATCCTTGCAGTGGCTTCCAGTCATCCTCGATGCGGCTTTTGGCAAGCTATCGAACAAAGACGGTCACCGCATCACACGCTTTCAGATGCGTTTCTGCTGCCGTCTGGAATGCTCTTCCTTCCGATATTAGGAAGCCGCTGGAGCTATGCACTTTTAAATCTAGATTGAAAACTCATTTCTTTATAAGTGCTCTTTGTGTTTAGTTTGGTGACCTTCCCCCCGAACTTCTGATGAGCACGGTTGGCTATGTACAATGTGAAAGAAATTCGACATACATATATACAAGTAGGTTTCTGACAAGCAAATTGTGTATGTCTCGAGTGTCCTCCCTTGTGTGCATGTGTTTTCCCCAGTCAGTTCAATTTCCTCTCATATAAGACATAATTGGCCAAACAATTGGCTACGTACGGTGCGAAATAAGCTCAACATACAACATATACGCTTAAGCAGCCCCCTGCCATGTCATTGTACCTACTGCAGCGTATCGCGAGGTGCAGATGGCGCACACCTTTCTGGTGAATTACTATGCCTCAAGCTGCACAGGATACAACAACAATCTGGTGCTGGACCAGCTGGTGGTGGTGCTCAATGGCCTCCTTCGCCGGCTGTACTGCAAGGTGGTGCGGCCCATGCTCGTGTGTCAGTCCATTGTGTACCGCGACGTGGGCCGGCAGTACCTGCTGGAGATCTCCTTTGTCGGTTCGCAACACTCGACACCACAGCCACACCTTGGACGTTTTGGGTGTCCTACCCGCGATCAGATTCCGACTGGTTATTGGTTAGAGGACAGATAAAGAGTGATACATCATTTGCTAATGCTATTTGACTGTGCATTTGTGTGCTAACTGTGGGAATGCATTTGTGTGCTGACCAGGGGTACACAATTTTGTGGGTGTCCCGTGGCCATATCTAAACGTTGTGAGGGTGTGTGAACGCCCACGACACCCACAGTGGCTGTGCTTCTGCCATAGTTGCTTACATTATGTACCTACGATACACTGGTATTGAGCAATTATGCCGATAAATGTCCCTAACTCAAGAGAGTTAGGGACAACTCAAGAGAGTTAGGGACTACGTTTTCCCATTGAGCTACTCTTTATAATGTTTTTAAACGTATTAATTTGGCTGTCTTACATAATTAGTCATATCTGAACTGTTCCTGGTCCACCCACTTCACCGACCCACACTGACCAGCATAAGGAGACCGTCATTCAGTAGCAGATGAACAAATTACTAAATTCTATGTAAATCGTTACTTAGTAATGTATACAGAAGTATGTAACACCAAGCACTGTACACATTACACGGAGTTTGGTGCCGTATACATTTTTTCGGAACTTAGAGCGGTATAACCATATACAATTAAGTCATTTAATGGTGTATTGTATGGTAGATTTTTATTTTTCTGTGCTCTATTTTGTGTACATTTATGAACCGTAAAAAAATTTCCTTGTTTGCAATATAAAATGTGTGCCAATGTAGATAATGGGCCTTACACTGAAAAGCCATAGTGGTTTCCTGGCCCAAGCAACCATGGGGTAGGGCTCAGCTACCATTCATAGCCTTGATCCAATTGTGAAAATTACACCTTCTTATGATAGCACGGAATCTTCATAGAATGAGAATTGTTGATTTGCTTCGGAGTACTCATTCTAGGAATTCTGGATGGTTGAAAAAATTAGTCGATCTCCAAATGGCTTTTGAATTTCACGTCCTTCCGATTGTGAATCATGTGCTCTAACAATCGAGCCACCCAATGTAAATTGTCTGTTAATTGCACTTTTATTGAACATCTCTTTAGAAATAATATGTTCTAGAAATGTACAAACATAGTAGCCTTTTAACAGAGCATTGCTTTTTATATGACACATGAACCTTACACCTATAAACGAGTTTTTTTTTTATTAGTGAGGCCTTGCAACTTGGAAACAGATGCTGTGGTCTTTGTGCTTTTCCCCAAGTTGATCCTTACGGCAAAAACTGGCTGAAGACATGCGATGGTCTTTCTATGAAGAAATGTGAAGTCTCCTTAAACCTCAGAGAAAAAGAGGTTTGTATTTTATATTTGAAAAAGTCATGTAATACTGCTTAACCTGCGTATTTGAATTCCCTTTGCTAATTAATTGTATGAAGAAATTTGACACGACTTTCATCATGCGAAACAATACACACCCAATTAACAAGCTCCAAAATAACGTCAATGAATCTTTTAGGTATCGAAGACATCGATTACACTGAAGGCTTCGAATGGATTACCTAATTGACATTCACAAATGTGTTCGTTCTTGCACCCCAGGCTAGTAATATTGTCGAGTCGTTTTTCAAGAAGCAGGAGAGGATAGTGCGCTTCCTGGAAACTCTGCCATCCATATATCTCATTGGAGGCTCGTTGTACAAGTTTAAAGATGCACACTGCATGCCGGGTTATGGGAAGGACAAGATCATTCATCCCGATTGTTCGAGCTGCTGTGGTAAGATGTGAATGCAGTAGGTGCGGAGCAGATGGAAAAAATGGAAACTTTCAAACGAATGCTTGTTTATCTCATTAAAATGGTTGAGTGACGGTATCTGATGGTAAAAATGTCAACGTCATCCTCTCGAGCTATAACATCAAACAACGCGTCTATATTCAATTTACCATAACAGTGCCATGTAAAATTTTGTTTTGCTAAGCTAACATGTACTTGTTGGTCCCAGTCTGGCACGGTATGCCAACCTCTGATTAAGCTTTGGCGAGACACAGAGAACTTGTAAACGTTTCTAAACATGGTTGGGGTTCGTGAGGTAGCGGGCCTCGTCCGGAATATTATCGTGATGTCTGTCTGTTGATCGATTGTTTGCTCTAGAGTGTGAGAGTCCTGATTTTGGAGAGGTGATAGTTTTCATTTCAAGGGATTCCACATCATAAAAGTCCTACAAACACACCAGCAGCACCAAAACCTTGTGTGTAAAACAATCACTTCACTCGGATCATAATGCATACAGGTTCTAAAACAAAAAGAGTCCACAGGTCATCATAGCCAATGCTAATTGATGCCACCGCACCGTGTCATCATAACTTATTTTGATGGACACCACAGTGGCTGAAACTCGACACGTGACCTTCAATATCCTCTCACAGTGTCCCACCAATTGGCTTTTTGGTCTTCTTTGTTGCCATCCTTTGGGTTCCCACTCCAATATCTGTCTCGTGAAGCCTCTCTCTCTTTTACATTATAGATTCCAAAGAATACACATACTCGTTGCTTCCGCTTTATAATTACATGTACAAGTTATTTTGCCATGTTATATTACGAATTGCCAGGTTGTGTATCCTATATAGCCACACATTCCAATTATCCTTAGCGTGTACCTGTATTCAAAAGACCTTACGTTTATTTTCTATTTGCCTCGTAAAATTCCAACTCTCTGACCCATACAGTAACACGTAAAAGACGTATATAAAATACTTAAAAAGGGTATGTTAAATAACAATTGTACTATGGGAAATGGTACCCAGACTCAACGCACTTGAGGACACTCCATATACAACGGGTTTGCGATAAACATGAGGACATTGACAAAAGCAAGTTAATGATGTATTAGAAATACTTAAGCTAGGCTTTAAAATCCAAACAGCCCATTCAGAGCGTGATGAAATTGAGACAAGATTGTTTCATTTGGTTAAGACGTTAAGGCATGCATGGTGTGGCGTGTACATTCAGGTTTGTGTTTTTTATACACAGAACCATTGCATGGCCACGTATTTACATCAGGACCTGACATCATATTGTGATTAATAGCAATATTCCTACGGCTGTCTGACATAGTCCAATAGAAATAAAGATAACAGACCACATTGGAATGTAAGTCATGCAGCTATTTTAGTAAATCGTACAGCTAGTTTAATAAAATTAAACAAGATCAGTGTGCAATGTATGATGCTTAGAGAACCCTTGCATAATGTATTTACTTTTACCTGGTGTAATGGTTGCTGAGGATTGCAAGTCAACAGGACACTGTTTACTATGTAGGTCTTCGTATAATGGGATGTGGAGCATTATTGTAGTGCACTCTGTGTTCTGGACTCTTGACATGTGCTTTACTGAAATTAATACAATTGTATGGCATGGAACAATGCAGGGGTGTCGTTAAACATGGAGTAAAATAACCGACGGAAAACTCCATTTAATTGTAAATTTGTTCAGGTGAACATGATGCAATGCATGTATTGTGAGTGCAGGATCAATGTTATCATTGTTACTTCTGCTTGCAGTGGTGTGCAGCCCTCAGATGTACAGCTCCAATACAGACGTCAGATGTGTGGAGTGCAAGAATGCTACCCAATACGGAGCTAGCGAGTGCTGATGACACCATCAAGTGGTGCCATTGGAGAGCACGTGCAATAATTTTATAAGCATGTACTGTAATATGGAAATTATATGCTTCACTCACTCAAAGCAACTGACATCTCATCTCAAATATTCAAAGGCCAGCTGTCCCTCTGCGGCATGAGATGACATAGCACTGGCCTGCAAGTGGGAATTAGTCTGCTCGTAGGTGGCGATGATTGCTATGTGTGATTCCAATTGAGACATTTGAGTAACGTGGGTAATCTTTTTAAAAATAAATTGAGATTTGGTCCATGACGTCAGCACACAATGCCAAAAAGGTTTCAAATGATGTCACGAGATATTTTACATCCACAGTGAAGCAGCGGTTTATTCACCAGAAGTATTGACCTGGGCGGCCTATGGGATTTGAACCACAAACCTTTGCAGCAAGCGGTGGATGCGCTACCGCTGGGTGATGCCACCACATGCGACATTTTGTAATAATACTCTTGGAGACGGCTTGTGGAATCGGTCCTTTTATTTACTTATCTCAGTTCACAAGCACTCCCCGTTGCTGGCAGGCAACGGGAAGTGGGCAGACAGATCGCAAGAGACGCACCGCCACGTGGCACTCGGAGCCCCGCTCACGCGTGGCCCCTCTCTCTCTTTGTTCCTCGTCTGACCCCGTGTCCCTCGGCTCTTCCCTTATTTAATGCCTGGGTCACGTGGTACGCTCCAGCCAATCCTTAATAGCCTGCGCTGAATGTTCCAGATTCCCCATCAACTCCCGGGACCACACCCCTGACTTGTCTTCCCATTGGCTGAGGCCAAGACCAGCAGAACCAATCATCCTAGCTGACATCCCTCGACTCGATCACGCCGGGGCCATGCTCCCAGGCTCTCCCCCCATTGGCTGTAGAGCAGGACCGGCAGAGCCGATCACCACGTGAGCCGGACATAGGCTCTCATTACAGTTTTATTGAACGATGCTGTATAAAGCAATTGTTATTCATTCACGGCCTCATTCGACAGCTTTTCCTCAATAAAAGAACAGCTTCAGTGTTTACTAATCTTATGTACTATTCATTTATCATGCAGGAGAATGTGATGCAATTGCTGTCGTTATTGCAATCATAGGTAAGAATGTAAACGACTAGCCGATGTTTTTATATTAAACGATAAACAGTCATTATGGAAACTTTTCAATGAAGTTCTCTGAGTCCCGATGAGGATTTCTAGTTTTTCAGAAGGTGTAGTTTTGCAGGTTCTGGTTGTAGCCTTCTCAGTGAAGGGTGACAGGCAGGAAGGAATATTGCTGGGATGACGTAAAGTAAAAAACAAACTTGACATTCGTCAATGACATCAGGTAGAGATAGAAAGGTAAAAAATAATGCCGACTGTTAGAATTAGGTATGACATCATATCTGCCTTCAAAATGTTAATAAAATCACTTGGAAAGAAGTTGACAGTGACACATCGCAGAGTATCAATATGGAATCATATGTTAAGGTCGAGACCAATTGTGGAAATATTTGTTGGTTAATTATGCAAATTAAAGTTGCGTATACATGACGTGCCCCTTTTGCCATGCAAAGGCTACAATTGCGAGACGGCACGTATCCTGCAGCTGACGAGATGCCTCCATTTAGTTATCAGTAAGCTCCTGTGTGTGACTTCTCATACACTCGAGCATACAAGCCGCTTGACTCTTGGTTCACTGTTACTTTCGGGGCTTCCTGGCACCTTCCAAGAACACGCATATCCAGCTCAGCATAGTTGATGTTATCTTGATTGTCTTCGTCAGCCTGTAAGTAAGATTTAAACAATAACAATCACCGCCATCCTTCGTTATTACCATCATTTTAATTTATCAATAATTATCGTAATCCTAATTTATCACCATCAATATTGTCTTCATACCATCATTGTCAACTTAAATATGCATGTGAGCCTCCATCACAGATTTTTGTAGATAGTTTAAAAATGCTTAAAATAGGTGCAGAATTGACGTGCTGAACATGAGTTTGTGTGGAATTGGCATTTATTGTCATACTTTTAATCACAGCTCAAGCATGGATATATTAGCTGATACAGCACAATATATTTTGTTTTAAGGATTCCAGTCAAGGATTGGTTCAGTTACCGTAAGTACCATATTAAAATATTGTTAACAAAATACTGCTTGTTATTCAAATTTCATGTAGTAAGTTCCAGCATACGTCCTTCAATGGGCACAGATAAAACTAAACTAAACGAATTTTATTTTACCAGGTAAGGCCCACTGAACTACGTATTTTTCATAAGCGACCTGGCCACAAATGATAGCTCAACGAAGTGGCGTATCATGTGGACATTTAGAGCAGCCAAATACAGTAGAACCGCGGAGGTCGAACGCACCAGAGCTCGAACAAATCGGTGTTCGAACGATATTTCCGAACATTTTTTCGTCCCGGAAACCGAACGAAATTCGGAGGTCGAACGGGCAATTACGACTTGAAAGAACCTGTACGGCTGAGACGCGTATAGTCAGCGTGCAGGACGCTTGCCCAGACAAAGGTTTTACCACCACCTCCTCACCTTCCACTCAAGCCATCAACTCTCCTTACTACATGTAAAGTGAAGTTCAATGTTCATTTATTCCATATATTTATTCATTTATTCCATTTATTTATTGTGTTTATTGTTTTTTTTGCATGATTTTATGCATGTAATTACTGTAAACTTCGTGTAAAATGCTTTATAATGAGAGATTTCTTGTGTCTGGAACCAATTAATGTCATTTATATTCATTCTTATGGGGGAAATTAAGTCGATGTTCGAACAAATCGGTGTTCGAATGGCCTTCTGGAACGAATTAAGTTCGATCTCCGGGGTACCACTGTACTCTAAACGCAAGTTGATTCTAAATGTGGAAGGAAAAACCGAACAACCCGGAGAAGAATCCAAGGGAGAGCATGCACACTCCAAATATACACACGACCTCCTGCAGAAAAGGCGAGGCAGGTAACATCTCGCCTTCGCAAGTAGACTCATTGTATCTCATAACACATTCCTGCGGAGGGAGCTGGTAGGAACGTTGGGTTGCTCGGTCAATGGCCAGGGTCAACGGCGGCGTGGTGTATTCCGCAAATATGCCCGACTGTGAGGGTGGGCACAAGCCGGCGTGAGTAGGTTAAACGTTGAGTTTTATAAGGGCACCACAAGGTGACCAGCCCCTCCCCACCCAGCCCCACCCCTCCCACCCCCCACCCAGCCCCTCCCCACCCAGCCCCTCCCTACCCTCCCCACCCAGCCCCTCCCTGCACGACGGACACAATAATCCCCTGTGGGCTGGTGTAATCAGGATGTTCCTACCAGTAAAACACACTGTACATACTGGCCATAGATCTATATGCATTAGCCAGGATTAGTGCAAAAACAACCAATGCCTAAAAAATGAACATGAGAGTGTGACTGTTACACCATATTTATATTCAACTGACCTGGCAAGTTGTTTGTTGACCGACTTGTTTGTCTGCAAATGTAACAAGACATGAGGCACAACTTTAGACTGGTTTCATTCTTATTTAGACTCATCAGTACAATAGTCATCAATATTCACTTGCTATATACCTCTGAGAGCCCCATATACGGAGAGGGTTCTGTTGGAATGGGTTTTCCTGTCATTTACAAACTTGAGTCGCGTGAGAGCAACATGGACTTGTGCCATCAATCAACCGCCTTGAGGGGTTACGACAGGCGAGATATTCATCCAATAGTGGATAGACGTCGCTGAAAACGATTATGTTAACGGAGCAAGCAGTGGCACCGTGGTTTGTGCACTGCGCTATGAATTAACCCAGTGACACGAGTCCGATACCCGGCACCAAATGAACGGTGGTGAGTGATATCCGAACTGGTCCTGGGCCCCTCAGTTCACCAACCCATATTGACCAGAATGGTGAAGTATGATCAAACGACCCTCACAACCAAACATGGCGCATGGAGGCCGCATCCATCCATCCTTCATCCAACCTACACTTAATGCATGTTTACGTGGAGGGATGGATATGCGATGGAAACATTGCTTATTTATTCTGTAATCTATATTCGCCACGACAATTCTCATTGTTTTAAAAATGGTAGTGTGATGGTTCCCTGAGGAAGTATAGCATTTACGATACGTACAGTATTTAACAATTTAGCAATAGTTCTGAGATGTATAATTGAGGCCACGATAGTTTGGGTCTGGAGTGCACTTCAAGACAACACGTGATACGATTTAACAAAAATTGATGTTTTTGTTTGACTGTCATGAACTGTGGTATTCAAACAAGCATAATTGAAGACGTAGAGCAGATTAAAATATACATTCAATGTGTAGTGACATCGGGGATGTCACTGTATGGTGCCGGGTCATGCCGTTCGATGTTTCTACATCGTGGACAGCACCGTGTGGGTGGCTGTGTGTAAAACCAGCCCTAGCGGGGCTTGGGGAGCACTGGGATAGTGCGGGCACCACGCACGGCGTGTGGTGGGGGCTCCCCTGAGGGGGAGGGGGTGAGTGTCAGCCCAGGGGCAGGGTTGCCCCGGGTCGTGGCACTCTGGTTGACCCCGTAGACACGTGATCGGGTCTGTCCACACAGGGTGCTCCAGGTGGGGGACTAGTGGATGATCACGTGCCCGGAGAGAGCTCTTGAGAAGGATCGAGAGGGAACGAGAATGTTCAAGAAGGCGGGTGGGGCCGAGAGCGGAGCGGCCCCGACCGGAGAGGGATATAAGGTGGTTCCCTGAGAGGGACCAGAGTCGCTGTATTCTACAAGCTGGAAGCTCAACACCTAAAAGCTGGAAGCTCTATGTCTACAAGCTGGAAGCCCAACATCTACAAGCTGGAAGCTCAACATCAACAAGCTGGAAGCTCAACATCTACAAGCTGGAAGCTCAACATCTACAAACTTGAAGCTCAACATCTACAAGCTGGAAGCTCAACATCTACAAGCTGGAAGCTCAACACCTACAAGCTGGAAGCTCTATGTCTACAAGCTGGAAGCCCAACATCTACAAGCTGGAAGCTCAACATCAACAAGCTGGAAGCTCAACATCTACAAACATGAAGCTCAACATCTACAAGCTGGAAGCTCAACATCTACAAACTTGAAGCTCAACATCTACAAGCTGGAAGCTCAACATCTACAAGCTGGAAGCTCAACATCTACAAGCTGGAAGCTCAACACCTACAAGCTGGAAGCTCAACATCTACAAGCTGGAAGCTCAACATCTACAAGCTGGAAGCTCAACATCTACAAACTTGAAGCTCAACATCTACAAGCTGGAAACTCAACATCTACAAGCTGGAAGCTCAACACCTACAAGCTGGAAGCTCAACACCTACAAGCGGGAAACTCTACGTCCCAAGCTGAAGCTCTCCGTCCTACGAGGCAACCACGTGGTCGGAGACCCGAGTGAGGGATCGACCCTTTGTAGCAGTAACTCGCCGTAGTCTGGTGAAGGGGCAATTACCCCTTTGTGTTAAGGTGTTACAAATAAAAGTGTTACCTCTAAAAGGAACGTCTGCGACTCAGTTGGACCCACTACAAATGTAATCCTGAAAACAGGAATTTGCTTTACACTCACTATGTGTAAATATGTTTTATATATGATTTGTATATAATATATCTATATATTCAAGGATATGCATGTTTGATATACTGTTTTTATATATGATATATAGATATATCAGATATAAAAACAGTATAACCTTAAACTAATTTAATTCTCAAGACATGGTTGAAACTTCTGGTCGTGTGTACAGTGATTCACATATCTCTAGAAGCATACATGTTTTACCGTATTAGGTGCATTAACTACATTTCATTACTGACATACTGGTAAGGGTGTGTAGATTACATATATGTTAGGATGTTATCTATTTTGAGGTGTGTTCTTGCTTATCTCAGCTGATTTTCCACAGGCTGCTTAGAGGCTGCTTACATGTTTCCAAATATTGCCAATGTGCCATGTTTCCAAATATTGCCAAAGTGTGAATGAGCTGACATTTAATTGACACCACCTTTCCTTTTCTAACCCCTCTTGCAGTATTAACCTCTGTCAGTACAGACCATCCAGACCATGTCTGCCCTACCTTGGTGTCTCAGTATAGTGTAGTTTATGTTGAGTTCCTATAGGGAAGTCACTGTAACTAGCTTTGCAGTGCAAATTATTTTTAGGGTATTTTAGCGACTAGTGTTTAACAGACCCAATCTGGCATGACTCCGAATGCAGGCACTCACCACGGTGATGCTTCTTGCGGAACCAAAGTTTGAATCCAACAATGGGGGCGACAATCAATAGCAGAAGCAGCAGCACCACTCCTACACAAATCATGATCACTGCGATATGGGAAATTTATTTTATTAAGTAATGCACAGATGTTTCACTTACACCAGCAACAGCATTGTTTTTTTGTTTATAAGGTATTTGTGAGCAAGAACAATACACATATACTTGGAGAGTCAACCAATGTACATAATAAATACAATTCAGCACTTCGCCAATCCATTATTGGATGAAAGTTTCCCTATGCCATGACGTCATAGAAGTTTTCTTTCACCATATTTCAGCCTGCTGGTCAGTGCCAGTTAGAGAACGTGGTTGGGGGAAGCCCAGAACTGCTTCAGATATCATTCGTTACTCATAGTAGCTTTGGCTGGGAATCAAATTCAGGATTCCGGATTCATACTGCAGTGCAATAACCATCTGCACTATTTCTCCATTCCAATATATATTATACAATACTGGGAACTAGTGTACTTTACAGCTCATTGTCAACGCACTCGAGGATGAATGCTTCCCCTCACCTTATCAGTTATGGGAGTTTCTTTATTTCACGATACCGACCAGCGTGGGTTGTTTGGGGGGGAGGGTACTCGGGGCGAGTTCAGATTTCATTCGCCACTGATGTTAGCCATGCTTGACAATGATCAGCGTAATAGTGCAGTGCGATAACCACTATGCTACCAATTCTTAGGTTTTTTCGGTAAAGTCACGTGGGTAAAAAATTAAAATTAATAAAAGTAATAAAAGTTTAATTTTAATTTTTTACCTACGTGACTTTACCGAAAAAAAACCATAAGAATATGAATCCTTGCAGTCACGAAAGCTTCAAATCTACTATGCTACCTCACGCATACTGGGACTTACTTCCTTCAAATAATACATTTTGTACACGGACCAAATGTGGGTGTTATTAAAAAAAAAAATTTTTGACCATAAAAAGTTAGCGTATCCTCCCATATCACCCCATACCTGTCAGAAGAGAGATTTTGCATAAAAAGTGTGTCCTTATAATCATACATGACCTCCAACAAGATGTTTGGAAACAGTAATGTAACGTATTCTTTGGGTGTTTCGGTAAAGTCACGTAGTCAAAGAAAATTACAAAAAATAAAAAAATAAACTACGACGTATCGATCGCAACACAATTATTGTTGCGATCTAAACGTCGTAGTTTTTTTGTCTTCTTTTTTGTTATTTTATTTGAACCTATCTACGTGACTTTACCGAAAGATCCAAAGCATAAGAATTCCTGCAGTCACGACAGCTTTAAGTCAATAACTAATGTAACGTTCACCTCATACAATATATTCCATTTATAGAGAATGACAGTGCTTGCAGTTTATGGACTCACAATTTGTGTCGTATGAAGAGTCTTTATCTTAAAGTCCCCATGATGGGTATGACACACAGGGAAATTAGATATTACGGTTAAAACCCAGTATAAGTTCAGAGCATACAAAGCTATTTCAACCCCCATAAAATTGATAAAATAATCCGTTACATTTGAATCCCACTTTGGATAGCGGAGTGGCTTTCAAATAATTATCTCCACTTCATAACATTTGGGAAACACATTGAAAAATAATTTGAAAATACAGTGGATAAAGATGTATTCACCTAATTTGTCTACACTTGTGGAGAAAGCGATCGTAAAATTATACACATACAGTAAATTAAATATCAGAGTCATGTTGTTTGCACGCTTTATGCCCAGTTTCCATTAAATTCATGCAGAATGGCATAGCAGTGAACCGTGTTTTCCATGGTTCAGTGGTAATACGTCCTTTGAGTGGAAGATTTTCTTGAATATTTGTGCCAAAAAGACGCAACGTTTTTTAAGCAAAAATAAAATTGGCGAGTTGTGCTGCTAATTAATTTACAGTCATTATCAATAAAGGGATTTCCTTTGAGCTGTGCAGACAGGAACACCCAAGCATAAGCTAAGACTGCATAAAATTACCCGAATGGTGAACAGACTTTAATAAAAGGGCGGTAAAAATATGATATTTACAAATAGTCGTTATTGCTCTGTGTTTGTCTCCAGGTTTTATGCAACCTTTTGATCAATTTGACCGATTTTGAATAATGTCACTCCTTAATATCAACACAACTTTACAGGAAAGTGTAATTCTTATTGGAGTATCTTTGAGAGAGAGAGCTATAACGTAAACTGTAAGTTCAGATCGGTGTTGTTCAGGCTCAAAAACACATTTGGCCTTATTACCTGGGATGGAAGAGCCATGGGCTGTGGGGGAGGAGAAACACACACGAATTTGAATTGAACATGTCCCCACTATATTCAAACGTATGTTACAATCGAGCACAGACAACATTTTCTACGCTATGAAAAGGTTTAAGTACATCAAACTACAAAAAACATAAACGTGATTTCCTGCTTATCTCCTAACAGCCCTGAGCAGAGGCGAGTGTCTCCATAGGTCAACAATCGTTGACTTCCTCATCAAGTAGAAGTGGCAGCAACACAATAAAAAGGATGAAGCAACACGATGGCTTTTTTTTTAAACAGAGCTACGTGAGTAGCTCTGACTTAACCGAAAAAACCTAAGAATATTGGTAGCGACGTTCATTTGGAAAAAATAAATTTACGCCTATACAGGAATGTAAACTCTGATGTAAAATGTTTCCATTATGTAACATCTTACTTGATTTGGTGTGATTGATGACAAGCAGCTCCACCATGGCTTTACTTTCTTTATAGTAGTGCCAAATAGGTCCCAGTGCTATGCGATACCATGTTTGTGCTAAGCAGCAGTAGTTCCCTGCAGTTCCATTGAGAACCTCCATGAAAGTCAAATTAAACACGTTTCCGTCGGTCTTCCAGATCAATCTACCACCATGTGAAGAGGAGGGATAATCTTTTTTATACCAAATCTGATCTCTTCCACCTACACGGGATGCGCTGGCACAGTTGTTACTGAGTTTTGGGCATTTATGCCAGTTGACGGATAAATAATAATTTCCAGCTTCCTTTACAATGCACATTAAGGTTGTCTTTGAACCTTCACTCACGGATAGTTTCGACTGAGCCACCGACACGTTTAAACCATTTATCAGACCTGTGAAAAGAAATTATTTGCGTTCAATAAAAAGCAAATAAAACACAAAAAACCGACACAACAAAGTTTAAATTCAGACTATATGCCTCTATCACACCGTCCCCCGCATAAACAATACAACATATATTCTTGTTATGCAACCCATCCGCCACACGACCATCTGGGAGCCAATCTTATCAGCAGCATTGGTTCACTACACGCACACACTGTGGACCGGTCTCGACATGCAACATTTCATCAGGAGTCAGTTCTGCTTGAACCAACGCTGGAGAAATCGCCAGATGTCCACGGGCAAAGGGACCTCACTGTGTAAAACTATATAATGCATCACACAAAATACCCATTGTGGCTGATAACATGAGCTCCTAGAATCACTTGTGGACGATGGGTTGCGTAAAATTACGTTTTGTGGAGCGTCTGTATACAGCAGGCATATTGTTGAATTACTCTATTATATTTTCCGGCATGCACTTACAAGACACGGAAACAAAACTGAGAACAAGTTATTAAAATAGTGCGTAAATTAACATTAGCTTTTTTATTTTCCATAAACTTACCTCTAACGTTGACATAACTGCTGTATTACTCAAATAGAAGGGCTTGAAACTAAATACACATCCGTTCAAACTTTCTTTGAATTCAATTTGGAAAATTCTTAAAAATTGTAGTGAATTTTAACGAATTATGTTAACACATCTAATTTTTATTATTATTAAAAATAACAACAAATCAATTACACACTCACATATTTAATTTTCAAATAAGTGTAAAACATGTTTACCTGAAGTCTTGTACAAAACGAGCAGACAAATGACCATTGTCAGAGACATTTTAACCGGGATGCGTGCACTCTGCTGCAGCTGTCTTCACAGAAATGAGAAGTGGTTTCATATGTAGCAACTTATGAGTTCTACTGGAGTTTTGTAAGTTAGAGACGTGTACACGAGAGATTTCATCGCAGCCTGGGTTGATTGCTTGGCTCTTCGACATTCGCCAACTTCGTGTAAATGTCCCTGAAGTGGACTGCCCATTGGTGGAGGGTGTTGATGCAACAATGGTTACTAAATAATTCTGGGAAAAAAAGGTTACGTTTCCAGTGTATAATGTGCACAGAAGATCTCAAGGATGTATATCGTCACATTGACTCTGTAATGATTCGGTGCATAGTGAGAAAATTCAAACATCCAGCACTCAATGCATATACTGTACTGTAAAACACTCCAAAGAACGTTTAATGGCCCGTTATAAGGTCTCACTCATTATACGCAAAGTGCTTACCACAAATGAACCATGACACTTTGCTGATCTCGTCAAAGAGCAAAAACCATCACGCGAACTCTGGTCATCTTCAAAGCGGCTTTTGGCGAGCCATCGAACAAAGAGAGGTCCCTACATCGAGCACTTTCAGATGTGCTGTTGCGGCCCGTCTGGAACGCTCTTCCTTCCAACATTAAACACTGGAGCTATGCACTTCTAAATCTAGATTGGAAACGAATTTCTTTACAACTTATTTGTGTTTAGTTTGTTGTCCTTCTCGCACACCTCCGATTAGCACGGTTGTCTACGTACGGTGGTGCGAAAGAAGTTATACATACATACATTCCATGTAAAAGCATTATTGTCAGACAAATATCAACAGGTGGGCTGCGATCCATTAACCAGCGAGGACAAACTTTAGCAATTAAAGAGTAGGCAGGATTGGTAAAGAATGAGCCCACTCCCATCTTGCCAGCCAAGCGTAGCTGAAGGCCGGGGCAAGGGGAATCTGCTAGGGGTCTGTGGTGGAAATTCCACAATTCCATAACAGGTGTCAAGTTTTCCCAGAGAGAAAAAAAAATGGACTGCTGGTGAGTTCCCAAAAGAGAGGTGTTACTCATGTAATCGATGATGAAACCACAGTGGCTGTCGATGATGGTGAGGATGGAGGTGTTTTTGATGACGATGCTGAGTATGATTGCACCGCACCCCAATGCCGCAGCGATTTAGCAGTTTTTTGTTAATTGGTGTCCGATGTGTAGTATTCTTGAATGAGACCGACACTTCGTAGAGGCCACACGCTTTTATTCCGATAACACTAGTCCTCAGGACTCACTGGGGAGACAGTCCCACACACACAACCTAGGGAGGTACAGCCTCCGGCTCTATTCTCATTTCTCTCCTTCCCTAGCCTCCAGCTACTCTGTTACTCTCGTCCCTAGCCTACAGCTACTCAGCTACTCTCTTCCCTAGCCTACAGCTACTCAGCTACTCTCTTCCCTAGCCTACAGCTACTCAGCCCACTCAGTTCCAGCGGGGCGGCATCCTTGAGGCTTGGGGGTCCAGGATCTCCGGCTCTCCTCCTTCAGCTTCTCCTCCGATCGACCCCTCCGCTCTCCGGGAGCCGTCTTATATATCCCCTCTCTCTGAGGGGCGGGGGTGTCTCGGGCCCTGGCTCTCGCCAGCCCCCTCCCCTCAGAGCCGTTCCAACCACCTCTCGTCCCTGTCAATCCGGGCCGGTCCAGACCGGTACGTACCTCTCCCCTAGCTTGTGTGACCTGTGTGACCTGTGTCAACCTTGGTGTCAACCTTGACCACCACATCACCCCCCCCTATACAGCACGCAGCCGTCCCGGCTGCATCACTATCCACATCCCAACCCTAACTCGCGAACCAGGAATTCTGAACACGACAATAACAATGCGTGAGCCTCAACACAACAATAACAACAACAGAACAACAACAACACAACTATCCCCGATAATTTACCCCAACCCCCCTGTACACAAGAACACCGCGGACACACCACACCAACGAACAAGGTGACTCGAACACCCAGGCCCCGTGAGGAGGCAGTGTGTCTGCGACAGGTCTCAGGAGAACCTGAGACCCTTCGAACGAGTCCGTGTGGCGGGTCCATCGCCAGAAGCCAGCGTTCCTTGCGGAGGGTCAGGAGGGGCCAGATGACGGGCGTCCGGCACGTTTCGAGGCCCCGGGGACACAGCCCGCGAGCCGTCTTCCTGCTGGACAGGCGGCCGGCTCGCTTCCCGCTCCTCTGGCGAGACCACCCTAGGTGGACTCACACCTGCAGCATCCGAAAGAGTGGCAGGGGGTTTTGGAACAACAAGGGGGTCACGAGGCCCCTCCCCCAACCTGCCGGACACGTCACGCGGCCGGCCCCTGCGAGATGAAGGTGTGTGAGTGCGTGGTGCGACATAGGGCTTCAGGCGCGAGGGGTGCACGTACCAAGAACGCCGTCCACACGCGACCCTAACACACTGGTCCCGAACGACCCGAACAATGTCGACCGGCCCCCGCCAGGGCCGCAGCAATTTCGATGATGTTGACAGCGGCACCTGCGGGCAGTGCAGCCACGCCTTATCCCCTACCGCCCATTTATACACCGTAACCCGGCGATCATACAGACGCTCATTGGCCCGTTGCCTTGCCCTGGAATTTTCCTGCGCGGCCACCCTCGCCTCGACCAACTTCCGAATATTGAACTGAGCGTGTTCGGACAGTTTCGAGCGAGAAGCCGCAGACTGGACCCGCAATTGCACCTCCACGGGGGGGTCGACTTCCCTGCCGTACATTAAGTAGAAGGGCGAATAGCCCGTGGCCGCGTGAGGCGCTAACCTATATGCGGCCAGAACTCCGGGAATCCTCAGGTCCCAATCCAACTGTGTGTCGTCTACCTGATGACACAACATAGAGGTAATGGTCCGGTGTAGACGTTCGACCATACCATCGGTCTGCGGGTGGTAGGGGGAAGTCCGGACCTTCTGTGTGCACAAAAGGTCACAAACCTCCCGCAGGAGATTGGACGAAAAGTTCTTTCCCTGGTCGGTTAGCAGCCGTTCCGGGGCACCCTTATCCAGGACGTAGCCCTGGAGAAACGCCTCCGCAATGGCTGCTGCCGACTGGTTGGGGAGGGGCCAGGCCATAGGCCAACGGGTGAAATATTCAACCCCAACCAGCAGGTACTTATTTCCCCGAGCGGTGACAGGGAAGGGACCCAGAATGTCAAGAGCCACCAACTCATTAACCCGGGACACCTGAATGGACTGAAGGGGTGGGCAAGCCGCCCTAGCCGGGTGTTTCCGCCGCGCACACTGTGTGCAACTATTCAAAAGGTCGGCGACATCGCGCGCCATTCCCGGCCAAAAAAAATCCAATTGCAGTGTAGCGAGCGTTTTGTGAATACCTAAATGCAGGACGCGTTCGTGCGCCGCCCACACGGCCCTGCCCCGCAGAGCGGTGGGGACGACGATTCTGTAACGCCCCGAGCTGGCGTCCCATGACATGAGGAGACCCTCCCGCAACCTGACAGTACCTACCCTTTCCTGACAATCTCCCCCTCTCTCCGCACGACGGCGTAACCTGAGGAGGGAATTGTCTTCCATCTGGAACCGTCCCCATTCGTCCAGAGGCAGATCGAGGAGTGAGTCGCGAGCGACCAACCCCTGCGAGTCCCCCTCGGCGACAGGTTCCCTATCAACCACCCCTGCTGCCGCTGCCAAGGGAGAAGCCGGAGCGGTACTCGTGGCCGATTTGCATCTCCCCGAGCCCATAAAACACGCGCACCCATCACCCGGAGGAAGGCGTGACAAGCCATCCGCGTTCAAATGTTGTGTCCCCTTCCGGTACACCACCGTGAACGTGTAGTCCTGTAGGACCTCAAGCCAACGTGACAGCTGGCCGGACGGCTGGTCTATTTTCAACGCATACTGTAGCGCGGCGTGATCGGAACGAACCGTAAAATGCCTACCGTACAGGTACGGTCGATATTGTTGAACAAACACGACAATAGCGAGCAGTTCACGGCGGGTGACGCAATAACGTTGCTCTGCCGGAGACAGGACTCTACTGCCGTAGGCAACGACCCGTTCGACCCCGTTGACAACCTGCGAAAGCACCGCGCCGATGCCGGTATTGCTGGCATCGGTGTCCAGGATGAAGGGCAACGTGAAATCGGGATAGCACAAGGGAGGAGCTCGGACAAGGGCATCGCGAAGCGCCCTGAACGCCCTGTCTTCCTCTTCCCCCCAATGGAATTTAGCCCCCTTAGCCGTCAGAGCATGAAGGGGTTTGGCGATCGTCGCAAACCACTCAACAAACCGGCGGTAATAGGACGCAAAGCCTATAAAGCTGCGGACTTCCCCCACAGACGTGGGCGTGGGCCACGACCTTACACAGTCAGTTTTAGCAGGATCGGTGGCTATACCCGTAGAACTGACAACGTGGCCGAGGTACCGCACCGATTCACGCAACAGGAAACATTTCTGAGGCTTAAATTTAAGATTAGCCGATCGCACTCTGAGAAATACAGCCCGCAGTCTGTCCAGATGTTCCTCAAACGTACGGCTGAAAATAATCACGTCGTCCAGATATATAAGACAAGAGTCCCACTGCAGGCCAGCGAGGACCAGTTCCATCAATCTCTGGAACGTCGCTGGAGCTGAGTGCAATCCCATGGGCAACCGGTTGAACTGATAAAGGCCCTGTGGCGTACGGAACGCGGTCTTAGGTTTGGAAGCGTCATCCAAGGGCAGTTGCCAAAACCCTGACAAAAGGTCCAAGGTAGAAAAATACCGTGCCCCCGCCAAGGCATCGAGCGACTCGTCCATGCGAGGGAGTGGATACGCGTCCGCCAGCGAAACCTTGTTAAGCTTCCGAAAATCCACACAAAACCTCAAGCTGCCATCATGTTTTTTAACAAGCACAATGGGCGCACCCCATGGGCTGTTGGAGGGAGCCACAATGTCTGCGGCAAGCATGTCATTCACTGCCAACCGGACATGTTCCTTCTCTGCCGGAATTAATCGGAACGGATTTTGCCGAATGGGAGCGGAATCCCCCGTATCAATGTGGTGTTTCAATAGATTAGTGCACCCAACATCGAATTTGTGTTTGCTAAAAACATCGGGAAAATCACGAAGCAACATGCGCAGCTTGAATCTTTGTGACTCTGAAAGATTTTCAGCCCCTGAACAGAGAGAATCCATCCATGCCTCATCGACACCCACCTGCGTCCCGGACGCCGGCGCCTCACCGACATGAGCTGCAACGGAGTCAGTGTGCAGCGGCAGCGACGCATGTGCAATGACAGCCCCTCGGTGCACGACCTTCGTCCGCAACCCCGCATTCAGCACCTGAATGAAGGGCTGTCCATCTCTAGGCACAAGCGTTTGTGCACCCACCAGGTCCAACCCTCGCTCGGTCGTATTTGAAGGAGATAACAAAACCCCCGACGTAGCGTCTGCCTCCAGTGGTTTGCGTAACTGAAGCGGTATCAGCATCTGCGCACCCGGCGGAATCCGCACGGTTTCAGACGCCATAGCCGGAACAGTCGTGCAAGCTGTGCGCAGCCGGTTTGGTGAAGGCAGAAACGCCATCCGGCGACCCGAAGGAAGCTCGATGCAGCCTTTGTCAATCAAAATTTTGATGGGCATCCTCCCCAAGAAATCCGTACCCAACAGACAGGGAACGGCCAAGGCATCGGAAACCAAAATGGGACCAGATAATTTAATGTCGCCAATACAAATTTGTGCAGTTATTTGGCCAATAATCCCCAGGGAACCCCCATTTGCCGCAAAGCAAGGGACGGAGAACGGGGTGAGTGCCTGACATCTCTTTGGTAACACGTTGTATATGAGGTCGGAGATTATAGTAGCCGAAGCCCCCGTATCGACCAACAATCGAAATTGAATTCCCTCAATATCCCCGAGAATAACCGACGAGCCCGTCGCCGCGGCCACGACCCTGTGGGCCAACTCGGACCACTGAACCGCGCGAAGTGGCCCCCGAACATCAGCCCCATTCCGCTCCCCACCCCTCAACGCAACGCGATCTACTGGCGCGCCGAATCGCGGTGTATGAGATGCGGGCAGGGACCGTGTGCATGAGGTGTCGCGACATGCCTGGGGGTCTTGTGGAGCGGCCGGCGGACGGGCGGACGATGGTGGATGACCCGAAGCCCGGCGCCGGGGTGCAGGGCAACCCGATGCCAGGTGACCCAGCTGGCCACAGTTATAGCACGTGACGCCAGCCAACGCCCGCGGGGGTCCGTGTCTCCCCCGGGTTTCCCCTTGGCGAGGCCGGTCGGCCCCCCTCCAACTGGCGGCCCGCTGTGACGCGAAGGCCTGGGCATCCGGGACCTCGTCAACTCTTGCAGCAGCGCACGCAGCCACCTGCCCATCCCGCTGGAGGAGCAACTCTGTGTGCAGGTAATGTGCCGCCCCCAGCGAGGAAAGGTTAGCTTCATCTTTGACGTGGATGGCAATCCTCAGTTCCCGAGCCAGCAGCAGCAACTTCTCAAGCACGATGGAGTCCAGACCCACATCGTCCATTCGAGGATAGGCTGCTTGAGCCAACGCCATCAGTGCACTCTGATAGGCAAGAGGTGTCTCGTCCGCCTCCCTCCTCCGACTGGCGAAACGATGTCTAGTTTCGGATGGAGGTCCATACACTAAGGCCATCCGATCGAGGGCCTCCTGCAAAGTGGAGCGTTGCCTCCGTGGAATAAGGAGGAACGTGGCCAAGGCCACGTCGTCCAAGGCAGAAGGCAGGGCTCGGAGAGCGATGTCAGCAGACCACCCAGCCGTCTCGGCATTTGCCACGAAACGGCGTGAAAAAGCAGCCCAGTCCCCCCCCTTTGCCGTGAAAACCTGAAGCGAAGGCAAGCGCTGTTGTAGCGCTGGGATGTAGTCCCCCCTCGAAGACAGCAGCGTCCCAAGTGCAGTATATGAAGCATCTTCCGGCGGCAGAATATCAGACGGAATCGGCGGGCACCTACCCGAAAACTCTGCTTCTCCCGATGTAAGGCCGCAGATGGCGGATGTGACGCGAGCCACCTCTGCCCCTTGACCTCCTGGGCGGTTGACGTCATGTCCCCCGGAAGCGGTGACCCCCCCGGCGGAAGTGACGTCATCCCCGGCGGCCGCATCCCCGGCGGAAGTGACGTCTCCCCCTCCGGAGGTGACGTCAAAGTTTTGCGCGGGAATGGCGCGTTTCTCGGCGGGAACCCGTCCCATCCTTCGGCCTGGTGCTCCACCCGGCGCTCCCGCTCCCCCCAGCGTGAGCTCGTCGAGGATGGAGGCAGCGGCATGGAGGAGATCGGCCAGCCGGGCATGGGCTGACTGGATCGCCCATCCCGACGTCGGCGGACTCCTGGAGGGCCCCGGAGAACCCGAGCCCGCCCCCGCAGACCCGTCCCCCGGAAATGGCGCTCCCGCCTCCGGCTCAGCGTCTCCCTCGACGTCCTTCTCCTGGCCCCTGGTGAGCGTTTTCTGTCTTGTCTCCATGTCGGCGAGGTTCTTTGGCCGCTTCTAACACCAAATGTAGTATTCTTGAATGAGACCGACACTTCGTAGAGGCCACACGCTTTTATTCCGATAACACTAGTCCTCAGGACTCACTGGGGAGACAGTCCCACACACACAACCTAGGGAGGTACAGCCTCCGGCTCTATTCTCATTTCTCTCCTTCCCTAGCCTCCAGCTACTCTGTTACTCTCGTCCCTAGCCTACAGCTACTCAGCTACTCTCTTCCCTAGCCTACAGCTACTCAGCTACTCTCTTCCCTAGCCTACAGCTACTCAGCCCACTCAGTTCCAGCGGGGCGGCATCCTTGAGGCTTGGGGGTCCAGGATCTCCGGCTCTCCTCCTTCAGCTTCTCCTCCGATCGACCCCTCCGCTCTCCGGGAGCCGTCTTATATATCCCCTCTCTCTGAGGGGCGGGGGTGTCTCGGGCCCTGGCTCTCGCCAGCCCCCTCCCCTCAGAGCCGTTCCAACCACCTCTCGTCCCTGTCAATCCGGGCCGGTCCAGACCGGTACGTACCTCTCCCCTAGCTTGTGTGACCTGTGTGACCTGTGTCAACCTTGGTGTCAACCTTGACCACCACAGATGCACCACCGAACCCACTCGTCCACAGCCGTAGTGGTCGCTTTCCTCATTGTGCCTTGGTCTTGCCCACTCTGCTGTTGCCACCTCATTAAATAGACATCCGTGAAATAGAGCTTCAAAGCTCATCGGATTCCTCCAGCATAAATGAAGATTCTGAAACGTGGACCCTCAGTGGCAGTTTAAGATGTAGGCTTTCACTCCCAAAATTATTCATAAGGGTTTTTGGGACACAATTTTGTACAAAAAAAACTTTATACTGTATATTTATAGACGAAAATAATAGTATGGTATAAGGAATGTCATAATTATAGATTTGAAGCTTTCGTGACTGCAAGGATTTATACTCTTAGGTTTTTTCGGTAAAGTCACGTAGGTAAAAATAAATAATAAAAATAATAGAAATAATAATAGAAATAAAAGAATAAATCACGTTTCGGAGGCAACACAAGTCTCCGTCATCAGGTGGGACCGTCACAGCTAAATTTACTGTATCAAGTGTAGAGTACATCTGAAATAAACCAAATGAAGTCCTATCAAAATCTGGACAATAAAGAAGATCACATGGTAGTCAGAGCAGAAACGTACTCTTAGGTTTTTTCGGTAAAGTTACGTAGGTAAAAATTAAAATTAAAATAAATAAATTAAATCACAGAAAAGCAGAAACGCTCAAGCTGTCCTGGATTACCGGAGTAACACTGAGAGAAGTGAAGACATCAGAATACAATACGGAGTAGGAAGCAAAGTTAGCAAGACTGCGATGTTCTGGCCATTGAGTGGTAGAGTGAAGAGGAACACGTGGACAGCGGGCAGTCAGAAGAAACATGTTTCTGATTGTAAATGAATGCCCATGCAAAAAAGGAAAACACACGGATATCCACGATACAATAATAATTGCCGAAACACCACTGACTGAATCATCCATATGGAGGACTACATTTTTTGTTAGTTTTACAGTGCCCCCTGTTTGTACACGTGCCATCTTCAACCTTGCTTCTCGCTGTACATGAAATGACACCAACGACTGTATGCTAGGAGCCTATTACTGGTAGGAACCTCCTGGTTACACCAGCCCACCGGGGATTATTGTGTCCGTCCGTCCGTCGTGCAGGGAGGGGAGGGGCTGGGTGGGGGGTGGGAGGGGTGGGGCTGGGTGTGGAGGGGCTGGGTGGGGAGGGGCTGGGTGGGGAGGGGCTGGTCACCCCGTGGTGCCCTTATAAAACTCAACGTTTAACCTACTCACGCCGGCTTGTGCCCGCCCTCACAGTCGGGCATATTTGCGGAATACACCACGCCCTGGCCGTTGACCCTGCAGGCCATTGACCGAGCAACCCGACGTTCCTACCAGCTCCCTCCGCAGGACAATGTGTTACATTGCCTTCCGGCCAACCTGTCCCCAGTTATCTCAACGCGTGCCTGCGAGCCAGAGGTCGCAAACGGGTTTTGATTCCTTACCCGTACCCGGCCGCACCAGGGTCGCTAACGGGTACCCGTACCCGGCTACCCGTACCCGGCCGGGTACGGGTATCGGGTACCCCGATTGCGACCTCTGGGATGAAGCCATGTTGCAGGCGCGGGTGGGTTGATTCTAGGAACTTGAATTGTGAGAAGAGACAAGACGTTGGGAAATGAGTGACAATCACGGTGGCTCACCAGTGACTCACGGCCTACCCGTACCCGGCCGCACCAGGGTCGCCCGTTTGCGATCCTGGTGCGGGTAGGGTACGGGTATCGGGTACCCGATTGCGACCCTGGTGCGGGTAGGGTACGGGTATCGGGTACCCGATTGCGACCCTGGTGCGGGTAGGGTACAGGTATCGGGTACCCGATTGCGACCCTGGTGCGGGTAGGGTACGGGTATCGGGTGCCCGATTGCGACCCTGGTGCGGGTAGGGTACGGGTATCGGGTACCCGATTGCGACCCTGGTGCGGGTAGGGTACAGGTATCGGGTACCCGATTGCGACCCTGGTGCGGGTAGGGTACGGGTATCGGGTGCCCGATTGCGACCCTGGTGCGGGTAGGGTACGGGTATCGGGTGCCCGATTGCGACCCTGGTGCGGGTAGGGTACGGGTATCGGGTACCCGATTGCGACCCTGGTGCGGGTAGGGTACGGGTATCGGGTGCCCGATTGCGACCCTGGTGCGGGTAGGGTACGGGTATCGGGTGCCCGATTGCGACCCTGGTGCGGGTAGGGTACGGGTATCGGGTGCCCGATTGCGACCCTGGTGCGGGTAGGGTACGGGTATCGGGTACCCGATTGCGACCCTGGTGCGGGTAGGGTACGGGTATCGGGTACCCGATTGCGACCCTGGTGCGGGTAGGGTACGGGTATCGGGTACCCGATTGCGACCTCTGCTTCGAGCACTTTGATTTGTTTTTTTTGCTTCCCCCAATCTCCGTCTCTTCTCAAATCGCCGGGGGGTGTGGCCCCGCGGGCTTCCCGTCGTGCGCATGCGCGGTCGCCGGGGGGCGTGGCCCCGAGGGCTTCCCGTCGCGCGCCGGGCGCGGCCGCGCATGCGCAGTCGCCGGGGGGCGCGCGACTGCCGTTGCCGTGGCGACGAACGCCGAGCGTGGGAGACAGACACGTGGCGAGAGACACACGGAGAGAGACACGCGGAGAGAGACAGGAGAGACACACACACGAGGGAGATAGACACGTGGCGAGAGACACACGAAGAGAGACACGCGGAGAGAGACACACGGAGAGAGACACGCGGAGAGACACACACACGAGGGAGGTAGACACGTGAAGACAGAAGAGAGACACACGAGGGAGAGACAGGAGAGAGACACACACACACGAGGGAGAGACAAACACACACTGGAGAGGCAGAGGAGAGATACACGGAGAGAGACACACGAGGGAGAGACAGGAGAGAGACACACACGAGGGAGAGAAACACAGGCGAGCGACACAGGTGAGGAAGAAGAAGGAGGAGGAGGGGGGGTCTGCTCCAGGTGTTAAACCGCAGAGCGACACGAGGCAAGTTTTGTTGAATCGCCTCTTGTAAGCGCTCGTTTACAATGTAAGCCTTGAGACTCTGCTGCTGATGATGATGGGTTCGTGATGGTGCACAGGCTCAATTAACAAACGCATTCAACACATTGGTCAATAAAATTTGCCTGGAAAGTCTCCAAAAAATAACATTTTATAGATAACAGGCGACGTTTCGGCCAATAGCCTTTCACAGCACTGGTGCTGTGGTCACGTGACCCCCTCTATAGATGAATTAACACAACACTCGATTGATCGATTACTTAATTCGCACCTTTTTTTCACGGTTCAAAATGTAGTAAGCGCCATTCGGCCAGCAACAATCAGCATGATTAAAATTGCAATAAATCAGAGGCAAAGTGACGTTCTGCTCTGCTCCAATGAACATTGAGGCATTGGGTCGGTGCTCCTCTGCTTACAGTGGCGGAAATTCCACATTTCTATGGCGGGGAATGATAATTGGGTAAACAAAACAACAAATCGATGAGTGAAATTCACAGGAACGGTAACCATGGTATAGTACAGCGGTCGGGAACCTATGGCTCGCGAGCCATATATGGCTCTTTCGGTGACGGCATGTGGCTCCCAGACAATTTTGAGTTGAAAAAAATAAAATAAAAAATCAGTTTGGAACTGATTTTAAAATACTTGTGATATTGCTGAATAATACTGTGTCATTTTTAAAGTAAACAGAAATTAGTTTTGAAGATAAATTTCACGGGTCACGGGGCCTCAACGCCTGCATGAAGCTCAACCACACCACGTATGAACCAGACTACAAGGCCATCAGCAAAACCACGCGGCACCAGAAGTCGCATTAAAAGTAAGACATATTTAATTTATTATACGTTAAAAATACTATATGGCTCTCAATGCAATATATTTAGAAATATTTGGCTTTTATGGCTCTCCCAGTCAAAAAGGTTCCCGACCCCTGGTATAGTAGTAGCGACAGAAGAGTGATCAGGAGGTAACTGAGCACCGCTGAGCAAGTAATTGGAGTTCCGCATTGAGTGCTGCATTATCAATCACCATGACTGCTTTGACGTTGTCTGCTATGTACCCTCACTGCTGTCATAAGACATCGGTAAGGTAAGGTTAAAGGTAAAACAACGAGCCTACCTTTTACCCTTACCCCATGCAAATTACCCGATTACAGGGTAATTACTGGGGTACTACTACACATGAAAAATGTTTATAACAGGTAAATGCTAGGTAGAGCGCTTTATTCATATAGAATACTATCGATGATTCCAATTTTACACGCTTTGTTTGAACTCACTCTGTTGTCGTTGTCTTTATTGTTGTTCTTCTTGTTTCTTTCGGTAAAGTCACGTAGAAGGGAAGTAATAAAATAATAAATATATAAGCTCCTAGTTTGGTAGTGTCTCATTCTTCACCTGAAGACGGCTGCTTGCGTTGTAGCCGAAACGTCGTGAGAATTGTTTTATTATGTTTTATTTTTATTATTTTATTACTTCCCTTCTACGTGACTTTACCGAAAGAAACAAGAAGATGAATCCCTGCAGTCACGAAAGCTTTAAATCGAAATTTATTGTTGTTGTCCGTGTTGTATCCTCAAATCTTATAACTCATTTTTAACCCACTTCCCAATGTGGTATCGACTGCAAACTTGGTATACTTATGTCACTCTGATGACAATACTATATTCTATCATAAAAAATAATATTTTTCAACATTATTTTTTATATGTTATGTTTCGGCTTGGGTCTAATTGTCCACGCTCAACTGACGTTGGCTGTAATTGGCCACGGCCCCCTTGCCTTATGGCAAGCTTCGGGGCCACTTCCTGGAGTCGTGGAGTTTTTCCATTACTAGTACATTTCATAAAAGCGTGTTTAAAAAAAAGTTTTTAAATATTGCTTATTAAATGTAGGCCACGGACTGCGCCACGGAGCTTTTAGCGGTAAACAAGGTACCGTATTTACCGGGTAATGATTCGCGCTACCTTTACCTCTACCGGGTAATTCTTCAGAGCTACCTTTACCCTACCCTTACCCCTTGGCATGTCGACACCTTTACCCTTTTACCCGGTAAAAAGGGTAAATTACCTTGCCGAGGCCTAGTTGTCAAGTGCTGCGAGTTTAGAAATTGGAGGCTCCGTGATAAGTGTACAGCTCGTCACCTGTCAATCACGCTGACAACCCCCCACCTGCGCTTCCACAGCGTTTGGGGCTGCGGACATACATGGAGGCTCGCGTCCGTCAGGCGTTGGAGGCTGCCCGGCGTAACAGAGGCAAGCGAAAGAGAGCAGCCGCAGAAGAGTGCGGTGGGAAAAGGGGCATTTTTATAGATGTGGCTTTTCCCACTGGCACATCTAAACCGCGGCGGGGCCGTGCTCGGCTAGTGTGAAGCATGGGTTGCCTTTCAACTGGGAAATCTGAGCCGTGCCACTGATATCCCGTGTCAGAATCAGCATCTTTATTTAGACTGCAGGAGAAATCCGATTAACTAAGAAGATATTTTTTTACGCAGATGTCCAGTATTGGCAGGTTAGCAAGTTACAACGCAAACTACCAAACGATAGGATTTAAAATTCAAACATAATATAATGAAATTCTCACGACGTTTCGGCCACAACGCAAGCAGCCGTCCTCAGGTGAAGAAACAGAGCTGTCGGAAAGACAGCGTCCTAATGGACACTGCTAAGCTTGGCAGCGTATTTTAAGCTGGGTGGAAGGAGGAGAGAGTCTTGACAAAGGAGTTTACATGTCAACAGAGAAATTTAGCATATTGATGACAAATGCAGATATGGGGTTAGTCACTCCTTGCGGAATGTGTAGGCGGTGGGGGGTCTCAAAGTCATATTATGCTCGTGTATTATGTAGGATTATCAGTAATTTTAATAATAAAAAACTGCAGCAGCCAAACCACCCCATATTAACCTAGTGCATTACGTGGAAAACAAAAAAATAGAGAGAATGTTAAGCAAGTCACTAAATTTCGATTTAAAGCTTTCGTGACTGCAGGGCTTCATCTTCTTGGTTCTTTCGGTAAATTCACGTAGAAGGGAAGCAATAAAATATGTTTTATTTTTTATTATTTTATTACTTCCCTTCTACGTGACTTTACCGAAAGAACCAAGAAGATGAAGTCACTAAATATAAATAGTAAAATACTTAATTTTAAAAGTCCGATTTATCAAGCTTGGCCAAGGCAGCAAAAACAACAAAACAGTCGGAGACCAGACTAAGAGAGCACACAGTTGCTCAACAAAATGTCACATTAACATGTACTTTATGGTGCCAAGACAGACACAGTTGAGAACTCAAGAGACCAGGATAGTCAAGAGTGTCACCAATATGAAAAAAGCGAAATTATATGAAGTACAGCAAATAAGGGGCCGTCCATAAATTCCGTCACGCACCTAGTGGGGGTGGGCTTCAGACATTTGTGACGATGTGTGACGAGGGAGGGGGGGTTTGAGAAATGTTTGTCACATCAAAATATGCAACTTTAAATAAATATAGACAACACGTTCCACTTAATTAAATGTACTTTTTAATAAATGTTTTCTCCTACAACATCAGTGCAGCACCACATTAAATACGCACTACAATGACAATAGTTTAAAGCGATTTGAAGCATGTTTTATTTGGGGGGGGGGGGCAGAGCTTTGTGACGTCATATTTGAGGGGGGGTCTGACTTTTTGTGACGCCGTGTGACAGGGGGGGGGGGGTCAGAAATCGTCTAAAATCGCATGACGTCATTTATGGATGGCCCTAAGCAAATAAATTCAGAGCAAAAAAACAATTGTGCAACATGAGAAATAGAAAATATTGCACGAACATAAATGCATGTTAAATAATATTTTCCCTGTAGCAGAAGTCAGTTCGGGCAGATTATTTTTTTAACCGATCATAGTACAATTACACTGAAATTAGAAGCATTAACTATCGTATTCATATCTAAACTGACAAAGGTATATGTTAATTGCAAGTAAAGTTATAAAGAATCAACAGCTTAGCAATGAAACGTGATTGAGATGGGAGAGTAAGGACATTTTGAAGCGATGGAATTCCACGTGTTTGGGGCATTAACACAGCATGGGTGAGAACCATGTGATACGTCGAATAGTTTGTAACATCAATCATGTGGTGGAATGATTGGATTTAGAAAATTATATGTGGCAGAGGTCGATTTGCATATGTCAGCATAGTCTAGGAATAGACTGTTTACGTGTAGAAGGTGATAAACATAATTTGTTTCTATACAAAGGAAAGCCTCACTGATACATGTGGAGGGACAGATATGGGAAGGAGGCGTAATGTCACCTTATTTATTTCTGTAAAAAATGGAAGAGGAGGTTACTCTGGATGGTATAATATGCATAATGGAGGAGGGCAATTTACTGATACAGGCATTGGAGTGTTAACCACGGGGAAGACATCAAGCCAATGATGATGAGACTGTGCTGTGTTGGCCTCATAGGTGCTTGTTAAAGGCTAAATGGGGTGTTGTGTTTATGTATGTGTGTACAGATTCAAGCACTCTACTGAAAGGCTATGAGATTCTGGTCACTGCCACTACGGAAGGCCAGACAGAGGGAATCTGCCTGGCCCCAGACCTCTTTGTGATATGTGCTGAGCTTGCAATAGAGGTACACACACACACACCCAATATCACACACAACAACAAAGATCCTACATGTAGCCTACTAGCTGTTGTGGCAAGTGCTGTTAGCCTCAAATTAATAACTGGTGCGATGTGCAATATCACCATGAGGGAGACTAAGGCGGCCAGGCGTAACCACCTCATCCCCTCGTGTGCCATGCCGGCCTTCATAGGTGCTCGCTAACAGCACTTACTCCAAAAGTCTGTAGAGGCTATTCGGTGGATTTTTGTCTGCACATCTCTGCCTCTGTATTATGTGTTTGTGTAGAATGAGCTGCTGGGTGTGGGTGAGGAGTGCGTGCGCCGGTTCCTGCAGACAGCGCCGGCCCTCGGCCCCCTGCTCGTGCGCATCGTGCTGTGCCAGGCCCAGCTCAACGGAGTGCTGAGCCCCGACCGGCCTGTGCGTGACACACACCTACACCCCTACAAAGACAACGATCCCCCCTATATAGCCTTCACATACTGTTGGGTCAAGTGCTGTTAGCAAGTACCTATTAAATCCGCACAAGGGGGTGGGAGGCCAGCACCATGCCCGGTCGCCTTTGTCTCCCCAGTGCTGATGTTTACATGCCATATCAGGTACTGGTTAAAGGATCAGTCAACATAGGGGAAGGCCACATGCACACGCATGCTAAAGTATGTGTGCTGTGCTGTGTATATCATGTATGTAATTTGTATGTCTTGTGTGTGCTGTGTAGGCTGTGTGCTGTGTATGTAATGTGTATGTTTGTGTGTATGTTCTGTATGCTGTGTGTGCAATGCTTTTGTATGTTCCAATCTATGCATGTTGTGTGTGCATATGCTGTGTGTATGGTGTGCATGATTTTTTGTGTATGTTGTGCATGTATTCTGTGTGTGATGTATGCTCTTGTCCCCCTATGTGTAGGAGCAGCTGACTGAATCAATGCTCTACTACGTCAAAGCTGCACATTTGGCAAAGCAGGACCCCAGGTGTGGCTCTGAATCCTGTAGCTAACATCTTAAAACATTGTAAGGTGGCAGGGTGGCGCAAGAAGCGCATGGGTTCGATTTCTAACTCAGGCATCTATCTCTATGGAGTTTGTATGTTCTCCCTCTGTTCTGAATGGGGTTTCTCCAGTTTCGTCCCATAGCTAAATAACCCATAATTTAAATAGTTTTGGCCAAACATCACAATGCTGAAAAGTGACTTTGCAAATCACAGCAGCAACATTGCCCCCTACTGCAATACTTGGCAGGACCCTCCGAACAAAAACGCTTGAGACTCATTGCAGCTTTCCTGTGTAAACAAGCGTATTAAAATAAATGTCTGTGTGCTATGTGGACTGGTAGCATAACTACTGCGCTACGAACCTAGCGACTCAAGTTCAATACCCGTTCAACATTACTGCCATCTGAATCAGTCATGGGCTTCCCCTAGGTTGACTCAGCCTTACTTAAGTACCTTGTATGGTGTATAAACATCAGCCCTGGGGAGACAAAAGTGGCTGGATGTAGTCCTAGCCATACCGCTGCCTTGTGTGCCATGCCAGCCTTCATAGGTGTTCGCTAATAGCTTTTGCATCAGCAGCCTGCATAGCCTACGTGGGGCATCTGTGTGTGTGTGTGGCAGACTGGTGCCTATGCTGTACCGCATCAGCGTGCTGTGGTGGCGCTCAGTGCAGCCCTGCTGGGTGTCTGGGCTGCGCGGATACCTCGCTGGTGCTTTGTCCGCCCTCGTACCAGCTCTGGGAGATTGGGAGGACACAGACCCCGTGTGGACAGCAGAGCTCATGATGTGAGCTGCCTAGACACAGCCACACACTCTCACACATAGCACTCAAACACACACACCACTCCAGACACACAGATCACTGCCCACACAGGCATCATTGTCCCATCATACATACAGCACTCCACACATGCACACACTGAGCACACATGCATATGCCCTGAGTCTGGACTTCATATCTCTTCCACGGACTGCAGCTGCCTGGTTGAGTCTCTACTGGATGCAGGGAGAAGTAAGGAGGCTGCGAGTGCCGCTCTCCGTGCAGCCCAGTATACACGCACACGTGCGTCGCACTTCCTTCCACACGTGCTGGCTCTGCAGGTACCACACACACACACACAGTGCATGCCGGGCCAGAACGTGTTTGCGCATCTATGTGTATGCATTGTGGGGAGCAGTGGTACAGTGGCTAGCGCACTGCACTGTGATGATTATCTGAACTGATCCTGGGCCTCCCCTAGGTCGAATCAGCCTCGCATTAGTACCTAGTGCAGTGTGTAAACATCCCCACTAGGGAGAAAAAGGCGGTTGGACAAGGTGCTGGCCACCCACCCCCTCATGTACCATTCCGTCCATAATAGGTGCTTGCTAACAGCACTTACCCCAACAGTCTATTGGGCTATACGGGGTATCTTTGTGTGTGTGTATCTGCGCAGGTGAGACATAGGCTTCTCGACTCGGCTAAGGCTGCGAAGGAAGCCGCCTCCTCTCCACGCCTCAAGGCACTGGTCCAAATGCAGCGCATGAAGGCGTATGTAACTCACCCTGCCATTTCGATTTAAAGCTTTCGTGACTGCAGGGATCCATCTTCTTGGTTCTTTCGGTAAAGTCACGTAGAAGGGAAGTAATAAAATAATAAAAATAAAACATAATAAAACAATTCTCGCGACGTTTCGGCCACAACGCAAGCAGCCGTCCTCAGGTGAAAACCAGGTCTGTCGAGATGACAGCGTCTGAATGAAACAGCACACGTGCTTGGAGCATATATATAAGCTGGGTTGGAAGGGGGGAAAAGAGCGCCTTGACAAAATAATTTGCATATCAAGAGGCATTTAGCATATTTATGGGAAATGCATGAGTAGTACTAATCACATACCTGAATTTCCCATAAATATGCTAAATGCCTCTTGATATGCATATTCTATTGTCAAGGCGCTCCTTTCCCCCCTTCCAACCCAGCTTATATATATGCTCCAAGCACGTGTGCTGTTTCATTCAGACGCTGTCGTCTCGACAGACCTGGTTTTCACCTGAGGACGGCTGCTTGCGTTGTGGCCGAAACGTCGTGAGAATTGTGTTATTATGTTTTATTTTTATTATTTTATTACTTCCCTTCTACGTGACTTTACCGAAAGAACCAAGAAGATCACCCTGCCATCTCAGCCACTCATCCTCCGCACACACCTCTCGGCAGCGTGGACCAGTGCAGACCGGGCCACTTTAGGCCTGCCATGATCCATTCCTCTCTCTCCTCTCCCCCTGAGAGTCTATGGTTTATTATAATGTGGAAATTGCAGTTCGATTAAAAAAAAAAATTGGTGTCTGTCTCGTTATCGCTGCCTCATTTGTATTGTTTCTCATTGTCTTCTGTCTTGTTGGTACAGTTTTTTTCCGCACGCGTAACATGGCCCAGAGGTAGTTCGTTCGTCGCTCGTTGCATAAGTTCACTTTTCGAATCCAACTAGCTGCCCAGGTTAATACTTCGCTTTGCATTAACGATTCGAATATTATGTTTCGTCTTCTTCACGCACGGTGGATGTTAAGATCCTGTGATCTCATTCTGAAACGAGTAGGCCATCGTGAGCTAGTGTCACCATTTAAATGTACTCCGTAAAAAAATGACACTGCAAATTTATAATTGGAATTACACATCGCAATATGGGCCCCTACTGTGTCTATAAAACATAGCACCTTCCTCCGCAATAGCCTTGTGCTATACGAATGCCGCAAATGCCAAATATACTAGGTTATTATGATTATTACATTGACTTGGTTTCCCTCTAGGCAACTGGAATCTGGTGAGAGCCCAGCCGACATCAACGCTCAGCTCAAGCAGATCCTCAAGCTGCTCGCGTCCTGCGACTACGCGCCACCCTCCCATCACTCGGGGCCTGTCGTGCCAACCGCCCTCGCTACACCCTCTCACAATGACAGCCCGCCACAGCCCGACTGCTCCCCGGAGCCAAGCGCCAGCTGTCCCAGCAGCCTCGCGACGACCCTGGGGGACAGCCCCATGCCCACACACAGGGGCATTACCAGTCGCGGCTGCAGTGACGGCGGCGGCGTGGCTGGCAACGATGAGGCTGTGGGTGGGCAGGAGTCACCAGGCACAAAACGGGAGCTTGCGAGGCTAGCCGGGGCACAGCGGTTCGAGTTTAAGGCGGCGGCAGCATCCACCACAGGACCCGTGCTGGCACACACACCCTCGCGCGCCCGCGCAACCAAGCACACAGCCGTGCTCAACTCCGTGCAGCTGCCTGACTTCTCGCCCGCATGGCCCTCCAGCGACAACTGGGGCTCAGGTGTGGAGGAGGAAGAAGGGCAGGAGGAGGAGAAAATTATTCCTGCTGCATGCAGGCCGCCAGGCAGTCGGGCCAGCAGGTCCGGGGAGAATAGAAGTGAAAAAATTGTAGAGCAGTGTGATGAGAAAGTTTCAGACAGACGTGCGAAGGAAGAGGATCAGCGAACAGATGCAGCAGATTCACCACGTGATGCGTCTATGCTCGTGCTGGAAGTACCTGAGAGGATGCCACTCCCTCCAGAGGACCTCTCCTATGACAAGTGAGAATTTCGATTTTGTTGGTCATGTTTTCGGTGTTTGAGAGATGTTTTAGTTCTGCCGATTGACTTCCTGCTCAAGAAATATCACTCCCTGTCTTAGTTCATTCCGTTAAAATTTCTTCTCTGGTCCTCTGCTTTGTGCTGTCGGCTTTAGTTAGAGGCTTACGACTTCTTATAAGATTGTTTTTACACACAGCTGCTGACCACAGGCCCAAAGGCCCACTATGTCAAGTGACCAGCAATAAACAGCAATGTCGAAGTTATAGATTAGAGTGAACACTTTTACAGCAAGGTCATTATATGAGCTTGGGGGAAAAGAGACGATGGGATAGAAAAAGAGCAGAGAGAGAAGTGTTGTGATCTGCTGTGTGGTCAGTGAGTTGGTGGGTGGGTGAATGAGTCGTTAAGTGAGTGGGTGAGTGCGTTGTTGTGACCTGCAGTGTGGTCAGTGAGTTGGTGGGTGGGTGAATGAGTCGTTAAGTGAGTGGGTGAGTGCGTTGTTGTGACCTGCAGTGTGGTCAGTGAGTTGGTGGGTGGGTGAATGAGTCGTTAAGTGAGTGGGTGAGTGCGTTGTTGTGACCTGCAGTGTTGTGGTTGAATGCAGTATGGATGAGACGAAACAGTCGGTCTGTGATCAATTAGTTCTGTCCTGAAATCAATCCAATCGTATTTTGTCGTTGTAAGTTTGTCTTTACCTTTCATTCGATGACCCTGAATGTTACTGTGAGGCAAGTATTCATTGATGCCCCCTCACGAGCCTGCACCCCCTGCAATTGGATGAACGGTAACAATTTGGGGTGTAAAACATTACTTTGTGGAAAGTGGTGGCACAGTATATAGCGCACTATGCTATCAACCTGGTGACTTGGGTTCGATTCCCAGCTCCAGCTGTATGCGTGTGTGTCTGTGTATGTGAGTATATGCGGGGGAGGGGTAGTATATAGTGGTTAACACATTGCGCTACGAACCCGGTGACTCCAGTTCGATTCGCTTCTTATGACCAACATCAGTGATGAATATCTGAATGAGATCCTGGGCCTCCCCTAGGTTAACTCGGTCTTAAACCAGTGCGTGGTGTGTTAGGATCACCACTTTAGAGACAAAGGCGGCTCTGCGTGGTGCTGCCCATCCACCCCCTCGTGTGCCCGTGAACAGCACTTGCCCCAACTGTATGTTAAAAACTATATAGGTATGTGAGATCTTTGTTTGATTGTCTGTGTTTGTGTGCAGGCTGTCATTGCTGCTGGAGCTGGCCCAGCTCTGCCTGGATCAACAGCAGCTGCCTCTGGCTTCCCAGTGCCTAATGGCTATTGAGGCGTGCAGGCCAGCCGTAAGCTCAGGCTGCACAGCACTCACTACACACACGACAGAGACCACACAACATACCACTCACTCATACCGCACACATAGCCACCACACCACACACACACTACGCACAACACACACTATGCATTCTAGATTTGAAGCTTTCGTGACTGCAATGATTCATATTCTTAGGTTTTTTCGGAAAAGTCACGTAGGTAAAAACATAAAAAAGTAAAATAAAATAAAAATCACGACGTTTCGGAGGCAACACAAGCTTCCGTCTTCAGGTGGTACCGTCACAGCCACGACAGCTGTATCAAGTAAATGAGAGATTGCAGGAGCTACCACTCCGTTTATATAAACGAGAGATTGCAGGAGCTAGCGGTAGCGAACACGCTACCGCTAGGCCCCACGTCACCCGCCATGTATAGCATGGTAAACATCACATATTTGTGGTATTGTGTATGCTGCGTCGTGCTTGTATTAACTATGTGTGCCTTGTGTGTGTAAGGCACTTTGGGGTGTGGTAGTGTAGTGGTTAGCGCGCTGCGCTACAAACCCGGCCCCCTGAGTTCAATTCTCGCTCACGGCCAACACCAGTGACGATTATCTGAACTGATTCTGGGCCTCCCCTAGGTCGACTCAGCCTCAAATTAGTATCCTGTGCAGTATGGAAACATCGCCACTAGGGAGACAAAGGCGGTTGGGCGTGGTGCTGGCCACCCACCCCCTCATGTACCATTCCGGCCATAATAGGTGCTCTCTAACAGCACTTGCCCCAACAGTCTGTTCAAGGATTTACGGGGAATATTTGGAAATGTGGTGTCGTGCCTGTGTTAACTATTTGTATCTTGTGTGTGTGTAGGGTACTGTGCTACTGCGTGTGGAGTGTGTGCGAGCACAGCTCTCCGTGTCCATGCTGGGAGATGACCTGAGCCACCGTTCAGTGCAGGTGCCTCCTCTCGCTTGCACACAATGTGGGCCATCACACTCCACCATTCCAGCTTAGCCTGGACCGCAGGCAACGTCTACATATATATAATAGTTTTAATGATAATTTACAGCCCTTTGTCAACCCACTGCTAGATGAAGGCCTCCCCACGCCATGTGGGCTAGATACAACTTGCTGTTAATCTTAGCTGTGGTCAGGAATCAAACTCAGGAAGACGGTCATGCTCATGGTGCAGTGCACTAACCACTGTGAAACCGTTGAATGTACTGCACTGATGAGCTCTAATGAGGATGAAATCGATTTACAGATGTGCCTTTGTTTCACTGCTGCCTGTCAGAATTGTTATGTGTTTTCACCTCTTCTAGTTAACTGCATATTCAGTTATGTTGAGATGGTGGTCTGGATAAGGCTGAGATCTTTTCTAACTGCAATGCAGTTGTGTGTTGCTGAACCTAAATTTACTCCCTGTCACTGTTAAAGTCATAGCTTACACTGCCTTTGTTTCTGCATGGTGATGATGACGATGCTCGGCAGCTGTCCCTGTGGGCACAAAGGTGGGGGGGGGGGGGGTTTCTCTGTGTAATTCCAATTGAGTAATTTTGTGGGTTTGAACAAAAATGGCAACAAATAAAGGAAGCCATGAAACTGATAGGAACAGGTGGAAACATCTCATTCGGCTCCATCATCTCTTTAAGAAGATAGAAGGAAACTAAGGAAGAAGAGAGAAGTGTGCAGATAATTTTTCGATTTTGGCAACATTAACATTGGCACAGGCACACAAACGGCCTACCCGTTTGAAATAACATCAGGGGATCTTTAACGTCCCATGTAAAGCGGGTGGCGCGTATTATTTCATGGTTAATACACCCCTAGGAACGGACTAGGGTGGGCACCGGGCTCGAGTCAAGACCATCTGCATCAAGTGGCGAACGAACGTGCCACCACTGAGCCATCTAACTGCCCTTTCTCGTTTGAAGTGGACTGCCACCCTCAAAGGAATGGCGCTGCCTCCGTGGTCGCCCCGGTTATACGTGGATCAAACAAATTACTCGAGACGCCGGTGTAGGGCAACAAGAACAGTTAATCCGAATGCTGTCGCAAGAGGTCAGACGTTTGGCACAACGGTCCTTCACTGACTATGCGTGATGAATGAATCTCTCTCTCCCTGCAGGTGCGCTTGGCGGCCGTGCAGCGCCTGCAAGCCGTGCTGCAGAGTGGCGTGGAGGGGCGCTGTGCCCCGGGGGCTGCCGCATCCTCCTCCGATGCTGCCCGGGTGACGCAGGAGCTGAGCGCAGCGCTTTGGAACCTCTCTGTGCCGCTGCTTGGCCTCCCCAGCATGCCCTCTCGTGTGTGCGGGGCCCTTGTAATTGCCGCGCGGCGCCTGCAGGAGGCCCAGAGGTGCGGAGCCGAGCACACTGTGCGCTTGTCATGTGAATGCATGTAGGTGCTTATGTATGTATATTTAACTTATTTCGCACCATATGTAGCCAATCGTGCTAATCGGAGGTGCACTTACGTGGGGAGGGGTGGTGCAGTGGTTAGCGGACTGCACCTACAAACCCAACGACCCGAGTTCAATTGCAATTCTGGCAATGCTAGTGCGAGCCAACACTGGTGACCAACATCCGAACTGGCCCTCGTTTTCCCTGAAGTTAACTCAGCCTCAAATTATTACCTGATGTGGTGTGGACACATCACTACTGGGAAGACAAAGGCAGTTGGGCATGTTCCTGGCCACCAACCCCCTTGTGTACCATGACAGCCTTCATAGGTACTCGCTAATAGCATTTGCCCCAAAAGTCTGTTAAGGTTATGCGGGGAATATTTTGTCTTTGCAAATGGGGAGTGGTGGCAGAGTGGTTAACACATTGGGCTACGAACCATCGCCACCCGAGTTCAATTCCCGCTCACGGCCAACATTCGATGATGAATATCTGAACCGGTCCTGGGCCTCCCCTCTGCCAGCTCAGCCTTAAATGACTACCTGGTGAGACAAAGAGGGCCGGGCATAGTGCAATCCACACCATCCCGTCGTGTGCTTTGTTGGCCTTCATATAGGTGCTCACGAACAGCACTTGACCAACAGCCTGTTAAAGTCTATGTGGGGGATCTTTGTCTTTGTCAGCCCCCTGCACGACCTGCGCTGGCAGCTACACTGGGCGCTGGCAGAGATGGAGCAGGACCAAGTAGTGCGTGGCTCTGGCTCCGCAGAGCGCCACCTGCTGGAGGCGGAACGTCTGGCTCCGAGCGCCGGCCACAGAGACCGTGCCCGTGCCGCCCTGCAGCGCCATCGCCACCGCTGTGCGGCAAACTCCCTCCCATCTTCCTCCATCGAGGAGGCAGCCACTATAATCTACCAGGTGTGCGTGGGAGGGTGATAGAGGGAGTTAGTGTGAGAGATAGTGTGTGTAAGAGTGAGTGGGCCTCACATAATCTATTGCAACTTACAGCAATGCACATTGTACAACAGCAAACATGCACAGCACACAACACACAAAGCAAACACGTGGCATACAAGTCAAAAGTCAAACTGGTTTCCGGCTCAAATGAGTACTGAGCTAGTGCTCATCTCCTGCTTACAGCCAGTGGCAGAAAGTCCACATTGTTATGGCAGGATCGAGTATATCCATAGGACTACCACCGTTGGCTTCCCCAACAATATTGTACTTATTTTATCAACCCCAGAGGGATGCCTGTGCAAAATATATCCATAAATTGCACATCCCCCCCCCCCCACCCCCAAAAAAATATATACAAAAGTCTACTTTTATACTTTTTGCATGGTGTACAGTCTGGAAACACCCACATGCCAAATTTCCCTTTTATATATATAGGTTTATAAATTACAGCTCTTTACTAATCCACTTCTAAATAAAAGCCTCCCCACGACATGCTATCATGGGGGTTTGTTGACCATGAATCTTTCAAATCTTTTTTAGGAGGGTCCCGCCAAGTTTTTTTTTTAAGTTAGGGGATGATTTTTGCTACGTGTATTTCAATTTGGATTTGGTGATTTTTGAATTTGTCAAATTTGGACCATAACACCGGCACACAATACCCTCCTCATGGGATCTCTGAAGTCCACAGTGAAGCAGACGGTGGTGTAGTATGTTGCGGTTAATACACCCGCACTAATAACCAGGACGGCATGCCAAATTCGAACCACAAATCCTCTGAAAAAGGCGGCGAATGCATTTTTACAATTGGGCCATGCTACCACCAGTGTTCCATATTTTTTACTCATTGCTTTGGATCTGCTTTTTGTGTTTATTTTTTGTCCTTTCCACGCACCTTTGACTACGTACTGTGCGAAAGACGTTCAACATACATGTATACATATAACAAGAATGATCAAAAGTCACTGGGCCACAAAGGATGGGAAGATGAGAGCAAATGTGAGGGTATGGGCGGCGGTGCTATGTTGTGTGTGACGTGCAGATGGCGGGGATTACTGTCCTGCCTAGCGGCGCTCGTGCTCTGCTCATCAAGGCAGGGAGAGCTCTGGCTCCTGACACTTTCATGCAAGTGCTGGAGGCCGAGGAATCCTCACAGAGGTACGTGTGTGTATGTGTGTGAGCGTGTGTGTGTGTGGGGAGCGGTAGTGTACCCAGTGACCCGGGTTCGATTCCTGCTCACGGCCAACACCAGTGACGATTATCTGAACTGGTCCTGGGCCTTCCCTAGATCGACTCAGCCTCAATTGAGTACCTGGCGCTGGTGTGTAAACATCGCCACTGGGGGGACAAAGATGGTCGGGCGTGGTGCTGGCCACCCACCCACTCCTGTACCGTTCTGGCCTTCATAGGTGCTCGCTAACAGCACTTTCCCCAACAGGCTATTGAAGGCTATACGGGGCGTCTTTGTCTTTGTGTGGGTGGAGTGGCAGTGTAGTGGTTAATGCGCTTTGCTATGAAACCACCGACGCGGTGACGAATATTTGAACTGGTCCTGGGCCTCTTCCGAGGTCGACTTAGCCTTAAATGAGTACAGTACCTGGTGTGCGTAAATATCAGCATTGAGAAGACAGAGGCGGTCATGCATGGTGCTGGTTACACCACCCTCTCGTGCTGGCCTTTACAGGTGTTCATTAACAACACTTGCCCCAACAGTCTGTTAAAGGCTATATGGGGGATCTTTGTCCTTGTGTTGCAGCGGAGTGCAGTGATGGACCGTTGGCTGAGCAGGCACGCCTGCATGCTCAGGCATCTATCAGGGCAGCGAGTCACTTGCTCACCATCGGCCCCGATCGTGAGAGGGACCGGTGAGAGGACACAAAGACACAGAGACACGGAGACATGAATGCGGGGGGGGGGGGGGGGCAGGGTTAGCTGGGCACTAACTAAGCAGCTCGAAAATTAGAGCAGGATGAAGGAGAATAGGGTAAGCAACTAGGCTTTTGGCAAAAGAACATGGCAGGTAAGTGTCGTAGCTACAACGGGGCAGGACAGGGGAGGGCCAGTTCCTGACACAGGCATTGGAATGGTGTCCACAAGTCTAGCAACCAAGGTAAAAGAGAAGACCTTCAGCCGGACGGTGGGATACTGTCAGGGCAGATCTTTGGAGGTTACTTAAAATCCTGCTGAGCTTTCGAGGACGTAGGGGATCGAACGCATTCCGTTGGAGTTCATCAAAGGGAGGAGAGGCATGTGACAAACAATGGTGGACTTCCCCCGCAGCCATACATTAACGGCGGTGCGTGCAGCCCGAAGCACCCAGAGACCTGAGTTCAAATCCCGGCAATGGCTGTCATCAGCAGCGAGTGATGTCTGAACCGATCACGGGCCCCCAATTTGGCAACCCTTCAGTGACCAGTCTGGTGATGTATGGTCAATCAATTCTCACGACCCATAGAGTGTGGTGAGGGGGAAAGGGGCTTCATCCAGTAGTGGACTGACAGAAGCCTGTTCATCCGATTAGTGTCCCGCACCTGCGATTAGCATGGTTGGCTACATATTATGACATCTGTTTATACAGGAAGCCTTGCTGAGCCTTGTGACTTTTTCAGGAGGGTCCTGCCAAGTAAAATTTTCTATTTTGGCAAATTTGGACCATGACACCAGTACACAATGGCCTACTCTTGACATCATGGGATCTTGAACGTCCTCTATCAAGCAAACGGCACGTATTTTTAAATCCTTTATATTAAGTTCACTTGCTTGCTTGCGCGCTTGACGACCGTGCAAATCTTTCGGTCATTTTTTAACCCACTTCCCGTGATCCAATCGAGCTGACATTTTGCACACAGACTCGTTGTGCGTGACAATTAATTTTCGTGAAATTTTTTTTCCAAATTTTTACACTTTTTAGGAATTTTTTTAAATATTTAATTACCAATTGCTTAATGGTGGCAGGCAATCATCTGACCCATAGGTGGCAGCCATCTCAAGCCAGAGGACGAGAGGACTCTAGCATATAAAGGATTTATAGTGAAAAACTTTGTTTTTATGGGTTAATTTTTTACGGTTAATGCACCCCCAGTATTATCCAGGGCAGCTGCTGGATTCGAACCGCCCTTCATAGGTGCTCCCTCACAGCACTTGCTCCAAAAGTCTGCTAAGGCTATACGGTGGATCTTTGTATTTTTACGATGCTATCCACGTGTAAGTCTGTGCGTGTGTCTCTGTGCGTGTCCCTGCATCTAGTGTTCACCTGTGGGCAGAGCTGGCCGCGCTGTGTGTGCGTCACAACGTGTGGGACGTGAGCCGCGTCGCCACACGCTTCTGCCTCCTCTATGACGACGGGCGGTGGCGTGCCCAGCTGCCTGGTGACTCATTCATTCATTCACTCATTTATTCCCTTAGTCAATTTCACTCACTCATTAATTCACTAATTCAGTTATTGCATCTCTCATGTATTCATTTACTTTTTCGTTCAGTCACTCATTCACTTGTCCATGCGCTCCCTAATCATTCACTCATTTACTTACTCATTCAGCCATTCATTCACTCCTTTAGTCACTCTTCACTCGCTCATGTGTTTGTTCTCTCATTGGATGCATCTGTGCATGTGTGGTTTGTGTTTATGCTTGTGTGTACGTGTGTGGTTTGTGTATACACGTGTGTGTGCATGCATTTGTATTTGTGTGCGCACTCATGCACAGAGAAAGAAAGCAATGGACCCCAATCAAAGCCACAACCACAGTCCAAGCAGCAGCAAGCACCACAATCACAGCAGCAGGAGCAACAGCTCCGCTTAGACCCTCAGCCCCAGCAGCAACAGCGGGTGGCGGAGGTGGCGTCGGGGCAGCAGCAGTCTGTGCTATCCGCTCAGTCCGATCGCGAGGTGCTCACCTCACTAGCCAACATCAACTTCATGTGTGCAGAGGTGAGGCTCAGACACAAACATTCAGGTCATAAGGTGCTCCTTTGTGGATATGTGTGCACATGTGTGTGTGCCTGCGTACGTGTGGCATGGTGGTAACACTTGTGCCCTACAGCAGGAAGGCCGTGGGTTCGATTCCTATCTTTGGCATCTTTTTGTATGGAGTTTCTATGGTCTCCCCTTGCTCCTCGGAGTTCTCTAGTTTCCTCCCATCGCTAAAAACACGACACAGTGTAACTGGTATTGGTCAAACATCCTAATGCTGCAAAATGACTTGCAAATTACTCAATAGGAACCACACATAATAGCAATATTGCCCCCCTTCTGTAACATTTGGTAGGACCCTCTATAAAAAAAAGCCTTGAGACTCAGTGAGTTTTGCCTGGGTAAACAAGCATATTAATAAAAGAGTGTCAATGCAGGGATAAAGGTGCACATGGCCCTGTGTCTCCCCAGGCCACGGCTGAGTTACTGAGGAGAGAAGGAGTGGGGTTGTATGAGGTTCCTCCTCTACCTGCCCAGTACGTGGTCCCTGGGCCCCCTCCAGGGCACGAGGGCCTCCCACCAGACCAGCAGAGCTCCCCACCAGACCAACTGACCGACTGGAAGACATACACGTAAGTGCCACAATTGCCAACCATACCGTTGTTCATAATAATATTTGCATTCATATGGCGCTTGCTTTAATGCCGTAGCAACTCAAAGTACCTTACGTGACATCGCATGTCAAGCAACCGGGAAACATCGAGTCACAGGGAGACAGAGAGATACTGAGGGACAGAGAGAGACACATGCAAACAAGAGAGATACCGAAGGACAGAGAGACACGGGGAGACAGATAGAGAATGGGAAACAGCGATATGGAGGGACAGAGACACGGAGAGACAGAGAGACACAGAAAATGAGTGAGACACGGAGAGACAGGAGATGAATTAATAAATGAATGTTGTGTGCCTTGGCTGCCCAGCGACTGGCTGCATGAGCTGTCAGAGCGCGTGATTGGCCGCCTGCTGCGGGGGGCGGAGTTGGGCGCAGAGCTGGGCGACGTTGCTGTGGTGATGGGAGCAGTTGTGCGGCTCTGGAACCACGTGGCTCCGCTGGTGGCGTCCGGGAGAGAGGGCGATGTGCTGGACCAGCTCACCACCGGCCTGAACGTGCTCAGGGAGACGCACACACACAGGTGCAGGCAGCACAAAGACACACACATATATGCAAAGACAACAATTCCCACTGTAGCCTTAACAAACTGTTGGGGCAAGTGCTGTAAGTGAGGGCAGATGAAGGCCAGCACGGCAAACGAGGTGGTGGGTGGCCGACACCACGCTCGGACACCTTCGTCTTTCCACTGATGGACAATTCACGAGATACTCATACAAGACTGTGTTGACCTAGAGGAGGCCCAGGACCGGTTCATATATTTGCCACTAATGTTGGCTGTGAACGAGAATCAAACTCAGGTTGCCAGGTTTGTAGCAAAGTGCGCTAACTGCAACGCTATCCCTCTCCACACACAGATACACATAGATAAAGACAAAGATACACAGATCCACATACAGAGATACACAGGTGCAGGCAACATCGCTACTACCACCGCCATCGTCATCATCAACACTGTTAGCACCAACATCACCACTGACTCCAATATCACTTCTGCCACCAAGTATTCATACATTTCTCATCCACATGTTGCTCCCCTCCCTGTGTGCCGTTCCCCCTTACCCCTCACCTCACTCAGTGACCCTGAGCTGTTGGGGCTGCTCTGTGCCGCTGTGGCACGAGGGATGTGCTCCACCTGGCTGCCCCCAGCACCCCCGGTGCCCCCCGTGCCCCCCGTGTCCTCCGCAGCAACCAGGAAGCAGCAACAGGGGGGCAACAAGCAACAGGGAGGGGGCCCTGCAATCAGTCCTGAGGTCTTGATTCAGCTGAAGAAAGCCCTGGAGGTATGATCAGTGGTGTGAATGTGCCGATCTACTTTGGTATGCCTTCCGAAGACAGGGTGTTTATGGAGTGGAGGTGTAGTGGTTAGCACAATGCGATACAAATCCAGCGACTAAGGTTTAACTCCCAGTTACGGCTAACATCAGTGATGTATATTGTAAACGGCCCTGGGTCTCCTTTGGGTCAACTTACCCTTGAAATCATCACCCTCTCGTGGATCGTACCGACCTTTCATATGTGCTCACTAACAGCACTCCCCCCAACAGTCTGTTTAGGCTATAAGGAGTATTTTTGTCTGTGTGTGCAGGTGTGCGAGTTTGGGCTGCAGATGACGAGTGTGTCTCCGGAGGGCTCGGCCTCTCGGCAACTGCTGTCAGCCTGGGCCAGAATCAAACTGGGACTTCAGCAGCCACCTGTGCTCCCTCCCATACAGGTGGCCAGTACGCACACGCACAGGACACTACTGTGAAGTGCCAGGCTATGTGAACTTTGAGGCTACTGGGCAGTTAGAGGCAGTCGCCCTCCAACAACAACAGAGCGTGGAGGAGCAACGTCACAACAATTAGCGGAGAGACAGGCAGCTAGAACACAACAGCTTGGCACAGTGAGGAGCACAGGTGGTGCATATGCCAGTCATGTCCGTTAAATCATAACACCTGGGTCCATCCCATGATTTCCTGCCCGTGATTTCCAAGCACAAATAGCCTGGCAATATTTTAGTGATGAGGTCACCGCCACTTTTTTGCCAAGCACCTGTTGGATTTTGTATTAATGCATGTGTGTTGATGTGTTTTTTTACAGGGTGGTAGTCCAGTGATGCGCGTTCTACTTGCTCTGGAGGCCCACAGCCTCAGCCCGTGTGGACTCGCCCCCCCACCCTGCCCCTCCCTCACTGAGGTGACAATGTCATGGCCTTCTCTGCACCTGCAGCCTCTGCATATTTGATGTATAGTTTTCAACAACGCAAACATCAGAAGAGAGAAGCAGGATGTACCGATCGCTCCTTCTCAGCTGCCTATGCAGTGCCGAGTCACCGTCTGCTGCACCGAGACAGCTGCTACTGGGGGTGCCCTTTGAATAGTTGAGATGAGATGTAATGCAAGGTTCTTTGAGATGCAAAGGAATTTAAGTGAGTGCCCAGTACAGTATGTCCCTGGGTTGCAGAAGACCTGACTTACGGAAATCCGACTTTAAGGATAACGCTCCCATAAATCATGGAAGAAAAAAAAATATGCGGAAAATTTGCGTTAATTACGTAAGCACAATTCGTGCAGCATGGTGAGGTCGCGGATGAATACCGCGGAGCGAGTTGTAAGGCGGGTAGCATCTTCCCCAAGGCGGTGGTGCGTAGCCGCTCTGCACTCTCTGTCACACTGTTACATTGTTACCATGTGTATACTGTACCCGCCACATCGTGTCGTAACTTTCGCTGTAATATCACCATTATATTCTTGGTTCTTTCGGTAAAGTCACGTAGAAGGGAAATAACAAAACAATATAAATATAAAACAATAAAAAACAATTTACTGTGTGTACTTTATTAAACACAATTATTTTATTTTTTATTATTTTATATTTATATTGTTTTGTTATTTCCCTTCTACGTGACTTTACCGAAAAAACCAAGAATATGAATCCCTGCAGTCACGAAAGCTTTAAATAAAAAAATAATGACTGGAAAGGTTTAAGGTAAATGGAATTTTTTGTAGTGTTACGTAATTGTTGTTATCTATGCTTAGAACTATCTTTCCCCCCCCATATTTGTATTGCCGGTTTTCTTAATTTTAAGTTTATTTCATGAGTTATTTACTGTACGTACTTTATTTAACACAATTACACTTCGATTGCTTCTGATCTCAGCCAACAATGATCGGAGAAGTCTAGGCCTAGCCTAATGCACGATGAACAAACATTCGGAAGTGACTGCTCTCTGCTAACAATTAATATTAAAATGTTTCGTGTTATTCATGAACAATTGGATACAGTATATATTCCATTGTTTTAATTATGGATAGTGTTAGGGTATACGTATATTCAATGAAATTAAAGAATCATAGGAAGTGCAGAGCGTATGTACAGTGATATGATAGAGGTTGCGATAGAAAATGGATGACGGCGTGATACAGTACTGAGAGAAAACGAACTAGTAATCGGGTAGGAGAGGTACAACTATTCCAACTATGGGATTTTATCTTGATTTGGGGGAAAAAATGGTTCAGTAGCTGACATAGGGAAAATTCGGGTTAAGGATCGTTCTCAGGAACCTAAACCTTCCGTAACCCAGGGACTGCCTGTACATGCAAAGATCGTTATTCTTATTACAGTATATCTGACCTGATCCTGGGCCTCCCCTATGTTGACTCAGCCTGTGTAAACATCAGCAATGGAGACACAAATGTGGCCAAGCATGTTGCTGGCTACCTACCCTAGTACCAACAGTCTATGAAAGGCTGTATGGGGGATCTTTGTATTTCTGATGCAGGTGAGCGATCAGGCCGCCTCCTGTGAGTGGACGCAGCCTCTGGTGGAGCTGCAGTTGTGGACCCGCATCTCTACCCTGGCTCTGACCAATCAGCACGAGGCCCTCGCCCTGCAGGCCTCCCACAATGCCCTGCGGCTCCAAGGGGCCAACGTCACCGGGCAACGGTGCCGACTTCTTAAGGGGTAAGGCCATACGGGCAAGTGACCGATCGACAGGGTGGCACAGAGATAATCAGAATCAGAATATGTATTTATACTGCAGGAGGAATCCAATGAGCTATGAAGCTTCTTTTCACAGATGTCCATTTGGGGTGAGTAAGAACGTTACATCAACAAACAGTACAAAAATATCATCGTAGTGCAAAGTACAAGAAAAGTAAACAAATCACCCAAACACATGCAAATAAACTAAATCATCCCTATCATCAAATCTAGATTCATCCCCATCCTACCAGACAAAGCCCACTGAGGTATTAGCTTATTTTTCAAAAGCGACCTGGTGACATGATAGCTCAACAAAATGGCTTATCATTTTGACATGTGTATATACAGGCATCAGGGTCGGGATCGGACTCCCGACCTCCTGCATACCAGGTGAGGGAGATAACATCTCAGCACCGTGGCGTCCCTTACATAAATAAATAATGTTTGTCAATTCTAATTGCATCATCATTTCCCAAGCTTCGCAAAGGTGTAACACAACTACGGTATCCCAGACCACACCAAGACAACACCAAACCCAGAACCCGTGCTGAACTCTGCTACTTATGCTCAAACCCAGAACTCGTGCGGAACTCTGCTACCTACACCAAGACCAGAACCTGTGTGGAACTCTTCTACTAGACCAAATAAATAACTGTAAAAACCCTATAAAAACATTCCTAGACAACAAATAGTAAGATAAATACTCACAAAATACTGTACGTCGTGCTACGATTAGCGCACTGCACTACGAACCCGGCAACCCGAGTTTGATTCCCACTCACGCCCAACACAAGTGACGATTATCTGAAACAGTCCTGGGCTTCCCCTAGGTCGACTCAGTCTCAAATGAGTACCTGGTGCAATGTGTAAATACCTGTGCCTCAAAGTGAGAAGGGCCTGGGATTGATTCTCCTCTTCGGTGCCTTTGTGTGGCGCTTGTATGTTCTCTCCCTTTTCTGTAGAGTGTGTAAATGTGTGAGTGTGTGTGAGTTTATATAATCCACCCCTGTTCTGTATGTCACACACACGCTTGCTGTGTGTGAGTATGTCACTGTGCTGCATGGGCGTCAATGCGCTGTGTGTGTCACTATGTTACGTGTGTCACTATGCTGCAGAGATAAGCAGCAGGAGAAGTGGTGCTTGCTGACTATACGTGTGTCATTGTGCTGTGTGTGTCTCACTGTGCTACAGGAACAGGCAGCAGGAGAAGTGGCACTTGCTGAGTGTGCATGTGTCATCGTGCTGTGTGTGTGTCACTGTGCTGCAGAGACAAGCAGCAGGAGAAGTGGCGCTTGCTGAGTGTGCATGTGTCATTGTGCTGTGTGTGTGTGTCACTGTGCTGCAGAGACAAGCAGCAGGAGAAGTGGCGCTTGCTGAGTGTCGCGGCAGCTGTGCAGGGTCAGGCGGTGGCACGCCGGCACGGCCGTGGGAGCCTTGCGCTCACACTCGCCACCGACGGCTTCCTGCAGTCCGCCCGGTACGGTCACAGAGCTTGTGAATTAACCGGGGTCTGAAGTCTAGTGAGTTTTGGTGATCTCAGTCCGAGCACCAGTGACTTACACATTGACCCAGACACTCACGTAGACTGACTTGTAATAAAGCCAGGTTCGCAATTGTAGTTTTTTGATGGTTTCAGCCCAGTCAACAACAATGGCACAATAAAAACAAACTTTTAAAATATGGTTTTGGATTCAAAATATCAGTTTTAGGGTGTTTGTGAGTTTTGAGTGAATTAGTGGTGTGAGTGAGTAGGTCTGATTGCATGTGGGAGTGTGTCATCTTGGTCAGTCGACCCATGGCACCTGCTGGGTCTGCCCCGTGACCTCCTGCCAGCGGGCGTTCGACACTTCACGTGGCCTCAAGGTGCACTTGGCCTGGCACAAGCGTCGTAGTGACGTCACCGCCACTTAGTGGCGAATGGCGGTTGTTGTTGTTGTGTGCGAAGTTTGTATCTTCTCCTTCCTGTTCTGCATAGGTTTCCTCCAGGCTCTCTGGTTTCCTCTCATGGCAAAAAAACAATGTTATTGGAATGGGAAGATTATCCCAATGCTAAAGAATTTCCTTGGCAGAACCCTCCTGAAAAAGATAAGAGTGAGGCTTGAACCTGGTCCACCTGTGTGTAATAATATAATAATCAAATAACACAGTAATACAATGAACATTACTCTCAGTGGCAGAGTGAGTGGGAAAGTGCTGCCGTCTGCTGTATATGAAGCATAGGTCACTTGAAGGGATCTCAGAGGTAGGTCTATGATATCCGCTTCTGTGGGTTGTTCTCTAATCAGGTGATCCTAGCCACACTACGCTCTTTTGTGATGTGCCGGACTTAGTAGGTGCTTGCTAACAGCACTTGCCCCAAAAGTCTGTTAAGGCTATACGGGGGGTCTTTGTATGTAGCTATCCATGTGGAAGTCTGTGCGTGTTTATCTGTGCGTGTGTCTTTGTGTGTGTGTGTAGTGTTGCGGCCTTCATAGGTGCTCACTAGCAGCACTCGCCCCAATAGCATATGTAGGCTACATAGGAGAATCTTTGTCTTTATAGGTTTGGGGAACAAGCGGGCAGTGTGGCGCTGGTGCTGCAGGCTGTGCGGCACATGTGGAATGTCTGTGCTTCGGTGGCCCCGTGCCCTTTGGGCCGAGCGCCACTCCGTGCTCCTCTCATCGCCCTCCTCACCATCGTCAACAACTCCTGCGGCTCCCAGCGGCTTCGTCAGCAGGTGTTGCATCAACATCGGCCAGGCTCTGATTGCTGCTGAATAAAGGCCTCCCTTTGTCGAATGTTATGTTCCCCAAAACGCTTTTTGGTTTTACGTAATTTTCCTTTAGTCTGACATCTTTGAGCTGTAACATCATGGCCCCGTGGTGGCGCATGTCTGCCGTTTGTTGCAGTGGTTCGCGGTTCTTATCCTGGAGGCCACCCTAGTTAACACTGCAGGTATATTAACCATAAAGTACTAAATGCCGTCTGTTTCACAGTGGACGTTAAAGATACCTTGAGGTCATTCAAATAGAGCAGGTCATAGTGTGCAGGCATCATGGTCCAAATTTGCTCAATTTAAAATATGCCACATAATCCTCAATCGGGATTACACATAGCAACATTTCCCCAAACTGCAAAACTGCTGCAGACTGTGTCTGTGAAACATATCACCTTGCTGTGTGATATAGCCTTGTGCTAGAACAGGGGTCGGCAACCAAAATAACAAGAACAGCCCTATTTTAGAATTCGGTAAAAACGTCAATATTTCAAGAGCCGCAATGCATGTGAATGCGAGATGGCGGTTCTTCATAAATTAAGAATGGCGCAAATACCAAAGTACTAAATTATTATTAATTTGCTACTCCCGATATTTCCAAGGTAAATAACATTTGACTTCGGTCACAGGTTTTACACTAGTCATCATCGATACCGCATGTCGCCAGTCCCTTTCAGCCAGGATGAGCCCTGAATTGATGCTGCAATGGACAAAGGACATGTCTTAGACAGTAGATGCTGATTTTCAAAGTTATTTCCTGCTCAAATGAGCATTGAGGCATTGATGCTTATCTACTGTTTACAATCCTGAGCCAGTGGTGGAAAATCCCCATTCTTATGGCAGAGGAGAGCATCCATACGACAACCACTGTTGACTTCACCACGAAGTTGTACTCATATTATTTGGGTCTTTCGGTAAAGCCACGTAGTTAGAAAAAAAATGTATAATAACAAAATATCACGACGTTTCGATCGCAACACAAGCAATCGTCATCAGGTGAGGCAGGGAAAGTTTTCTTTTTTATAGCGGGAGCTTCGTCGTCGTGGAGGAGCTCAGCTCTCCGATTTTACATTTCCATGCAAATTTCATCTCGAGCCCCGCCCACTTCGCTTATGACCCTTGGGCTACACCCATATCTCAAACCTTTATAACACCCTGCCTCAGCATCGCTCCCGCTATACATTTTTTCACCTGATGACGATTGCTTGTGTTGCGATCAAAACGTCGTGATGTTTTTTTTTTCTATCTACGTGGTTTTACCGAAAGACCCAAAGAATATGAATTCCTGCAGTCACGAAAGCCTTAAGTCAAGAAGTTGTACTCATTTAGTCAACCCCAGAGGGAGGGATGATGGCCAAGTTAACTCTCTCCCCTAATCAGGATTTGAACTCACAACCTTCAGATTCCGAGCCGCTCTTTGTATTGCCGAGCCACCTGGCTGGATAGTGACAGCCGTGGATATAAACCACCATCACTAATGATGATGAGTATTGTTTATGAAATTGTTGGTGATGATGATGTTAATACATTTGTAATATAGCACTCAGAGGCACTGTCTTGTTAAATTATATACTTATAATCTATTAAGGTCTGCCCCACTCACTGATATTATAATGGATAACCACAAGTGACTATGTACAGCTGGGTAAATTATGTAACTGCTACACGACGTTCCCTATGTAGTTGGCTGACTAGATAGGAGCGAAGGCGTAGGGGCCACGGAGACAATATATGTATACACCTTCCCTACCATTCCAAGAGTATAAGGTGCCCCGTTCCAGGATGATGAAGACGACCCACTCCAAGATGACGACAGCAACGACGGTGTCTTCGAACCCCCATAGCAGCAGCCCAGAGCCCTGCTCCACGCCGCCTTTTATCCTCCTCTCAGACTCGGCCACGCCCCCTTTTCCCGAACATTCTCTCACCTCATTTGGCCCTGTCTGTCTCTGTCTCCTCAATTATTATTTACGACCACTTAGGTCCCGTACTGTCCTTACGTGACCCTGTCAGTTCCCGTCGCTTCAGTTATTAATTATGACCACAAGGCCCCGTACTGTCCTTACACATTTGTTAATGATGATGGTAATGAACATATGCCGTTGTTGGTGATGATACATGACAAATATATGTGTGGGAGATGATGTTTAGGACATTGCTGATGATGTTTTAAAATTGTTTGGTGATGGCGATGGTGATGAAAATATTAAAATGTTGGTGGTGATTATGATGATGTGTCGTGCCTGACAGTGTGACGTGAAGCCATCAGAAACGTCCCAGTGTGAGGAGAAAGGGGAGGAGGAGAGAATGCCAGGTGAGGTTGTGCTGCTTTGACGAAGCATTGCTCTTGTGCATCTCATTACTTGATCATTTCCCAAACTGCAGTCAAGCCCTACACATAAAGGTGCCAGAGTTTGGGCTCGAACCCAGGAAACTTCATGCTAGGAGGCACAAGTGTTAGCACTTCACCACCGTACTGTCCCCTTTTATTCATTTTCGCGATAAAGTGAACTGCTTACCCATAATAGCACGGGTTTGCTTTATTTTCTTGGGTGCGTGTGATTGGATCAGGCGGCGCTGCTTGGGGAGAGGAGGCACTGGCAGCATGGACGCGGCTCGCACTGCTGATGAGTCAGATTCACGAGGACACGGGAGATCTCGGCTCTGCCATGGCGACCGTCAACCACGCGCTGTCCTCCACGCCGCGCGGAAACCACCGCCTGTGAGATCAGTGGCTTTTCCACAAACGCGAACAGAAGGACCATGTTCAATATAATCTAATGGGGTATCCATATACGGATCACCCAATGCAACACACAGACAGACCAGGCTCAATAGAACCAAGTGGGGTAAACTAATCACCCTGTCCTCTCAGGCCTCTCTACCGCCGCCGCGTGTGGCTGAAGGCGCGACTTGGACAGGCTCTGGAGCTGGAATCTGCGCGTTTCCACGAGGGCGGTGAGCGGGCATGCGCCCGTGCGTGGCTGTCGCTGGCGCTCGTTCATCCGCACCCTGCGCAGCAGCTTCTGTGCTACCGCCATGCCCTCCTCGCCCTGCAGGTGCCACTGTGTGGCAGCGTGCGCAGTGTACACAGTGCTTGTGTTTGTTCAACGTGTGTTCGTTGTGTGTGCAGTTTGTTCAATGATTGTGTGTGTTCGCTGTGCGGTGTGTGTCTGTGTGTTCAATCCCGGCAACCCGAGTTCGATTCCCACTCAACATTTGTGACGAATATCTTAACCAGTCCTGGACCTCCCCTAGATCGACTACGTGTTAATTGAGTAGCTAGTGCAGTGTGTAAACATAAGTATTAGGGAGAAAAAAGGTGGCCGGGCGTGATTCTGCCCACTCACCCCCCCCCCCTCATGTGCCGTGTTGGCCTTCGTGGGTGCTCGCTAACAGCACTTGCCCAAATAGTCTGTGAAAACTATATGGGGGATCATTTTCTTTTGTGCGTGCTGTGTGTGCAGTGAATGTGCATGTGTTCAGTGGGTGCAACAGTTGTGCATGTGGGGAGCACAGGTGATAACGGGAGCTAAACAGGTGCGACATGGGCTAGAGAAGAGATGGAGTGATGTAATGATTGGACAATGACTGGTACCAGCGGTGACAAGATTAGCTTCTGTGCATGAGGCTCATGAAAGACGCTACTGGGCAATAACGGAAGGCGGAGGACAGACGTTCACAATAACAAGTAGAGTTGCAGGTGGATAAAATTCTGAGGTGGCATCGTCGGGAGCACAGGTGGTGCATCTGCCAGTCATCTCAGTCAGTCAACCATAACACCTGGGTCTGCCCTGTTTACCTCCTGCCAGTGAGCCTTCTACACTTCACGTGGCCTCAAGGTGCACCTAGCCTGGCACAGGTGCCATTCTGACGTCACCAAAACTAAGTGGCAAATGGCATTGTTGTTGTCTCTCTCTCTCTCTGTCTCGATTTCTTTTTTGCTCTAACTCTCTCTCCCTGTCTTTATCTGTCTCTACCTGTCTCCCTCTCTTTATTTTGTACTCTGTCTCTCCCAATCTCTCTCTCACCCTTCTGTCTCACTATCCCTTTTTATTTTTCTCTCTGGCTCCCTCTCTCTGTGTCTCTTTCCCTGTGGACCCAGTCCCCCGAGTGTGTGCATCTGCGCGTGCTGGTGCTGAGGGAGCTGTCGCGTTGGGCGCTGGCTCAAGGCTCCTCGTGCCAGGACGCAGTGACGCTGCTCACTCACGCTGGAAATAATCTCATCATGATGCATCGAGGAGACACGTGTGGGCGACCAAACACGGGCACGGATGAAGCTGCCACACATGTGCACACACATGGTATCACCTCTAACACATGCACGACGTCATTCACACACAGGGTGTTACAATTCACACACACAAATACAAATATTCTACATATAGCCTTAACAGACTTTTGGGTCAAGTGCTGTTAGCGAGCACCTATGAACGTCGCGATGGCGCATGAGGGGGTGGCTGGCCATCTCCACACCCAGCCGCCTTTGTTTCCCTAGTGACCATGTTTACATATTGCACTCGGCACTCATTTGAGACTGAGTCGACCTAGGGGAGGCCCAGGACCAGTTCAGATATTTGTTACCGATATTGGCCGTGAGTGGGAATCGAACTCACGTCGCCAGGTTCGTAGTGCAGCATGTTAACCACTGCGCCACCGCCTATTACCCTGGTGTGTGCCAGTCATCTCAGGCAGCCCATGGCACCTGGGTCTGTCCTGTGACCTCTTGTCAGCGAGCCTTTGATACTTCACGTGGCCTCGGAGTGTATCAAGCCTGGCACAAGTACCATGGTGACGTCACTGCCACTTAGTAGCGAATGGCAGCTGTTGTTGGAGCGCGGTGACGCATTGGTTAGCATGCTGCACTACGAACCTGACAGCCTCAGTTTGATTCCCGCTCATGGCCAAGATCAGTGACGAATATATGAACCGGTACTTGGTCTCCCTTAGGGAGACTCAGCCTTAAATGAGAGCCTGGTGCGGGGTTTCACCATCAGCATTGGGAAGACAAAGACGACTGGGCATGGTTCTGGGAACATCACTCCCTCATATGCCATGCCAGCCTGAATAGGAGCTCACTCATCGCTATTCGGTTAAATGCAATAAGGGGGATCTGTGTATTTGTGTGTGTGTGCAGGCAATGTGAGTAGCTGGGCACGTGCCTGGCGGGAGAAAGCCCGCGTGCAAGACCTCGACTCGCTGGCGCAGCTGCTGGTGGATGGCTGCACGGTGCTGGGGAGGTGCCATGGGGGCCATGCTCGCCCCCTGATGCACGGGCCCCTGTCTGCATTCGCATGCGTCATGCGCATGTGGGAGGTGAACAGCGACTCACAGTGGCAGCGGCGTGACATTTAGACCACTGTGGTTACATCGCGATATCATTCGCTTGCTGACCACACCTGCCGACGGCTAACCCCTCGCCAATGAAGAGTAATTTCTGAATTATCATCAGCAATAATAAGTCGTAATTGATATTTGAGTTAGGTCACGTAATGATCTGGCCCAATTCTGACTTTTTTGGTTCCTGTCCTTTATATTGTTATTTTGTGACGCACATGAACAATGTTATTAAATGACGAATATCTCGTTATCCTCCCACGGCCTTCGCTGTTCTTAGCTGCTGTTGGAGATGCCCACCGCTGCCGCCGCGCCCACAGAGAAAAGCGATGGTGTAAAGGGCAAACATAAGGACAAGAGAGATGACAGCGGGAAAGAGAGACACAAGGACAAGAAGACTCCCTCGGGGTCTGCCAAGCGGAGCAAAGTGAGGAAAGATGTGAAGATTTTCTGTTGATGTTGTGTTGGGGATGGTGATTCAAAGCTAAAAAAATACATACAATGTAATTGGTATTGGTCAAACGTCCCAATGCTGAAAACTCAATTAACTGGGAAACCCATAGTAATATCGCTATCTTCCGGCAAAAACTTGGCAGGACCCTCCTGAAAATGAGTCTTGGGACTCAGTGAGGCTTTCCTGGGTAAACTAGTGAAATAAATAAATAAATCTAGCAATGCTATCGTTAACGCACGAGAATTTGCCATTTTTCTGTATAAAGTCTAGGGCCTCGATATGCAATGAGACAAAATGTACAGATATTTTAAGGAAATACCGGTGCCAATAGCAGTGGCTTCTCTTTTGGATACAGATTACACACTTCACATGCCTCTTGATTGATAAAACAAACACATTCCGTGTGATTCTAGATTTGAAGCTTTCGTGACTGCAAGGAATCATATTCTTAGGTTTTTTCGGTAAAGTCACGTAGGTAAAACATCAAAATTAATGAAAATAAAATAAAATAAAACAAAAAATCACGACGTTTCGAAACGTCATGAAAATAAAATAAAATAAAACAAAAAATCACGACGTTTCGAAACGTCATGATTTTTTGTTTTATTTTATTTTATTTTCATTAATTTTGATGTTTTACCTACGTGACTTTACCGAAAAAACCTAAGAATAACATTCCGTGTGAACAATGTGCATTGTGCTGTGCCCGTAAATCCGCTCCGTCTCCACGTGGCCGAACCGCTCATGTTGGGTGCGTGTGTGCGCTGCTCTTATAGGCTGCTGCTCCCACACGTGGGGATGCCCCTCGTCGCAAGGGCAGCCCTGCCCCACTGCCCTGCAGCCTCCACGGCTGGGCAGCGCCCGAGTGGAGCGAGGAGACTCGAGCTGCCCTGGCCGCCGCCCTCCTCAGCGACGACAGCTTCCCCGAGCCGGTGCCAACCCCACTGAACCACGACCCTGACAACATTGCAACCAGGCAGAGGTCCCTCAGAAATTATATATATATGCATTTGTTATTTATTTCCCCACACTTGATACAGTAAATTTGGCTGTGACGGTTCCACCTGAAGACGGAGACTTGTGTTGCCTCCGAAACGTCGTGATTTAATTGATTTATTTTCATTTATTATTATTTAATTTTATTTTATTTTTTTACCTACGTGACTTTACCGAAAAAAAAACCTAAGAGTATTTATTTCCCCGTTTGTTTACCCTTAAAAGCATCACTGAGTCTCAAGACCCTTTTCAAGAGGAATTATTTTATAATATGACACTGCCAATGGTGCACAAGCATAAGTAACTAAACACCCGACACGTTAGTCAATACCATTCGTCAGCGGTTTTGACGATGGTGTTGAGTCTTATTTCAAGAGGGCCTTACTGAGTTTCCAAAGATGTTGCTGCTGTGTCTAATTCCAATTTAGTAATTTTTAGGTCGTTTTTCAGCATTGTGGTCTTTGGCCAACCCCATTTTATATTGTTTTATTTTTAAAGCTATGGCCGATATCAGTTACATTATAGGGTTTTTTTCGCATTGGGAGGAAACTGGAAAACCTAGACAAAATCTATGTGGAACAGGAGAAGAACACACACTCTCCACACACATACACTCCCTCACAAACACACATACACACTGCAGGACAGGGGGTGGAAACATACAAACTCTACACAGAAAGGTGCCCGAGTCGGAAATCAAACAGCAGGAAACATCTTGCTGTGGTAACACTGTCGCTAAAAAAGAGATCCCCCACTCCAGTTCTCAGGGTCTCCCATTTTCTCATGTTTACCAATCACTTGTCATGTTATTATGCACCAGCACTGGGGAGACAAAGGCGACGAAGCGTGGTGTTGGCCACACACCCCTCGTGTGCCATGCCAGCCTCTGCACATCTCTGTAGATGCTCGCTAACAGCACTTCCCCGGACAGCGTATTAAAGGCTATATGGGGGTTCTTTATCATGTCGACACTCTATATCCGAATTGTTTCAAAAATTTTGACAATGAATTGAGTCAATTGCTACTGGAATTGTGAACCCAGCATGTGCCTCCTTCAGGGTCTCATAGGGGGTATTTGTGTTGTATGTGCTGCCGGTACTGTGCAGCGTACATCCTGGATACACTACTTATGCTGGCTGTGCTGTCTAGAATACACACTGAGCAAGCTGTGTGTACTGCCTGTATATGCTTCTCTATACAGGACGTCACTGTGGATTCTCTCGGCGATCTGGCCCAGCTGCTCTGTGAGCTGCATTGCCCCTTGCTGGCTCTGCCAGTGCTACAGCTGGCGCTCGCCTTGTGCACGAGCGAGAGGGGCAACGCTGGGCTGGGGCAACTCTACAGCTTACGGTTACACACACACAAAGACAAAAATCCCCCATATAGCCTTAACATACTCTAGGAGCAAGTGCTGTTCTCAAGCACCTATGAAGGCCGATACGGCACACGAGTGGGGGGGTGGCCAGCACCAAGACCAACTGCCTTTGTCTCCCTAATGGTCACCTATACACACAGCACAAGGTACTCATTTGAGGCTGAGGAGGCCCAGGACCAGTTCAAATAAAAGTCACCGGTGTTGGCCGTGAATGGGAATTGAACTCTTGTCGCCTGGTTCGTAGCGCAGCGCGTTAACCGCTATGCCACCACTCCCAAACCTTGCGCAGACACACATATCCACACATATCCACACATATCCAGTATAATAAAGCCTTTAATAAACTGGTTGGGCAAGTGCTGTTCGACAGTACTTATGACTTGGCGATGCAGCGCACCTATGAGAGGGTGGTGGGGCCAGCAGCTCTCCCAGCCGTCTTCATCTCACCAGTGCTGATGCTCAATACACAACTTGGCAGGACACCCTCCTGGGAAAAAAAGTCATGAGACGTCGGTGAAGTTTTCATGGCTAAACAAACGTCACAATAATGACCCCCATGACTGTGAATTATAATAATTATAATAATCACTCAGCATAGTCGTTGTGGAGAATGTTAGTAACGAAAAAAATAATGCCTCCTTCCCATATTTATCTCGTCGCTTGAAGAATAAAAAGATGTTTTACCCATTAGCCACACGGTCTATCCATATAATTTGTTCAACACAGTAGAGTTTGCTTGTGCTTATCCAATGCTGTGGATAAGAAGCACTGCCTGAAGGCCATGTGGCTAATGGGTTGTGTAAACTATTTCTCCATAATAGAGGTTTTTCGGGTTAGATCGCGTAAATCTATGTGCAGTTCAAACCCGCCACCACCCGACACAGCCAACTAGTAAGGGTTGTCACGTAAACAGAACGTGCCAATTCGTCAAACTATTTCTGCTTCTTACGTGGAGAGACAAATATGAGAATGAGGAAATAATTAGTTCATAAACGATGATTGTAATATCAAGTTACGTTTGCATTGTGCTGTGTGTGTGCTGTGCATGCGTATGTGAGTAATATTTGTGTGTGCTGTGTGTGCACTGTGTATGTTGTGTGAGAGCTCTTTATGTTTGTTTGTGAGTATTATGTGTGTGTGTGTGCTGTATGTGTATGCAGCTTGGCCGAACTGTGCACTCAGTTAAACATGCACGATACTGCCCGGTCTCACCTGAAGGCCGTGGGCTCTGTTCCAATACCTCTGGAAGAATTGGCCAGGTCAGTATTATGATTTGCATATATAGTGGCGCTTGCTTAACGGCTTCAGCATCTCATTAAGGCCTTACATCACAGGTAATCTCAATCATCCCAATGCCCTGCAGTAGTTTATTTGTATAACCTAGGGGACCCATTGATGGCAGCCTCCCTTGTGCAGCACAAGGTGAATGCAGAATTCATCAAGAACTTGAGACCAAGAGTGAGAAAATGGCTAGCCACATTCTTCACTGACATCCATTCCACAGGCATCGTTCCAAAGGAGTGGAAAGTGGCAAGGATAATAGCCATTCTGAAACCAGGCAAGGGACGCATCAGACGCTCAAAACTACCGCCCTATCTCCCTACTCAGCGTCTGCTACAAACTAATGGAACGGCTCCTGCTCAAAAGGCTGATGCTAATGCTTGAGGAAATAGTTCCCCAGGAACAAGCAGGATTTAGAACTGGTCGAAATTGTTGCGACCAGGTGCTTGCCTTAACATGTTACATCGAAGCCGATTTCGAACGCCAGCTCAAAACAGCAACAGCTTTCATCGACCTCTCTTCAGCTTATGATACCGTTAGGTGGAAGGGACTCCTAAAAAAGCTTGCAAAAGCTGTGCCTTGCCGCCCAACAATTTGACTAATCACTGAAATGCTGAGCAACCGATGGTTCACCGTCTATCTTGGTGAAGTTGCCAGCAGCCCATGAAGATTGAATAATGGACTCCCGCAGGGATCAGTTCTGGCCCCAGCGCTGTTCGATCTCTATGCTAGCGACATTCCAGTGACATCTTGCCGTAAGTTCACATATGCGTATGGTATCGCACTCGCAACTCAAGCACGGAAAATGGAGGACACTGAGGCAGTCCTCGAAAAAGATCTGAAGACTCTGAAAGAATAATTAAAGAATTGGCGCATAAAGCCTAACCCGTCAAAGAGTGTCGTCTCCACCTTCCACCTGCACAACAGACAAGCTTCAAAAACGTTCAACATTAACTTCTGCGGGGCGAAGCTAAAGGTAAGACGAAAGCATGAGTGAATATTATTCAGAAACTTGCAGGAACAACCTGGGGAAGCGATCCCAGCACGTTGATGATATGGATGCAGGCCCTTGTTCACTCCACTGCGGAGTACTGTGCCCCGGTGTGGGGTGCAAGCCCTCACACGAACCTTGTCGACGCCGAAATTAGCAACGCGCTTTGTATGATCAGTGGTTCCCTAAAGTTTACTCAAGTCCCGTGGCTTCCTGTGCTGGCGAATATTGCTCCGGCCAACATCCGACGCGATGGTGCGATGACACGGGAGTACAACAACAAGACAATGAAGAACTTCACTCTGCCGCTCCATCAAGATCTAAAGGAACCCCCACGCTGCCCAAGGCTAAAATCCAGGAAACCGTTCTGGATACGTGTCTCCGCTCTAGCAGCCGAAAATAAAGACACCACCACTCGGTGGTCTGAATCATGGGCGGCGATGGACGTGGCAAACAAAAATATCGTTCACGATCCGACGGTGGAAGTCGACGACGACTATGGAGCACGCTGAACCGCACTCGAACACAACACGGCAGATGCGCGTACACGTTCCATAAATGGAAGGTCAAAGAATTGTCCAACTGCGACTGTGGAGAAGTCCAAACCATCAAGCACATCGCCGATGAATGCTCCATCCATGCACATCCCGGCGGTATCGCTGAAATCAACCACCTCATTGGACTGGATGAGGAACCTTTGCATTCAATTATGATGATCATTAAGAAAAAAAACTGTTGCTTTTCACAATGCCATATGAAAGAAGAAGAAAGCAGCACCGGCCTCCAAGGTGGCATCATAGTGCCAGTAGGGGGGCGATGTTGCTGATGATTTTCCCATTAAAACTAATTTGTGAGTTAATGTATAACATTTTCATCCTGACAACAGCACGTAATAATGGTCTACTCATTTTTATGATAGCTTTCCTTGCAATATAATTTGACATATAATTGTTTACGTATTAGTATAATGGTCACCCTGTACCTGTTTCCGTAACTTAATTGTAATTGTTCTTCTTGGTTCTTTCGGTAAAGTCACGTAGAAGGGAAATAATAAAATAATAATAAAACATAATAAAATACAATTCTCACGACGTTTCGGCCACAACACAAGCAGCCGTCCTCAGGTGAAGAACAGGGCTGTCAGAAAGACAGCGTCTGAATGAACACCACCAAGCTTGGCAGCGTATATTTAAGCAGGGGTTAGAGGAGGAGAGCGCCTTGACAAAGGAATTTACATATCAACAAGAATTTAGCATATTTATGGAAAATGCAGATATGGGATTAGTCACTACTTGTGGAATGTGTAGGTGGTGGGGGCGGTCTCAAAATAATATTATGCAGTCACGAAAGCTTTAAATCGAAATTTAATTGTAATTGTTCTATGATCAGTCTAATAATTGTCTACCCGAGCCAACTTACACTATGGGGATTTAATTATTTAAAATGTTCATGTTTGTGCAATATTTTCGATGTCTCATGTGACACTGTTGTTTTTGCTCTGACTTCTATTTACTTAATGGCTCTACTTCATTTTATTGTTTTGCTTTTGTCATTTTGATGACCCAGGTTATTCATGCACATCAAACTTGTATATTATGATTTGGTCTCTTGAGTTTTCTCACCTGGTTAAAAAATATTTAAAAAACTCGACTTGGTGATGGAGATGATGGTGTTGTTGTGCTGTGCTGCAGCTGTCGTGAAGAAGTGGAAATGAGGAAGCTGGGAGCTGCAGGCACTAGAGGCAGCTCACACAGCTTCTCACCGGTATGTACGTGTGCATGTGTGTACAGCATCTGTGCAGCGGGGAAGCAGTGGCTCAGTGGTCAGCGCACTGGCTACAAACCTAGCGATCCGACTTTCATTCCCGCTTGCAGCCAAAAATTAGTGGACCTCCCCTAGGTCAACTCAGCCTTAAATGAGTACCTGGTGTGGTGTGTTAACACCAACACTGGGTAGACAAAGGCAGCTAGGTATGGTTCTGGTCACACCACCCCTTCATGAATGTGCCGTGCCGGCCTTCTTTGGTGCTGACGAACAGCACTTCCGCAAGAGCCTCAAAATGCTATACAGGGTGAGACGTTGTTGTTTGTGTGATTTCCAGGTGTGCAAGGGCGGGCATTCGGCTGTGTCCTGTCTCCCTGTGTGGTTGGACAAGGCAGAGGTGCTCGTTCGGCTGGGGCTCACGCAGCCTGCACACTTCCTGCTGGCTGAAATACGTACCACCGCCCAGGTGATTATTGATTGGGGTTTCGGTGTTAAGACAATTTTGAAAGGTTTCAGTGTTAGGATATGATTGATAAGGTTAACATATATTGTTTCACAGCCATGTTATTATTATAATTAATTTATCGGTTAGGCCACGTAATGTTCTGACCAAATTGTATTTTGTTAAGACTCTTCACCACCTGACATAGTAAAATAAATTAACTTGTCACATGTGCAGTTCTAGCGTTTTATATGCCACTTATTATTTCAGCTTTTCTCATTATTCTATTTAAATAAGAGGGTACATTTATTCGTACTTATGTCTATTTTAAACCTGAGAACATACAAACTCCACACACTCACACATATTTTCCTAAACTCACTCAGAAAGGCACCCAAGTCAGGAATCGAGCCCAGGTCCTTCTTGCTGCTTGTCCTGCGTGAGTCAGGTTCACCGGGCTGGCTAAAATGCAGTTAACTGGCACAGTTGCTGCACCCATGGCATCTGGGTCTGTCCCGTGACCTCCTGTCAGTGAGCCTTCGATACTTCACGTGGCCTCTGAGTGTACCTGGCCTAGCACAGGCGCCGTGGTGATGTTACCGCCACTTTGTGGCGAATTGTGGTGGCTGTTGTTGCTGTTGTTGTCAGGTGCTGGGTGAGCAACGCAGTCTGGGCCGATGTCTCTGCCTCCTGGCCCAGCTCTCCCTTGGCGAAGGATACCCCGGGGGGGCTGGCGGGGTTTTGGAGGTGGCGGGGGCCACCCGCGGCGGGGCTAGGCCTCTCCTGGAGGCAGCCCAGGAGGTGTGCGGGAACATGGCGCATGTCGGGAACGTGGCCATGACCCGAGCCGAGAGCCTCGTACAGAGCGCAGGGCCGCACTCACAGCGCCAGGCAAGCACATGCACGCACGTGATTCTCTGTGTGTCTGTGTGTGCGTGTGTGTATACAAGTGCATGGTGCTAACCACCCACCCCCTCGTGTATCGTGGCGGCCTTCATAGGTGCTCACTGATCAATAACAGTGCCGAATATTTGAAATGGTCCTGGGTCTCTACTGGGTCGACATAGCCTTGAATGATTACCTGTAAATATCAGTCACTGGACAAAAGTGACTGGACGTGGTGTTTGACACCCACCCCAGCACTTTGCCCCAACAGTCTTATTAGAGACTCTTCGAGGGATCTTTGTCATTGTATGTGAATATGTATATATGTGTGCATGTGTGCAGGCGTGTCGGGTTCTGGGCCGGGCAGTGCGTGCTCTCCATGCCGCGTGTGAGCGATGCCCCAGCCAGGAGCAGCACCTCGGGCCCATGGTAGCCTCTCTGCAGTACAGGTGGGAGCCTCCAGCAATGCCAGAGTCAATAATTATGAAGTTTTAAAATGCTTGTTTACCCAGGAAATCCCCAAGCACAGACTCACACTGGCACCTTCACACACAAAGACAAAGATCCCCCGTATAGCCTTAACACACTTTTGGGGAAAGTGCTGTTACCGAGCACCGATGATGGCCAGCATGGCACACGAGGGGTGGGTGGCCAGCACCATGCCTGACCGCCTTTGTCTGCTGAGTGGCAATGTTTACACATCATACCATCTACTCATTTGAGGCTAAGTCGACCTAGGGGAGGCCCAGGATCAGTTAAAATAATTGCCGTGAGCGGGAATTGAACTCAGGTCACAGGGTTAGTAGTGCAGTGCGCTAACCGCTACACTACCACTCCACACGAGGCGATCACACACGCACTCACACACACACACTGTAGAACAGGGGCAGAACATACAAACTCTGCATGCTTACTCACTCAACAACAACAGCCGTCATTCGCTACTAAATGGCGGTGACATCACCACGGCACGTGCTAGGCTAGGTGCATTCCGAGGCCACGTGAAGTGTCGAAGGCTCACGGAACAGGGGCAGAACATAGAAACTTCACACGGAAAGGCACCTAATCGGGAATCGAACCCAGGTCCATCTAGCTGCGATATCACTACACCACGCTGTTGCCTTGATGCCATGTGATGTCTTTGTCATGTGTCCCAGGATGGTGTCCGTGCTGATGCAGGCCGTGCGTTCACACTGCGAGACTGGCAAGGAGCACGGACCTCAGTGGGACCCCTATGAGGGGACCCACATGGACGCGTGGGGTCGGCCTCCCTGGGAGGACTTCTGCCCGTTCACTGACGGCGAGACACGGTCCGTTTCAAGTCCCTGTCAAGCCCGTCTGGCAATCAGGATAATCAGCCAGAGACTTTCAATCAAGCGGCTCTTATTCCGCAAAATAATAATAATATTATTGAGTACATTCTGTGTCTATGGGCCATTTGTTGTCGGTATTAAAAAGAATAGGCTTTACCTTTTCTGGCAACAATGCAGGTGTTAAGGTGTTCAAATACCAAATGGACACCTATTGCAAGGCATAAAGTTTGCATTAACCACACATGGTATTGGTAAAACGTGTTTTACATGTTAATGTTGATTTGATGTTTTACCACAAGTATTTTATACCATGAAATCAGCCTGTGCTTAGAGCAGGTACTGTTTGGATTGTTACATCACAGTACCTTGAGAGTTGGCAGTGGCAGCTTGGCAAAGCCTTAATCCAGCAGTGGAATGATCATGGCTGATTTTAATGATGATGATGAAGATGATGATGAACCTAATTACCAATTAATCACACTTGCTGTGGCTGCAGGGAGCTGCAATTTGTGCTGAGCAGTCTGCGTAGGGCCGGCGAGGCGCTGGCGCGATCTGCGGAGACGCTGATTCAGAGCGGGGAGCAGCACCATTCGGCACATGCCCTCATGCAAGCCGCATGGGCACTCGGGTACCACACAGAGGGAGAGTGTTTGTGTGGCAGGGTGTGGTGTGTGTGGCAGGGTGTGGTGTGTGTGGCAGGGTGTGGTGTGTGTGGCAGGGTGTGGTGTGTGTGGCAGGGTGTGTGTGTGTGGCAGGGTGTGTGTGTGTGTGGCAGGGTGTGGTGTGTGTGGCAGGGTGTGGTGTGTGTGGCAGGGTGTGGTGTGTGTAGCAGGTGTGGCACAACATCGCTTTCAGCTGGGGTTAGCATCGTGCCCCCCTTCTTCTGATGCTGAGGGGAAATGGGTAAGGTTCAAGACTGGCTCATGCAGCTGCAACAGCTGCATTGGGTATGCAGTCCAAACCTCCCCAGAGACCCTCGCTGAAGGAGGAGGTGTTCCAGCTGGTTGAGAGAAAACGACAGGCTCACTCCCGTCATCGACACAATCCATCATCGGAGATTGAGGAGGCTTACCGCAGCCTTCGCTCGGAGATTCAGAGAGCCGTGCGGCGCTGCAAGGATGAGTGGTGGGTTACTGAGGTGATGGAATCTGCCTCAGTAGCCCGCAATCGCAAATCACGATTTAATTCCATCAAAAAAGTAATGTGCAGCGCCTAACCTATCATCATCTTTAAGGGAAAGAACGGTAATCCAGTCTCCGACCCCCAACAACAGGTCTGCAGGTTTGCAGAGCATTTTTAGAAAGGTCTTGGGGGAGGGGAATTTCCTCAGCCCAGACAACATCATGGGGCAAGGTGGGGACGACCCAGTTAGGCCTGTCGTGCCTCAAATATTGGCAGAAGTAGCCACCCCTTCTGAATGGTTAGCTGAGGTGCCATCTGTGGACGTGCAGGGGGCGATCCAAAGTCTGAGACCAGGAAAAGCGCCGCGTCGAGACGATCTCCCAAGCGAAATTCCGCGGGAGGGTGGCATCTGTGTGCAGACTGCCCTACATGACATCACAACTGTCTGAACCACAGAACGGATTCCATAGGATTGGAAGGATGTAACAACTTTTGGGACATCTCTCTTCTCAGTCTGCCGGGAAAAGTCAGGCACGCTGAGAAGAGGCTTGTGGAGCCACAATGTGGTTTTAGACCAGGGCGGTCCTGCACGAATGCCATTTCTCTGTCTGTCTGCTACAGCAGAGGTATAGGGAATTCCAGAAAGACCTACATCTCTGCTTTATTGATCTGGTCAAGGCCTATAATACCATCAACAGGCCAGGGCTCTGGGTAGTTCTTCGTGCTTTCAGAGTCCCTGACTCTCTGCTCACAATCAATCAAGGCCTTCATGATGGTAGGCAGGCCCGGGTAAAGCTACGTGGCAAGGAGTTGGAGCCATTCCCTGTTCACCTTGGGGTTTGACAGCGATGTCCTCTGGCTCCCACATTATTTAACATCATCTTTGACCATGTAGTTCGAGAAGCTTTCTATGGCTGTACTGGAGGAATTTCTATCTGGTACAGATACAACGGCTGATCGATGCCCGGATGCGGTAGAGGGATGGCTCCTTATTAATCAACCATATTATGTATGCTGATGATCTGATGATTGCTGCTCACTCAGAGGAGGAGTTGGAGACGCTGCTGCTGAACCTGGAGTGTGCCACTAAAAGGTGGGGGTCTTACCATCAGCCCCACCAAAACTAAGCACCTGCCTGGGTATTTTGTGCCACCAAACACTCCACCCCCTCAGCTCCCCATTGGTGATGGAGCGGTTGTGGAGAGAGTGGAGAGTTTCCCATACCTGGGCAGTTTGACAGCAGAGGTCTCACTCCGAATCAGTCGGGTAGCATTATCTTTTCATCGGCTGCGCAATGCTGTATGGAAGCTACCTGGTCTGTCGCTCCGCACGTAGCTTCGAGTCTTCTTGGACACAGTCATGCCCTCCCTTCTCTATACTTGTAAAACGTGGACTCCTCTAATGGAACATCTGTGCCAGTTGGAAACATTCAGGCTGGAATGCCTACGATTCATCCTGAGTTTAACCAGGCTGGATTGTGTGAGGAGCTCACAAATCCTTGAAAGATCTGGACACATTCCCATCAGTGAGCTCCTCTGGCAGGCAAGGCTGCGTTGGCTGGGTCATGTAGCCCACATGCCCAGCCACTACATGCCCAAGCAGCTTCTGTTTGACCGCATAGAGGCGGCTAAACGGGCACGACATGGGCTGGAGAAGAGATGGACTGATGCGGTACAGGAGAATGTGGAACTGAGTGGAGGAGGCTCATAAAGGACGCTACTTGGCAATTGGAGGCAGTCACCCTCCAGCAACAACGGAGGGCAGAGGAGCGACACAACAACGAGCAGAGCACCGAGCGGCTAAATTACAGCAAGTTGGCACAGTACGGGGTACAGCTGATGCATCTACCAGTCATCTCAGTCAGCCAATCCATGGCACCTGGGTTTGTCTCGAGTCCTTCTGTCAGCGAGCCTTCGACACTTCACATGGCATCAAAGTGCGCTTGGCCTGGCACAGGCGCCATGGTGACGTCACCGTCACTTAGTGGCGAATGGCGGATATTGGTGTGGCACAGAAAATTGGGTACCACACAGAAAAAGATAGCGTGTGTGGTAGTGTGTGGCACGAGCACTCGGGTACCACAAGGAGAGTGTGTGTGGCAGCATGTGGTATGGGATCTCGGCTACCACAGAGAGAGAGAGAGTGCGGGACAGCATGTGGTACAGGCACTCGGGTAGCACACAGTGACAGAGAGTGTGTGGCAGCATGTGGTACGGCCACTCAGGTACCATACAGACTGAGTATGTGCCAGCGTGTGGCATGGACACTCGGGTAGCACACAGAGAGTGTTTGTGTCTGTGTGTGTCTGCGTGTGAATGTGGAGAGCAGTCTTTATCACATTGTGCGACAAGCCCAGTGACCCGAGTTTGATTTCAGTTCAGAAGCAACATCAATGATAACTTACTGAACTGCTCCTGGACCTCTTTTAGGTCAACTGAACCTGAACGAGTACTTTATACAGTGTGTATACATGAGCACTGGGGAGCAAAAGGTGGCCGGACGTGGTGTTGGGCACCCACCTCATGTGGTGCCGTGCCAGCCTTCATAGGTGCTCACTCACAGCATTTGCCCCATCAACTTGTGTAGGCTACACGGGGAATCTTTGTGTGTGTATGTGAGTGTGTAGGATGCAGGCAAGGTGCAGTAGGGATGAGGAAGTGGTGAGGCAGAGCCTGCTGGAGGCCTGGGGCCTGGGTCGCCGTGCAGTGCTCACAATGGAGCGTAGCTTCCGAGAGACGCAGACCCTAATGCCAGCTTTACACGTAGGTACACACACTGCACTATTACTATTATTACGCTTGTTTTACCCAGGAAAGCCTCACTAAGTATCCAGAGGGTCTTGCCCAGTGTTTTGCAGTTCGGGGCAATGTTTCTACTATGTGTGTTCGCTATTGAATAGTTTGCAAGTACATATTAATCATCGGAATGTTTGGCCATTACCAGTTACATTACATGTTTGTTTAGCTCTGAGAGTAAACTGGAGAATCCGAAGGAAACCTATGCAGAACAGGTGGAGAAAATATAAACTCCAAACAGTTTGCATGTCGACAATCGAGCCCATGTCCTTCTTGCTGCGCCACCCCTGCCGCCCATATTAACCATAAAATACAACGCACTGTCTGCTTTACAGTGGACATTAAAGATCCCATAACGTCATTCAAAATTAACCCAGAGGAGACACGTAGAACAGGGGAAAAACTCCACACTTATACACACTTACACATACTCGCACACTCTCTCACATAAGCACACACGCTCATACTCTGCATAACAAGGGGGAGAACATAAAAATGGCACTCAAAAAGGCGCCCGATTTGGGAATCGAACCCAGTAGCTTCTTAGTGTGTGGCTCACGTGTTAAAACTCTGCTGCCCTGACATGCAATAATGATATGCAGCACTAAAATATATAAAGAACCTAAGAGTATGAAATCCTGCAGTCACGAAAGGTTCTAATCAAGATTGAACCGCCTCTACGGGGAGGTTTTTCACACAACTCAGGCATAATTTCAACCGAGAAGATGGATGCTAAATTTAGCAATCTTTGGAAGGACTTGATCAACCAGGTAAAGGTGTTAACTGTTGTTTTAGCCGATTCTCTGAGTTGCGTTACATTTCAAAATGTTGTTAAGTTTGATATCTAAGCTTCCTTGTCACATTTATTTTCTCTCTCTCACCCAAGCCCTCTTTTAATTTTATTCCCACCCTCTCGCCCCCTTTACGGCCTCCCCCCCTCCCCCTCGATATAATGCCTCGTCACAGAGGCATGTTTCTCTCTTTCACCTGAGGACGATTGCTTGTTATTGCGATCGAAACGTCGTGATCTATTATTTATTTATTTTCCTATCTACGTGACTTCACCGAAAGAACCTAAGAGTAATAATAAAATACTTTAGCATGTTTGGCATCGGCACTGTCATTCATACAGCAGAGGGCAGTCACCAAGGAAGCACAGAAACAGTTTGCAGTGGATTCACAGTCTAGGTCGGTGTTGCTTTGTGCATCCCTAATTTGGCAATGGCCTACTAATTTCTAATGACGGCAGAGGATCTTTTTTGTTTTTATTACAACTCAACGCGATCCCGGTACAAAGCATCGATCGCAGAACGGAAGGGGAACAGAAATTCTGCAAACAACAGCCCGACTTTGGCACGCACGACAGCGCCCAATTAAGGGGGGAAACTGGGCTCACTTCCCCAGGTGGGGATCACGTGCGGGGACATGAAAATGTATATGGGGAGGGGAGAAGGAAAAGGAAGGTCTGAAGAGGGGAAGCATGTAAAAACTACCCCCCCCCCCCCCCGTGCCCACATCAGGGGATCTTTAACCACCACTGTAGTATTTTACGCTTCATCCACACTGCAGTAAATAGTAAATGACCAGGGCAGCCTGCCGCTTTCGGGTCACGAACCACTTCAGCAAGAAGCACGCATGCTCCTGCTGGGCCATGCCACCGCCCACGATGACATCTTGATTCAAGAAGTAGCTTCACCCATTCACCCCGACTGGTGCCACGTGTTGATGTCTCAAGAGTGCACAGGCGCTGCCCGCGTGCTGCCTGGCCTCCGTGAAGCTGCAGCTGGTGCAGCTGCTTCAGCTGGGCATGGAGGAGCGCGAGCGTTCGGAGCGGGCAGAGCGAGCCCACGCGGCTGGGCGTTCTGCCCTGCAGCGCCGCGTGGAGCGCCACCTTGACACGTTACTGCGGGAGCAGCGCTCGCCAGCGGAGCGGCACGTGGTGAGAGAGGGGTGGCATGTGCCGAGAGAGGGGCGGCACCAGTTGGGGTGGCACCACACAGGCGTTTAATTCCTTCACACCTGGGCCTGTCTGTTCTTGGGACCTGACGATGGCCTCCTGTGACCAGTCCAGATAATTTATGGTGCGATTTTCAGCTCTTGTTCCATTTCATTTGATGTTCCAGCACTCACTGCAGTCACTCCAGTCACTCACTCCCTCACTGGTGATCAGTTGCATTCTTAATCACTCTTATATCGAAACTACCATGATTATTGTAATGATAATAATTGCAACCAAAGACAAGCGAGAAGGCAGCCAGCCGGTGATCCGGTGCCAACAATTACCCAAGCTCTGCATTCCCCTACATATTAAGGTGTTTTGAGCGAATGAATTCGTGTTTACATGTGAGAGAAAACCAGGAGCACTTGGAGAACTAACGCGTGCGAGGGGGCAACACTCTATACAGTTGAAGTCCAAATTTGCTGTTTCGTGTTATAATGGCAAGCCTCAAATGAACTTTGAGACATTGGTGCTGATCTCCTGTTTACATCCCAACGCCAGTAGTAGACTTTCCAAATTCCTATGGATACATCTATTCACAGGACAATCACTGTTGTTTTCCCCACAATGTGGTCACCAATTTAGCAACCATGATGAGAGGGACGGATGATGGGCTGAGTCAACCTTCCAAAACCATACCTAGTATCTCGGCTGTAATGTTCGTGGGTGTGTGTACATGTCTCCATCAGGGAGCGATGGTGCAGTGGTTAGCGCATTGCACTAAGAACCTGAAAACTTTAGTTAAATTCCCACTCACAGCCAACATTGCTTACAAATATCTGAACTGTTCCGGGGCCTCCCATAGATGTTTGTACCTGGTGCGGTGTGTAAACATCAGCACTGTGGAGACAAAGGCAAACGGGTGTAGTGCTGCACACATCCCTTCATAGTTGTGCCCACTAACAGCACTTGCACCAACAGCACTTGCACCAACAGCACTTGCACCAACAGCACTTGCACCAACAGCCTGTTAAAGGCTACATGGGGTTATCTTTATCCTTGTCTCCGTCAGCTGTGGAGCAGCACCCTGCGCTCCCTGCCGCAGACGGCACTGACGCAGCTCTCGTCTGCGCTGCTGCTGCTGAGTCGAGGCCCTAATGAGGACCCTAACGGAACCCAGGGGGAACTGGGGACCCCCAGGGGACGAGTGGCTCTGCTCTCCGCTCACTGCTTGGGCTGTCTTTCCAGGCTGCAGGAGCCACAGTGGCAGGTATGGACACGTGCTGCCTTCACTCACACATATGACTTGTTTGGGTACCGGAATATTTGACCTGGACAATCCCTTGAGATGGAATATCGCGTTTGCAAATTTGTCCAGGGTATCAATTGACACACACATGGCAAGCACGTGATGACATGTGTAAAAATATTTTAAATCTATAACTTATACATTATGTATTCATATGGTAAGTATGAATGCAGTCAAATACTTAAATAAATAAATACACCTATTTTAACACTTGTTTACCCAGATGTTGTCAAGAGAGGGCAATGTTGCTACATGTGTAGTGAGTTCAACCGAGTCGCAGACATACTCTTTACCAACACAAAGGGGTAACTGCCCCTTTACCAGATAACAAGCTATGGTGGTGGACCACCAGGCTAACTACACTAATTGCACCGTAACTGGCTACAACGTGCTGGAGACTTCTGCAGAACGTAGAACGCCGGCGAAGGTTTCTTTAGGATAACAACAGCGCCGGTCCCTCTGGGGGGCCCGGCTTATATCCTCCGTGGCGGGGCTCACTCCGCCCCTGGCCACGACCACCTTCCAGAACCCTCTTGCAAGATCTCGACCCGGACCACGTGACCGCCCCCAGCCCCCCACTTGGGGCCCCTCTGTATACTTAACCAGTCACAGGTCCTCTTGGGTTAACCAGAGTCCACGGCCTTCAGCACCCCTTCACTATGGCCAGCGCTTCCACACCCGATCCTCTAGGGCTGGCATTGCACGCCAAGTGTGTTGGCATCCATCGCTGTCAATCAGCGCTGACTGAGCCCCTCGAGGGCCGGTACTGCACCCACATCCCAGTGGTGTCCGCAATGTCAAGACACCGCACACCGTGCCTCTCTAGGGCTGGCATACACAGTGACATCCAACGTTGTCACTACATCACCCCCCCCCCCCCTTCATAGCACTCAGCCGTCCTGGCTGTCAACTCCCCCTTAATAATGAACTAACAAGTGTAACCAATTAACAACAACTATGTGCGCCTTAACAGTAACAATAACAAATAAATAAATACCCCAGCCCACCTATACAATATACACACTATCTACAAATATGCATTAATGGGCGAGGAAAGGGGGTGGAGGTACAGAACAACAAGCAAGAAGAGATAGAGAGAGAGGAAAAAACAAAATGCAGTAAAACGCGAACGCTCGGAACCCCCTCCATCACAACCATCTCCCACTCTCACTGTGTAACAACACCCGCAAGCACAATAATGGATAGGTTCAGCCAATAGTCAATACGGCCTGCCGAGTGCGACAACTAACTGACGATGTGGGAGCGTGTGTGTATGGGGGGGTCACGAAAACCGCAAAGTTTTTGATCGAGTCCTCGTGGCCGGGATCCCAGGGTAGGTGGGCTCGCTCTCTCTCGAGGTCCCGGGGGGAATATGCAACTGTCCCGACGAACCCGGCTCCTCACGGGGAGCAGTCGGCCGGGCCGACGGGCTCTTTGTTTTCTGAAGCCAGTGGAGTCGGTGCAGATGGCGACTTGGGGGCCGTCAGCCGCGCAACACCTGAGAACGGGATCACACACCTCAGCTCGTCTGATACACACCTGTGCTGCGGGCAGAATGTTATCAATTAGCTCCGAAATGATGGTCGCCGACGCACCAGTGTCGACGACCATCCTAATTTCGACCCCCTCAATCTAACCAATAACGACTTATATAATATATATGCATTGTCTTTTAAACTGATTGGTCTACACCAGAGATAGACTTCTTTAGGGCCTAGTCTCACCAGTGTCAGACCAGAGAACACCAAACAATACTTATGGTTAATGCAGACATGATTCCTTGTAAAAGGTTTCTATTTGGTGTTTGAACATCTTAACACCTGTTTTATTGCCAGAAAGGGTAAATATGGTAATGGCAAGACGAAATGTACTCAACTATTATTATTAATTATTCTGATTATTAAGGAGAACTGGGGGGATACGGAGCCAGAGCTCATGGAGGAAGACGATGGCTCCACAGAACTGACTTTTCTATCATCACCAACACCACCGGTTCTCCACATGCAGGTGAGTGACCGTGTGTGTGAGTGTGTGTGAGTGTGTGTGAGTGTGTGACCGTGTGTATGTGAGTGTGGCAAACATTATTACAGAGGTGTAAGGAATTTCAACACCACTTACATATCGTGTCTGCTTTTTATCGACCTGGTCAAGGCCTATGATACCATCATTAGGTCATGGCTTTGCATTATTCTACATGCTTTTGAGGCCCTGACCCTCTGCTCACAATCATGAATGGCTTTCAGAAAGCATATCAAGGACGCTACTGGGCTATTGGAGGCAGTCGCCCTCCAACAACAATGGAATGCAGAGAAATAATGCTCACAATAACAAGCGGAGCACCGGGTGGTTAAATCACAGCAAGTTGGCACAGTGGGGAGCACAGGTGGGGCATCTGTAAGTCATCGTCAGGTAACCCATAACACCTGGGTCTGCCCCGTGACTTCCTGCCATCGACATTTCGATACTCAAAGTGCATCTATCCTGGCGCAAGCACATTTGTGTCATCACTGCCACGTAGTGGTGAATGGCAGCTCCTGTTGATTTTGAGTGTGGGCGTGTTTTTGTAAGTGTATCTGAGCGAGTCGGTCTGGTCGGCTGAATCGTCAACATAGATAAAGGATTCAATGAGTGGAAGTTCATGGGAACAGTAACCATGGTAGTAGTGATAGAAGAGTGATACGAAGGCAACTGATTACTGATGAGTGAGCGAGGTGACTGGAATGAATCGGTGAGTGGTGGATCATCAATCAACTCAAGAGACGATGGGTCTGGGTTTCGGTTTGCTTCCTGGCCGTGACTCTTCCATCGCCACTTCCATTTGTCACCCCCTCACCACCAGGCTGAGCTGTCTCTCCCACAAGCTCAGCTGTGTCAGTCTGTGGAGCTGATGAGTCAGGCACTGGGCGTTGCTCTGCGGGAAGGTGACCTCCACACAGCGTCGAGTGCTGCGCTCGCCCTCACGGATGCCATGGGGCCCTCGCAGCCACGGGCAGCAGCACAATACCTGGCGCTGTTCCAGGTGAGTTCATACGCACACACACTCGTCACTCGCACATTCATGTACAACAACAGCTGCCTTTCGCCACTATGGAGCGGTGACGTCACCACAGCGCCTGCACTAGGCTAGGTGCACTTTGAGACCATCACGTGAAGTATGGAAGGCTCGCCGGCAGGAGGTCACGGTACAGATCCAGGTGTTATGAGTTGACTGACTGAGATGACTGGCAGATAGACAAGCTGTGCTCCCTACTGTGCCACCTTGCCGTGTTTTAGCCGCCTGGCGCTCCGCTCGTTATTGTGAGTGTCGCTCCTCCACTCTCCGTTGTCGCTGGAGGGTTCTCCCCCACTTTCCACCAGGCTCTTAACCATGTTCTCACTGACGCTTCCATCCGCTCCACCCCTCTCCCCCCTGCTCTTCCTGCTCTCATTCATGCTCTCACCCACACTCTCACCCATTTTCTCCCTATCTTCCCATGCTCTCCATCTCCCCACGCTCTCCCCCACTCTTCCCGCACACTCTCTCCGCTGCTGTCCCCCACGCTGTTACCCATGGTCTTACCCACACTTTCCCGCACTCTCCCCACTCTTCCCAATCTCCCACACTCTCTGCCGTGCCACTAGAGCTGTGTGGCAAGCCGGGCTCTGGCCGTGGTACTGAGGCGCGTGGCCGGGGCAGCCGGGAGCTCACGTGCGGCCGCCTGCCTCCGCACAGCCACGCGGGACCGTGGACAGGCTGGATGCTGCTGCCCCCTCACTCCTCCTGTTGCTGCTGCTACTACTGCCCCCACAGGCAGCGCCGCCGCCACGCATGCCCTGAAGCAGACGGTGAGGCCTGCTCACTCACTCATTCACTCGCTCACTCGCTTCCTCGCTCACTCTCTTTCTCACCACTTTGGCAGCAGCTCATTTTACACATGGGGTGATTTTTTTAACAATTGTAAATCACAACTCACCAATCGAACTGCACTAACACCAGTCTCAAGCCACTTATTTAGCTAGGAAAGCCTCACTGAGTCTCAGCAGTCTTTCTCAGGAGGGTTCTGCCAATGTTTTTCAGAGTAGAGGGCGATGTTGCTGCTGTGACTAATCCAAAATGAGTAATTTGCAGGTCATTTTTCAGCATTGGGATGTTTGGCCCATACCAGTTACATTTGTAACGGGTTCCGGAGACACTTGTAGATGTAACTTCTTTATTACGATTCAACACTCCAACTCTCCAACAGTCCAACACTCCAACAGTCCTGATACTCTGTTACAGCCTAGGTACACAGCAGAGGTGTGGACTCGAGTCATGTGACTTGGACTCGAGTCAGACTCGAGTCATGACGTTGATGACTTCAGACTCGACTTGGACTTGCATAACAATGACTTTGTCCCACCTCTGAGGTGTGGACTCGAGTCATGTGACTTGGACTCGAGTCAGACTCGAGTCATGAATTTGATGACTTCAGACTCGACTTGGACTTGCATAACAATGACTTTGTCCCACCTCTGGTACACAGCCTAGGTACACAGCCTAGATACACTACTCTGGCTACGCTCTGGAACTCGCCCTCACAAGGTCGTAGAGTCGGGAGTTCCAGAGTCCCACCACTGGCTCTCACAGCATCCCAGGGTCTTCAGATGGCTGGTCGTGGGTCTTGGGTCTTGAGTTACAACTGGGCCCCGATCGTCCAGGGAGCTCTCCTTTTATGCCTGGTCCAACGAGGGGTGGGGCCGTGTGCGCCACCAGACATCCCACAGAGCACACACAGCCCCCCCCCCCCGTTGGCGGCGCCAAAAGGCTTAAGCGCCTGGGAACCCAGAGCTCCCAGCAGCCCCTCCCTTCTTATGTCACTACACATTGTATGGTTTTTTTGGTTTAGCTATGGGACGAAACTGGAGAATCTAGACGTATTCCTTTACAGGACAGGGGAAGAACACGCAAACTCCACACAGTTTGCATGTTGGGAATCGAACCCAGGTCCTTCTTGCTGTGAGACACAAGTGTTAGCACTTCACAACCCTGCCGCCTGTATTCACTGTGAAATATTATGCGTCGTCTGTTTCACAGTTGATGTTAAAGATCCCGTAACATCATTTGAAACGAGTAGGGCATTGTGTGCTGGCGTCATGGTCCAAATTTACAAAAAAGTTGACACCACAAATTACTCAATTGTGATTACACATCGCAACCTCACCCCCTAGTGTGAAAACTACTGCAGATCGTATCCGTGAAACATCACACCAATACCAAATGTACTACATTATTATATTAAGTGTGGAAAAATAATCTAGCTCACTTATTCCTACAGCTCAAAGGGCATAGATTGTGCACAGCTCATCATCGCTACCATGGGTCCCTGGGTCGTTCCAATCAACGTGAGCCCATATTTGGCCAAGTGGGATAGAAAATATTTAGGATCACAGCTCATCATCGCTACCATGGGTCCCTGGGTCGTTCCGATCAACGTGAGCCCATATTTGGCCAAGTGGGATAGAAAATACTTAGGATCACAGCTCATCATCGCTACCATGGGTCCCTGGGTCGTTCCGATCAACGTGAGCCCATATTTGGCCAAGTGGGATAGAAAATACTTAGGATCACAGCTCATCATCGCTACCATGGGTCCCTGGGTCGTTCCAATCAACGTGAGCCCATATTTGGCCAAGTGGGATAGAAAATACTTAGGATCACAGCTCATCATTGCTACCATGGGTCCCTGGGACGTTCCGATCAACGTGAGCCCATATTTGGCCAAGTGGGATAGAAAATACTTAGGATCAAACGACCAGCAACAAGTAGCACTATGTAAGTTGTAATCGGTAATAGTAAACACTTTCTTGACTTGAGCAAGGTTATTGTGACAATGGAAACAAGCAAAGAGAGAAATTTGTGGCCTGCAGTGCGTTGACGAATGTTGGGTTTTTTTGTTATTTGTCCAGTGTGGTGAGTGAGTGAGTGTGGATGAGTGAATGAGGATCAGTGAGTCGTGAGTGAGTTAGTAGGTGAGTGAGTGTTGTTGTAAGTGTGTATATTGACCTTCTTTCGCACCGTACGTAGCCAACCATGCTTATCAGAGGTGTGGGGGAAGAACAACAAACTTAACACAAAAAGCAGTTAAAAATAAGTAGTTTTCAATCTAAATTTAAAAGTGATAATACAGCGACTGACCGCCGCTGAGCGTGTGAGTGACCTAATGAGTAGTGGATCAGCAATTAACCAATAAACATGAAGTCTCTCGTAATGTAATGTGCCTGTGTGCGTTTATACCTGTGCGCATGGCTTTGTGTGTGTGCGCATGTGGCGAGTGGTAGTGTAGTGGTTAGCACGTTGCGCTACGACCTCAGTGGCCCGAGTTCGATTCCAGCTCACGGCCAACACCACAGTGACGATTATCTGAACCGGCTCTAGGCCTCCCCTAGGTCGACCCTGCCTCAAATGAGTACCTCGTGGGATTCGTAAACATTGCCACTGGGGAGACAAAGGTGGCTGGGTGTGGTGCCTGGCCCCCACCCCCTCGTGTGCCATGCTAGCCTTCATAGGTGCTCGCTAACAGCACTTGCTCCAATACTTCTGTTCAGGCTATACGGATGATCTTTTTCTTTTGTCAGGTGTGGCGATATCTTGCAGTTTCGACACAGCACCTGGTGCTGATCAATGAGCTTCCTCCAAATCTAGACATCGTCATTCTGCAGCACTCCCTAGACAGGCAAGTATCAATACCCTACACACACATACACAGGCACCACACACACCGCACTGCATACACACATGCTGCATGCACACTGCACTTGCACACACACGCATGCCGCACTGCACACACACATTGCACTGCACGCACATACACACTCACTCACACACACGGGGATGCATGCGTTCACAGACGCTACCTCTATGGAGCTGTGCTGGACAAGCCGGGCTCTTGTGTGGGAGACAAGAAGAAGATGGAGAAACTTGGAGGCAGCCAGCAGCTAGGTTAGTACATCAGGGGGGAATGGTGGCAGGGAGACGGGGGGCTCCTACAGCAGTGGCCACATGGGTCAGTGTGTAACTAGTGTATCTATGTTGAACTTCTTTTGCAACGTACATAGCCAACCATGCTAATTGGAGGTGCTCGCTAACAGCACTCTTACTAAGTCTGTAAAGGGATGTGATATGGCCCAGCCAGTGGGGCATTCACCACTTGTTGCAGAGGTTCATGGTCGGAATCCGGCATTCTGCCCTCTTTAACACCGCAGTGTGCATTAACCATAGAATACTATGCACCATCTGCTTCACTCGCAGTGGATGTCAAAGATCCCGTAACATCATTCACAAGAGTCGGCAGTCTTGTGCCAGCGTCACGGTCCAAATTTGTCAAAATAAAAAAATTACCCGCAAATTATTCGTTTGGGATTACACATAGAAACGCTGCCCCCTACTGGCAGACTAATGCCCACATGGAGGCCAGATGCTAAGTCGTATTGTGCTGCACAGCTGCCACTGGGAGTGCTGATATGGTTACAACAGCAGCAGTGTGCATGCGGTTCACTCTGTGTGTGTTATAGGTGCTACTTGCTAACAGCACTTGCTCCAACAGTCTGTTAAGGTTATATGGGGGATCTTTGTCTTTCTGTATCTATATCTGAGTGTGTGTCTGTATCTATATGTGTGTGTAGCGTCTCGAACGCGTGTGGCTCGAATACAGGTCAAGGCTACGGAGTTGGACTCACTCCTGTGCAGCACACGGGAGCACAGGGAGAGAGCGCAGCAGAGTTATCTGCAGCAGGAGAAGAGAGAGACCCACACAGTGACTCTCACACACACGCACAGATACATAAACACACAGAGACAGAGAAATAGACACAGATACATATACACACAGACCATCATAGACTCACAAAGACAAAGAGACAGACACGTAAAGACATATACACACAAAGACATAGATACAGAGAGACATAACACACACAGAAACATAGACACATAGATATATAGACATGGACGCACAGAGACATAGACACACAGATACAAAAGACAAAGATACTGACACACAGAGACATAGAGACAGAGACCATCACTCACACATACACACAAAGAGGCATAGACACATAGAGACATAGACAGATACATTAGCCAGGTTTCAATAATATCTCTGTAAACGTGACAATTATTTTGGGTGGTGGAGGGCTAATCACAAGAATGTTGGTATAAAACCACCACGTGGACTAACCCAAAAATAATATGGATCACTGTGTGTTCTTAACTCTATTTGTTTCCAGGCTGTATTTGTTTATTTTCCGTTGTAATGCGTTTTCTTGTCATGTACAGATTTCAGATGATGACAGGCAGCTGCAAGAGGGTCTGGAGGCCATCGTGGGTCAAACCGAGCAATACCTGCAGCCAGTGCTGGCCCAACTGGGAGTGTCTGCACTCGGGTAGCGCTACCTCTACTCGTGGTCATCTCGTTCTTGCTGCACTGTCTGGGCCTTCCTCCTCCACTTCTGTCTACAGGAGAAATCATCCCTTGATGGATGGCAGGGTGGCGCAGTGGTCGAACTCGGGCCTCACTGCAACAAGGGCTTGGGTTCGATTCCTGACTTGGGTGCCTTTTCTGCGTAGAGTTTCTATGTTCTCCCCCTGTTCTGCAGTCTGCGTGTGTGTGAATGTGTGAGTGAGTGAGTGTGTGAGTGTGGGGAGTGGTAGTGTAGTGGTTAGCGCATTGTACTGCGAGCCCGGCAACCCCAGGTTGGTTCCCGCTCACGACCAACAACAGGGACGATTGTCTGAACCAGTCATGGGCCTCCCCTAGGTCGACTCAGCCTCAAATGAGTACCTGATGCGGTGTGTAAACATCGCCACTTGGGAGACATCCATCCCCATGCTGGCATTAATAAGTACTCGCGAACAATACTTGCCCCAAAAGTCTGTTAAGGCTATATGGGGGGATCTTTGCCTTATCTTTGTGAATGAGGAAGATTATGTGAAGTTTTTTTTCCTCCTCGATTCTGCATGGGTTTCTCCAGTTCCTCCCGTAGCTAAAAAACACCCAATGTAAATGGTATTGGCCAAACATCCTAACGCTAAACAACGTATACAGATTACTCAATTTGGATTACATATAGCGATATCATCTCCTGTTATAAACTTGGCAGGACCTTATTTATAAAGAGTCTTGAGACTCAATAAGGCTTTCTTGGGTAAACAAGCTTCAAAATAAAAAAATATATTACAAAAATATAAATACGTAGACACATTGTTAACATGTACATATGCACAGATGTGTGTGAAAACACGCACACATGGACACGCAAACCTAAATACACACGTGCACAAATACAAAGATCCCCTGTATAGCCTATTACAGACTCTTGGGACAAGTATTGTTAGTGAGCACCTATTAAGGCCGGCATGGCACACGAGGGGTTAATTGGCTAACACCACGCCTGGCCGCCTTTCTCTCCCCAGTGCTGATGTCTACACATGGCACCGGGTACTTATTTAAGGCTGAGTCTAGTCGCTCGATCTAGGGCAGAATTAGAACCGGTTTTATATATTCGAAAGTGATGTTAGCCAAGAGCGGGAACTAAACTCGGGAAGCCAGGTGTGTAGTACAGTGCGCTAACCACTGCACCACTGCTCCCCCCCCCCCCCACACACACGCAGGCTTATGGACCCTGTAGGGGCGGCTGTGAGCGCTCGCTGTCGAGGTGGAGAAAAATCAACCAGAGCCAGCGCTGAGCAAGGTGCCTGTGTGCCTGTCTTTGTGTGCGAGTGATGTCTATCTTTGCGAATGCATGTCTGTGTTCTTGTGTGCGTGTGTGTGCATATCTGTCTTTGTGTGTGTGTGTGAGTATGTGTGTCTGTGTGTATCTGTATATATATATTCATGTTGAACTTCTTTTACACCGTACGTAGCCAACCGTGCTAATCGGAGGTGTATCAGTGTATGTCTCTGTCTCTCTCGCTCTGCCTCTGTCTCTCTCTGTGACTGTGTGCGTGCGAGTGTGTCAGTGAGTCAAATTACAAGTGTGTCGTTGTGTTTTCTCTCCATCCCTTCCCATGTGTTCAGCTGCTGCCCCAGCTGCCCCCCACCTCATCATCCTCGCTGATCTGCATCTCATGCAGCTACCCTTGGAGCTGCTGCCCGGGGTGGTGGGTCGCCCCGAGCTGTCTCCATTTCCTGGCCGCACCCCCAGCGCTGAGAACCCCATGGCTGACATGGAGCCTCCTAAGACCCTACAGCTCCAGCCCCCACCACGCTCCATGAGCCGGGATTTCTCCTTGCAGATCCTGCACGGCCGCTGGGTTCGTGCAGCCTGCGGTAGTGGTGAGTGTGGTGGTGGTGGTGGTGGTGGTGAGTGTGGTGGCGGTGATGAGGGTGCTGGTGGTAGTAAGTATGGTGGTGGGGAGCGGTAGTGTAGCAGTTTGCACGCTGCGCTACAACCCCGGCAACCTGAGCTCGATTTCCGCTCACGGCAAACACCAGTGACGATTGTAGGAACCAGTCATGGGCCTCCCCTAGGTCGATGTGTAAACATCGCCATGAGGGAGAGAAATGCAGTCGAGCGTGGTTCTGGCATCCCACCTTATCGTGTGCCAATTGAGTAATTTGCCAGTAAGTTTTCAGCATTGGATGGTTGGCCAACATCAATAGATAACATAGAGTTGTGACTTTGTGTCACTTGCTTGTCAGACTACGAGAGAAGATTATGGTTCACCACGTGGTGTGTTTGTATCCCATCATAGAGGAGAAGGGGGAGGAAAAGCCTGGGAAGGAAGAGAAGGCAAGAAGCGTGCGCAAGCGTAATCCGGTAATTGATGCTTACATCCGTACGTATATGTTTAACATAAACCATCAAGCGAACTTCAGTCATCTTTGCAGTGGCTTTTGGCTAGTCATCGAACATAGATGGTCACTCCATCGCATTCTTTCTCTGAGTCTGAAGACTCGTTTTCAGAAGGGTCCTGCCAAGTTTTCGCAGTTGGGGGGGTGGGGGGGGCGACGTTCCTGTGCGTAATCCCAATTGAGTAATTTGCAGGTGTTTTTTCAGCAAGGAGATGTTTGGCCAATGCCAGTCATTCATTCGGCAGCCACAGCCAGACCCCACCAATACGAAATCTTGAACTTCGATCCCACACCAGTGCCGGGGATCCAAGTTGATTGACAGGTGGGGAGAGCCCCGCCCCTATAGAGGGGAGGGGTGGAGCGCCCCCCCCCCGACCCCCCCTCCACCCCCCATATCACATTGCCCCCACAACCAGAACTTTTCTTTAGCACCTGCATCAGGAAAGATAAGGCGTAATTTTCCTTAGCCAGGCGAGGTTTGCGTGTCACGGTCGTATAATGCAGCACGGTTATTTGCATTTCATGTTTGTTTTTTCCGTATTAGCCAAGTGTAGACACGCGGCTGAAATTATGCACACCCAGAAGGTGTGCGGCCGATGGATGGTGTAAACAAAATGTATGTGGAGAGATACAGTATATATATGCAGGAGACAATTATCAGTTTAACTATTTGTTTGAAATAATAGGTGATGATGCATTGGCAGTGGTGCACAAGTGCAAATAGTTATTGAGGAATGCGTTTAGTGGTTTGTTATTTAATTTAAATATACATTGGCACTCTCACATGACTGATGGCAAGGGTGCGTGCATATGTGCTCTGTGGCAGGTCTCTGTAAGTCAACCCGTGCCGCCTCACTGCAGCATTGTGGAAGGGCAAGGGCTCAAGTGTATCCTGACAATGCTGCCCACACAACAACATCCACCGCTGTTCACCACTAAGTGGCGGTGACGTCAGCACGGCGCTTGTGCCACACTGACCCACACACCACAATAACCCTTAGCATGGTTGGAGGAATCAACGAGTGAAGTTAACGGGAACAGTAACCTCGGTATTAGCCGTAGAAGAGTGGTGAGGAAATAACTGACCGCCAGTAAGCAAGTGACTGTCGTGAATCAGTGAGTGCTGGATCATCAACCATTCAGACTGTTTATTGTCCTGAGTGACTGGTGCAGATATTATCGACCCACATGGACACACACGGGAGGCAGGTATGAGGCGGAGGCACAGTGGTAACACTTGTCCTTCACAGCACGAAGGTCCTGGGTTCGATTCCCAAATCGGGCACCTTTGTTCGTGGAGTTTGTACGTTCTCCCCCTGTTATCTAGCGTGTGTGACAGTGTGAATGAGTGAGATTGAGTGTGTGCGAGTGAGTGAGTGTGTGGGAGTGAGAACGAGTGAGTGTTTGTGGTTTGTCCTTCCCTGTTTTACATGGGTTTCCTCCGGATTCTGCGGTTTTCTCACAACGCAAAAAAACGCAATAACTGGTATTATCCAAATATCCCAATGCTGAAAATATACCAGTAAAGGAATCATATGCGAATACACGTAACAACTTTGCCCCCATTGTGTCTGGCAGACTGTGATAACTGCTGTTTCTGTGTGTGGCACACTGTGATCACCGCTTTGTGTGGCACACTATGACCACCACTGTGTGTGTGGCACATAGGCAGCAATGTGGCACATGTGTGGACTCGCATCGTGGACTCGTCGTGCGCCCTCACGTCGCGATGGGAGGGGCTCGCCCCCTCAACAGGGCCCCCTAAGTGAGTTCCCTCCCTTTCACTTTCTCTCTCACTCACTCAATCTCCAGTTCTCTCACACTGCCTCCCGTGTGTGTGGTGCTGTGTGTTGTGATGGTTGCAATGCTCTCCGTCTTTGTGCGGTGCTGTGTGCAATGTGACCGTGCTGGGAGCGGTGGCGCAGTGGTTAGCGCACAGTGATACAAACCCGGCAGCCTGTGTTCCGTTCATACTCACAGCCAACATGAGTGACAAACACCTGAGATGGTCCTAGCCCCTCTAGGTCGACTCGGCCTTCATTGAGTGACTGATGCAGTATGTATTAAACATCAGAACTGGGGACACAAAGGCACCCCATGTCATAGCACTTGCCTCAAGTCTGTCAAAAGCTATATGGGGGATCTTTGTGTGTGTGGTGGAGCAGCGCTGCCCAGTGTGAGCGACTCGTTTCTGCAGCGAGCGCGCTGCTCCTCTGTGCTCCCAAGCGTTTCCTCTCCTTCCTCGCTCCGGAGAAACTCACCTCGCTGAGCCTCAACAGTAAGAACCATCCTCCACAGAGACACCCACCCCCACAGAGACACTCACCCCCATAGACACTCACCCCCCAGAGACACCTACACTCACAGAGACAAAGACACCCACAGACACCCACCCCCACAGAGACACTCACCCCCACAGAGACACCCACCCCCACAGAGACACTCACCCCCACAGAGACACCTACACTCACAGAGACAAAGACACCCACCCCCACAGAGACACTCACCCCCACAGAGACACCTACACTCACAGAGACAAAGACACCCACCCCCACAGAGACACTCACCCCCATAGACACTCACCCCCACAGAGACACCTACACTCACAGAGACAAAGACACCCACAGACACTCACCCCCACAGAGACACTCACCCCCATAGACACTCACCCCCATAGACACTCACCCCCACAGAGACACCTACACTCACAGAGACAAAGACACCCACCCCCACAGAGACACTCACCCCCAAAGAGACACTCACCCCCATAGACACTCACCCCCACAGAGACACCTACACTCACAGAGACAAAGACACCCACAGACACCCACCCCCACAGAGACACTTACCCCCACAGAGCCACTCACCCCCACAGAGACACTCACCCCCATAGACACTCACCCCCACAGAGACACCTACACTCACAGAGACAAAGACACTCACCCCCACAGAGACACCCACCCCCACAGAGACACCCACCCCCACAGAGACACTCACCCCCACAGAGACACCCAGTCTCTCACACCATCTCTGTGAGTTCCCGTCAGTGACATGGTCCAGCGGTAGTGTGTTTGCCGCTTGTTGCAGAGGTTCGCAGTCCGAATTCAGAAGGCCGCCCTGAGTATTACTGCGGTGTATATTAACTCTGTAATACTAGGTGCCACCTCTTCACCATGGACATTATAGATCCAATTACTTAACTAAAAAGGAGTTGGCCATTGTGTGTCAGCGTCGTGGTACAAATTTGCGGAAAAAAAAACTGATTGGTCCACACCAGAGACAGCTTACTTTAGAGCCTAGTCTCAAACAGTGTTAGACCAGAAGACGCCAGAAGTCGAAAGCTGTTCGCCATCTCTGGTGTGGACCAATCAGTTTCAAAGACAATGCATATACTGTCAGAGCATGTTTTTTGTTTGTATTTTCACCACAAGTATCTGTGGTTGATGCAGACATGATTCCTTGCAAAAGGTTTCAGTTTGGTGTTTTAACATCTTAACACCTATTCTTGGTTCTTTAAATCAAAATCTTAACACCTGTTTTGTTGCAAAAAAAAGGAGAAAACCTATTCCTATATTTTGACACTGGCAAAGGAGGCCCCATAATACTCAACTGCTAATTACTATCTCCCCATCCCTCTCACCCTCCTTTCCTCCCCAATACCTCTCCCACAGAGAGCCCTCTCGTGCTGCTTCTGGATCAGACACTGGTGGGCAGTACGGCTTTCAACCCTGACAGCACGCTCGCCCTGGAGAGGTGCCACATGCAACAACAACAACAACCGCCATTCGCCACTAAGTGGCGGTGACGTCACCACGACGCTTGTGCCAGGCCATGTCCACCTTGAGGCCACGTGAAGTGTCGAACGCCCGCTGGCAGGAGGTCACGGGGCAGACCCAGGTGCTACGGGTCGACTAACTGAGATGACCGAGATGACTGGCTGATGCGCCACATGCACACACAGAGACACCAACACTCACTCACTGTCACACTCACTCACACACTCAGCCACACACACCCACACACTCACACACAGCGACACTCACTTGCACACCAGCAGAACTCTTTTCGAGCCCGTGCCACTCACACACTCACTCACCCACACACTCAACTCACTCACCGACCCAAACACTCACCCAACAACAACAGCTGCCGCTGTTCAGCACAAAGTGGTGATGACGTCACAGCAGGCTAGATGCACTTTGAGGCCACGTGAAGTGTCAAAGACTCGCTGACAGGTCACGGGACAGGCCCAAGTGGCATGGGTTGACACAAATCTGTGCGGACCTTTATCTTTGTGTGCGTGCAGGGAGCGGGCCCTGGGGCTGCCAGGACCATTGCTGGGAGCCATAATGTTGAGCCTGGCTGGGGCCCGTGCTGTGCTGGCTCCACTGTGGCCTGGCAAAGCTGGAGGGATCGGTGCCCTTGAACGAGTTTGTGAAGGTGTGTGTGAGTGTGTAAGTATGTGTCAGGGAGCGGAAGTGTAGCGGTTAGCGCGCTGCGCTACGAACCTGGCGACCCGGGTTCGATTCCCGCTCATGGCCAATAGCAGTGACAATTATCTAAACCAGTCCCGGGCCTCCCCTAAGTCGACTCAACCTCAAATTGAGTACCTGGTGCGGCGTGTAAAACATTTCCACTAGGGAGACAAAGGCGGCTGGGCGTGGTGCTGGTCACCCACCCCCTCGTGTGCCGTGCCAGCCTTCATAGGTGCTCGCTAACAGTACTTGCTTCTAGAGTATGTTCAGGCTCTACAGGGGATCCTTTTTCTATGTGTGTGAGCGTTTTTTTGAGTGGGGGAGCGGTAGTGTAGAGGCTAGCACGCTGTGCTATAAACCTGGCGACCCAGGTTCGATTCCTGCTAACGGCCAACACCAGTGACGAATATCTGAACCAGTCTTGGGCCTCCCCTAAGTCCACTCAGCCTCAAATGGAGTACCTGGTGTGGTGTGAAAACTGCCACTGAGGAGACAAAGGTGGCCGGGCATGGTGCTAGCCACCACCCCCTCATGTGCCATGCCGGCCTTCATAGGTGCTTGCTAACAGCAATTTCCCCAACAGTCTGTTAAGGCTATACGGGGAAGCTTTGTCTTTGAGCGTTTATCTGAACCGGTCCTGAGTGAACTCATCCTCACTTGAGTAGCTAGTCCAATGTGTAAACATCGTTACTTCACTTGGTTAGGCAAAGGCAGTAGGGCGTGGTGCTGGCCACCCACCCCCTCGTGTAACATGCTGGCCATCATAGCTGTTCAATAACAGCATTTGCCCCAACAGTCTGTTCAGGCTATACAGGGGATCTTTGTCTTTTGTGATCGTGTATGTGTGAGTATGTGAAAATGTGTGGGTCTATGTGACGTGTGTGTGTGTGTGTCTTGAGTGGTCGGGGTCATTCTTGCAAATGAGACGATCATGATCTCTTGAGTTCTGGCTAAACAAAATAAACTTGTGTCTATTGGCTGTGTGGAAACTGCCCGGCCTATTGCTCAACACGAAGCACTCGGTCTACTTGGCCACAGCTATGCCATCTCTTATCTTATGTTTGCCAGTTTGAACCATTCAGGTTGAACCAGGCTGGATGGTGTAAGGAGCTCACAGATTCTTGGAAGATCTGAACACAATCCCATCAGTGAGCTGCTCGTGTACTGCACCTGCCTTATTAATAGGTGCTCGCTAACAGGGTCTTCTCCAAATGCTCTGTGTGGACGATACAGGGGTCTTTGTCTTTATGTGTATGTAGCACTCGTGTGCCGTTACGGCGCATAGGTGTTCCCTTAACAGCACTTGCCCCAGCAGTCTGTTCAAGGCTACGTGGGGATCTTTGTCTTTGTGTGCAGCACTGTTGGTGCGGGGGATGTGTTGTGGTCAAGTGCCTCAGCTCCAGGCTGGGTCCCCACTCAGCGGTGACGCAGGCGGCCCCTCTCGTCCTTCCACGCCCAGCGCCATCTCGGGTAGCTCCTTCCTCCTGCCCCCACAGGAGCCCTGTCCCCCTCCCCGTTCCCATGTGGAGACCTATCAGGGGTGGTCTTTTGAATAGCCTGTGTCAGACCGCAGTGATAATGACATGATAATTATTTGATTTTGAGAGAGCAATCTGTATGCCGGGGGTGGCTCAGAGCACTATACACGGGATAAGTGACTTTGCGTCACATCTGACCTCAAATAATTCAACCCTCTGTGCCAGAGGACCCACAGATGCAGATATCACGGAGCTACCTCCGAAATACCTTCTTCAAAGTGACACTCTGGTCCACACACAGTAAAGGGCAGCACTTTCCCACCCCCTCTGCACATAACAGTCAAACAAATACGTGTAATTCTCAGAGCTGTAATTTCCTAAAATGTAGTGCAGAGTGAAATGTAATGGGTTTTTTGTGCGCATGAGACAGAGAATTCAAGGCTCAGTATGCGTACTCCTGTGTGTACCTGTGTGGACCGGTGTTTACCTGTCTGTGCGTGTGTATTGTGTGCATGCGACAGGGAGTTGCTGGTCTACAGAAGAGGGCCTGGTTCTCTATGGGCTGCCCAACGTCGTCATCAGATGAATGTCAATCATCTCAGCATCACTTTTTTCAATCTTAAGTCGCCAGATAAGATACAGCTTCAATGTCATAATCACCATATTACTAATACTATGTTTACCCAAAGAAGCCTCACTGAGTCTCAAGACTCTTTTTAGGAGGGTCCTGACAAGTGTGTAAAGTAGGGACCGATGTTGCTATGTATAATCTCAATTGAGTGATTTCCAGACAACCCAGAGGAAACCCATGCAGAACAGGGGTAGAACGTACAGACTCCATTCAGAAAGGCCTCTGAGTCTGGAATTGAACCCAGGTCTTTCCTGCTGTGAGGCATAAGTGTTCCACTGTTCCACCCTGCCACCCCAATCATCCCAATTTTGCACTACCCTCCTGAGAAAGAGCCTTCATACTTAGCGAGTCTTTCCTGAGTACACAAGCAAAATAATAATAATAAAAACAGGTGTTGCAAGTCATTTCCATCAATCAATGCCAGGTCACACCATCCACTTGCATTGCAAGACAAAAATTCCACTTACAGCCTTTCACAGACTGTTGAGGCAAGTGCTGTGAGTGAGCACCTATAAAGGCTGGTACAGCAGAAGAGGGGTGGGGTGGCCAACACCACGCCCGGCCACCTTTGTCTCCCCAGTGGTGATGTTTACACACCGCAGCAGGTACTCATTTGATGCTGAGTTGACCTAGAGGAGGCCCATGACCGGTTTGAATAATCGTCACTGGTGTTGGCCGTGAGCAGGAATCGAACTCGGGTCGCCGGATTCGTAGCGCAGTGTTGCGCTAATCGCGACACTGCCGCTCCCCACACTTTACATTGCATACACACACACTCCTGTCATATCTGGATATCTGGACCTCACTGCACTGGATAGAATTCATCACAAAGGAATTCGGGTGGTTGATGATCCAGCACTCACTAACTCATACCAGGCACTCCCTCACCGATGATCAGTCACGTCTTTATCACACTTCCATCGATGCTGTATTCTGTTTTATTTTATTTGTTTCATTTTGGTGACCCAACTCAATCTTGCAAATGAGACTCATCCTGATATCTGGAGTTTTCATCCGGTTAAACAAAATAAACTTGAGTTACTCTTACTCAGGTTACTGTTCACGTGAACTCCACTTATTGATTTCTCCACCCATATTGAAGATTCTAATCCACATTATACAACCACCACGACACTGCAGGTCACAACATCACACTCACCCACTCACTCACTCATTCACTCACCCACCCACTCTCTAGGCAACTCATCTCACTACAAGTTAAAATACTTATCTTTTTGCTTCTTTGGAATTCCCTCCCATCGTCTCTTTTCTTCAGGTCTTATAATAACCTTGCTTTTTTCAGGAAATGTGTTAATTGCCTATTACAGCAATAATTACCTATTACAGCAATAATTACCTATTATATCTTGATTTGAAGCTTTCGTGACTGCAGGAATCTATACTCATTGGTTCTTTCGGTAAAGTCACGTGGGTCAAAACATAATTATTTCTCTACCTACGTGACTTTACCGAAATAAGCACAGAGTATAATTACCTATTATAGCAATAATAATCTATTACAACAATAACGTGCTGTTTGTTGCTTGTCGTTTGATGTTTTGGGATTTGTGGCCTGTACTCTACAACTTGTGTTTAAAACAACATACAAACATGAATGCACATGGCGCACACTAAAAATTGCATGCTGTGACACATGTTGCTTAGCTTAAAAGTTTCGTATAATATTGAAATAAGTAATGTGAAGAATACGTCTCCATTATCTTTGGGTCTTCCGGTGAAGTCACGTAGATAGGTTCAAAGAAAATAACAAAAAACTACGACGTTTCGATCGCAACACAAGCGGTCATCATCAGGAAAAGAGGGGGGTTAGCTTCTAAAGGCAAACTGTTTATAAAAGTTTGAGATGGGCTTAGCCCAAATGTCAGCAACTAATATTAATGTAAGTGGTGGGCAGCAACCACGACGGTGCTTGGTTTTCCACCAATCAAAGAGCTGCCAGGTGAAAATTAGCATACTCTTTGGTTCTTTCGGTAAAGTCACGTAGGTATAAAATAAAATAAATCACGACGTTTCGGGAGCAACACAAGCGTCCATCAGGTGGGAAGGCAAATTAGCATGTTAATGGGAGATCAGTGAGCGGCCTCTACAGCGCGCACACTGAGATGGCTCTGTTAATGTGAGAGATTAGCATGTTAATGTTAGAGGTTAGCATGTTAATGGGAGATCGCAGAGCAGCAACCTGGCTGTGTTGGTGTGAACCTGTTATTGAACATGTAATAAAGCTCGTTGAGACGACTTCTGGAATCCGTCTTTTATTCAACTTATGTTACAGTTACTTCACGCTGCTGATAGGCAGCGTGAGAGGGACAGATAGACAGAGAGAGACGCACTGCCACGTGTCAACTCGGAGCCCCGCTCCCGCTTGGCCCCCTTCCTCTGTTCGTTCCCGTTCTGACCACGTGTCGTTCATCTCCACCCCTATTTAATACCCGGGTCACATGGTACGTTTCCGCCAATCCTCGTTAGCCTGCATCGAATCTTCCAGGCTCCCTCGTCAGCTCCCGGGACCACGCCCCTAACTCATCTCCCCATTAGCTGAGGCCAAAGCCAGCAGACCCAATCCTTATAGCTGTCACCTTTCCATCACGTCAGGGCCATGCCCCTAGGCTTCCCCCCATTGGCTGTAAACCAGGACCGGCAGAGCCAATCACCATGACAAGTTGTGATACGTCAGTGAGCCGGATATATCCTCATATTACATTAATGTGAGAGATTAGAATGTTAATAGGAGATTGCAGAACAGCAACCTCGAGGTCAGCGCGCGAAGTGGCTGTGTTGGTGTGAACCTGTTATTGAACAACTAACATCGGAAGGTGGTATGATGGGAACATCACAGCCAGCTATGACTTAAACTGCTTGATAACAACCTTCCAATGATTGCTCAGTTTGTACCCATCTGCTCGGTTGAAATTGTGTCTGTATATACGGATGGCTTCATGAAAGAATCTTTGTTGATAGCCCGTGGGTTTGCAAAGTACCTTTGTCTTAGAGAAATAAATTTCGTGTGAGCCCACTGCATTAAAACAATGATCAGCCACGGCCGAGGTATTGGTCCAACCGTGTTTCAGATCTGTCTTATGTTCACGAACACGGTCCGAGACATGTCGCTTAGTTTCCCCAATGTAACTCCTGCCGCAGACACAGCTTAGTTTGTAGACACTGGGGTATTGCATGTCAGGGATCACATCCTTCACAGATGGGATCAGATCACAAATTGTATTTACTGTGTTAAATCGAACCTGGATCTTGTGTTTTCTCATGAGTTTGGAAATATTTTTGATGACCCCTGCTATGTATGGCAAGGTGATGGTTTTGATTGGGTCCTCAGATGGTTATTTCCCAATGGTTGGGGTGATAGCTTTATGGATTGTGTAGTCTGAATATCCATTCATCTTGAGAGCTTGGTGTACATGTTCCAGTTCACTGGCTAGGAGATGATGGTCGGAAATACATCGAGCTCTATGGTGTAGAGTTTTGATGAGGGAATTCTGGGATGGATGGTGGTGGGAGTCAGGTTTTAGATATGCATCAGTATGGGTGGCTTTCCTGTAGACAGTGTCCCATTGAGCCATCTGGTCTCTTTTCGATTAAAACATCAAAATATCGTAGCTTGCTATCCTTTTCCATCTCCATGGCGAATTTGATGGCTGGGTGTATGGAATTGATATGGTTGAGGAATTGGTTCAGAGCTGGTCGGCCATGTGGCCATATGACGAATGTGTCATCTATGTACCTCTTCCACAAGGACGGACGTAGAGTGGATGCCTGGATGGCATTTATCTCAAAATATTCCATGAAAACATTGGCTACAACTGGGTACGCGTCGACATGGGATGAAGTCTGGGGTTGTGGGCAGCGTAGAGTTGAAGGGTGTGGGGGGGGGGGGAGATGAGATGATTAACCTGCAGTGAATAGATCGAGTGTTATTTCCTTGAATAGCAACCAAGATGATAATGGAAGTCATCAGCCGGAGAGAAAGAACTGGATTGGACATATCGTATGAAAGGGATGGTTTGATACCGTACATTATAGAGTGCAAAAAATAATTTGAAAGAACGAGAGGAAGGCCAATAATTAGGATATCGGAGGAGCTGAAGGGTAAAATGTGGGAATGAAGAGGGGAGAGAACAAAGGATGGAGAAGATGATAGCGAAGGAGCTGCCGTTAAGGCAGAGCACCAAAACCAAAACCCCAATGGTTTTCATTAACACATCACTGACGTTTTAGGTCCTTACATGGCAAGCGAGCTACAATTCACTCCACGTAGCTCTTGTTTCTTGAGCTCTTTTGAACGAGCAATGGAGGACGCCCATCGGCTGCACAGAAGTTTAGCAGCTTCCTCCCGATGTTCTTGAGCTGATCTGGCCCCTGCTCTTCGATCACTCCGGTCCAAATGCTTGCGTCGTAACCCAACTCGGGCATCAAGTCACACAACTCGATTATTCCAAAGGGTTACGTTAGCCAGTACTTGGGACAGATCGTAGAGGGCATTTGGTGGCAGATCGTAGAGGGCATTTGGTGGCATAAACCACCACCACAATTTCCTGCCTGCTGTTGATGGGGAAGTGAACGCAGAAATGTCACGGTTTCCACACCTCACAGGTTTCCACCCACACCACACTCTCACGTCACCTTCACACTGCTTGTTTTTATTCGCAAGTGACACGTGTTGTTTGACAGCATATTTTCATTGATGCAATTATTCATACATACACACATACATTCATTCCTTCAATGATTAATTCACCCATCAATGTCTTCCTTGAGCTATACACTATTTCATTCAGTAATATATTAATACTGTATTCACATGTTTATGGATTGAATGCGTCCTTTTTTGCTGTATTCCTTCACTCATTACTTAGTACATTATTTAATTAATTGGTTAATTCTATTAATGTTTGAAATACAATTCTTGACAGAAGAATATATAGAGTGTGGCGCGGTTAGGCTTGAATCATAATTTTTACTTGTAACGTGCACAGTATTCGCTCTCAGAGAGAAAGACTCAGAGGCGTGATGAACCAGAGACAAGTGAGAAAGGCAGCCAGGGAGGTGAGCCAATGCAAAATCCCGCCCAAGCTCTGCGGTCCTCTATATATGAAGGTGTTATCGGCCAATGCATTTTATACGTGAGGAAATAAGCACCTGGATAAAACTCACGCGTGTGAGGGGGCAACAACTACATATCACTTTCAAATGGAGCAGATTGTCGTGGAGAGTTCGCTGTTACAGCCTTCTCCTGGCAAGCCAGGGTATGGTACCTCGACATCCATGGGGAGTTTTTTTGTGTCATCCACCAACCTTCTCGCCTCCAGGGCTGAAGAATTAAGAGGCCGTGTGGATAGCCACCACCCGATCTCACGGTGGTCACGCAGCCATTCCCATTGGATTAAGGCAGTCGGTAACTTAGCGGTTGGGTTGCTATTTATTTAGTTCTCTATTTTATGCATTGGTATTTCTCATAGCTGAAAGGAAAAAAACGAGATATAACTGGTATTGGCCAAACATCATAATGCTGAAAATGACTCAATTGTTAATTATACATCGCAAAATTGTCCAAGATTGCAAGTGGGCAGGACCCTCCTGAATCTTGACTCAGCGAGGCTATCCTGGGTAGTAAACAAGTGTCAAGAATAAACTGTGCCTACATGCGCTCCAGAACTTGCACAAGCTTCGTGTAGGCTCTGTAAGCGCTCATATCAGACCCACACTGACCATCCAAGTTAGAAAATATATCGTGTCCCGCCAGCGCCAAGAAAGGGGGATCCATCTTGTACGTGCAAGTCTGACCACCTTCACTTCAATAGTATGCAATGTGATGGAACCTATCATCAACAATCAGATCCTCGGTGATTATTAATTTTTAGTGGAATGCGTTGATGTCTGCGAACCGAGTCGCCCTTGAAACATCTTATTAGCTCAATGGATTTCGATTTAAAGCTTTCGTGACTGCAGGGATTCATCTTCTTGGTTCTTTCGGTAAAGTCACGTAGAATGGAAATAATAAAAATAAAACATAATAAAATAATTCTCACGACGTTTCGGCCACAATGCAAGCAGCCGTCCTCAGGTGGAGAACAGGTTTGGTTACCTTATTTTATTTCCATTCTACGTGACTTTACCGAAAGAACCAAGAAGCTCAATGGAGCTTTACTCGGGATATAAACGTCCAAATTCTGAGGTTCCATCAAAGATGATCTGCAGGTAACCTGTTCGCTAATGTATATCAGGTTTTGTGCTCAAGCCTTGAACATATTTGAAGTCTTATAATCATAGCCCGAGACATGTATAAAGCGTCGATCATGTCTGGTATCCCACATTAATTAAACCCAAAAGAACCTAACGCGTCCATCTAAGTGCCGTTTAAATATCCCAAGAACAAGAATTGGAATAGGTGACAAAGCCTTTGCATTGCAGCACCAACGTTTTGAAAAAAAAATCATCTCTGAACAATATATCCTGAAGCAGATTAGTGCTGGATACAGCGGTCACATTTGCAAATGTAACTTTGATCCTTACCTGTGTATCGATATCTTCTTGGTTCTTTCGGTAAAGTCACGTAGAAGGAAAATAATAAAATAATACAAATAAAACATTATAAAATAATTCTCACGACGTTTCGGCCACAACGCAAGCAGCCGTCTTCAGGTGTAGAACAGGTCTGTCGAGAAGGCAGAGTCTGAATGGCACGCCCCAGGCTTGGAGCGACTATTTGTGTATCGATAGTTCAATGTTTATGTGTTATTTATCGAGGGACTATGTGGTGTTATCTTGTTGTGTTGTCTGGGACTGTTTTGTTGTTGTTTTGCTGCCTTGCTCGATCATAGTAAATCGGACTTATAAATAATATGTATTTATATTTAGTGACTTGCTTAATATTTTCTCTATTTTGCACTCCTATCGTTTTTTTATTGTTTGCCGTTGTAATTTGCTGACCCCGTGCCCATACTGGACATGTGAAAAAATAGCTTCATAGCTCATTGGATTCCTCCTCCAGTTTAGATAAAGATTCTGATTCATTACAACACGACCATCATTTGGCATCAACGCTATTATGCAAGCCTGCTTTTTTAGCTTTCTGGCAGGCCAATATTTGTGGGAATTGATGGTAGCCAATCTGATCTTTATTAACTGTTTTGCAAGGATCTGTTTTATCTCCAACATCAATTTCTTTCCTTTATAAATCACCAATAAAGTGCCTAGACAGTATCTGTTACTGACTGGGGAGTGCATGAAAGTGATTGGAGATCACCATCTGGTTGTGACGTGATATTAACTGCATCAATTCGTGTGCAATTTGTAAGGGCGCGGTGACACAGACCTATTGCATTTAAAGGTGATAATCCCTTGTTCATCATGACGTCCTTTTTACTTCCATGTCTCAACAGCGTTATGGAGATCGCGTGACGTGAGGGTTCTGCCTTTGTAGTGAGGGTTCTGAGTTGACGCTGAGGAGGGGGGAGGCGCCTCGCCCCACCATGTGGAGTGATGTCACCCGCTAATTATTATTAACGATTATTAATGAGGGAGGCTGTTCGATGTGGAGTGACGTCACTTGCTCATGATTATTAATAAGGGGGGCTGGCCGACGTGGAGTGACGTCACGTGCGGGACACAAACATTCTTGGCTCATTAACACATTGTCCTGCGGAGGGAGCTGGTAGGAACGTTGGGTTGCTCGGTCAATGGCCAGGGTCAACGGCGGCGTGGTGTATTCCGCAAATATGCCCGACTGTGAGGGTGGGCACAAGCCGGCGTGAGTAGGTCAAACGTTGAGTTTTATAAGGGCACCACGGGGTGACCAGCCCCTCCCCACCCAGACCCTCCCTCCCCACCCAGCTCCTCCCTGCACGATGGACACAATAATCTCCTGTGGGCTGGTGGAACCAGGAGGTTCCTACCAGTATAATAGTAAATTACTGCGTAATGACAGCACGTGCCTCAGTGACTCTGGAAAGTATAAGTGCCTTGTGGTGTAAAGTCATGTCTGTCAGTGTATGTTCGTACCTGATAGGTGCACATGGCCTGGCACAAGCGTCGTGGTGACGTCAGCACCACTTAGTGGCGAAAGGCGGTTGTTGTTGTTGTACCTGATAGTGTCAAATAATGTCTGTGTCTGATAGTGCCAAGTATTGTCTGGTAGTGTCTGTAGGCCGTGCCTTAGAGTGTCTGGCACAAGCTAGTAGCATCTGGTAGTGTCTGGCAGAATCAAGCATGGATTGGTCCTGTGACCTCAGACAATGCGGTCTTTAAATGTTTAACTAGGCCTCTAAGTACACTTATCCTGGCACAGCATCACGATATCACCACTTAGTGGCGAACAGGGGCGTCTGTTATTGTTAGATATGTATTACAGTGGTCTGCTACGAACCTAGTTATCTGAGTTAAATTCTTGTCCGCTGCTAATATCAGACGTGAACAGTGGCGGCTCCTGCAAAATCTCTCAGGGGCGGCAAATGTCTGGATGATTGATAAGGATAAGGTCCACCCATGCAATGGATAAATTAACAGCTTAAGCATGTAAAGGCAACTTCACTTCTTTAATATTAATGAAAAATAAAGTGACTCTTACAATACATCTTGTTTGTTTCTATACTCACTATTAAAACAAACCACTCAAGTTTATTTTATTAAAGATTCCACTAGGTGGCCACAAATTATATTGTTGGATGAAACGTGCTTACGTATGATGACGTAAGCACGTATGATGACGTAAGCACGTTAGGGCGAGCCCTCCCGGAAGCCATAGAGAATGCATTGCAGCGCCCCCGTTCGAAAAAGAACATCTTTGAATGTAAGTCTATGGGGCCACTCGGGGCGATTCTCAGCCGGAGTGAAATCGCCCAAAAAGAGGCGGTACTCCACAGAACGTGACATGACGCTGATTGGACTATATCCAGAGGCTGCAGTGACGGCTAGCGTGACTCTGTGGTTGAATGACATTGGTGGTGCGTCGCCCAATCGCCCTAATGAAGAAACCGCCCCTGGACGTGAATTATATCTAACATTACTTTGAGGCTCCCCTATGTAGACCAAGCTTTAAATGAGTATCTGATGCGGTGTAAATATCAGCAATGGAAACACCAAGGCTACTGGGCGAGGTTCAGACGACACCACGCCATGATAGGTGCACGATGGTCTCTTTCCTAGGTGCTAGCGAACAGCACTTGCCCCAACAGTCTGTGTACACTGCACGGGTTATCTTTGTGTGTGTCTGCTCGTCATGTAATCTTTAATCATTGGGTTTTTTTTATTCCCGTGCGAGTGTTTGTGTCGTCGGTTACAGACGCTGCGTAAAATAATCAATCACAAACACCTGCTCAGTCAACTCAGTTCTTTTAAATTATACAGAAACACAACTCACACTTGCTCCAGTTTACACTATAAATACCAACAGATAAACCATGTATTATAGAACAATTAATGGCCCCCTGACAGAGCTCTGTGAGGAGGCCCAATTTGACAGTGCCCCATTATCAAGCTTCATGATGCGGCCCAGTCTCTGATAGAGGCTCTGTCATGGAGTCCTTTTAGGAAACTTGTCACTTATTACCGAGCTCCGCCAGGGGACCCAGTCTTCAATAGTTATCATGGAACTCCACAATGAGGTCCAGTGTAATAGAGAGCTCCGTGAGAAGGCCTAGTGTAATAGAGCTCCATCGTGGAGCTTAATAAGGAGGCCCAATGTAACAGAGAGCTCCATTCTGGAGCTACATGAGGAGGCACAGTGTAATACAGAGCTCTATAATGAAGCCCAGTGTAATGCAGAGCTCCATCAGGGAGCTCCACGAGGAGGCCTGGTCACAGTGCTCTGTTCATCCAGGTGAAACCTGTCACAGTGCACGGATCCTCCCATGTCTCCTCTCACCTCCCCATACCCCTCACCTCTCACCACATCTTGTCTCTCCTTGAGGCATCTCCTTTCCCTCCAGATGTCTACTCTACTCCTCGTGTCTCCTTTTCTCTCTTCCCCGTGTCTTCCCCTACCCTCCCCGTGTCTTCTCTCTCTTCCTTGTATCTTCCAATATCCTTCCCGTGTCTACTCTCCTATCCCCGTAACTACTCTCACCATATTTCCTCTCTCCTCCCCGTGTTCCCCACCCCTCCCTGTTGTGTCTCCTGTCTCCTATCGCTTCCCAAAGTTATCCTCGTATCTCCTATCTCCTACACGTGTCTGCCCTTCCCTCCCGTGTCAACTCTCCCCCCCCCCCCCCCGTGTCTCCTCTCCTCTCCCAGTGTCTTCTCTCTTCTTCCTCTCCCCTCCGCTCCCTGTGTTTCATTTTCTCCTCCCCGCGTCTCTCCTCCCCATTCCTCCCATACCAATGTCTCCCTCTTCAATCTCTCTATTTCTCTTCTCCCCCCCCCGCCGCGACGTTTCCCTCTCGACCTGTGTGTCTCTCTCCCTCTCTCGCCGTGTCTTTCTCCTCTATCCTGTCCCCGTGTCCCTCTCCTCCCACACGCCTACTCTCCCCTACACGGGGAGCGTCTCCTCCGCGGTGCCACCACAGTGAACCCGGTAAGTGCCTTTCCTCCATGCGATGTTTGGGTGAAGGAGAGCGGAGACGAAGATGTGCAGCGTCAGCAGCTCGCGAACAACCCACGCGGCTGCAAACTCCCTCCGCGAGAACGGAGGTGCGCCCCCCTACAACACAAAGACAAATATTCCCCGTATAGCTCATGCACACACGCACTTTCACACACACCAATTGACTCCCGTATTCTTGCTCACACAGACTGACACACACTCTCTCACAGTCTCACACGATTCCAAAGAACACAGGATGAGATGTTACTATCCTTTGTGCAAACACTTCCAAGAGTTCATGAACAGTGAGCCTGGTGAAATTTGGGGAGCACATCGTCAGTAGTGAACCTTTGGTTCCTAGGGTGTTTCGGCCTTTCATACTATACACCCTCCCCAAAGGCGGCCAGCGACAGGGTGATCAATCCTACGCTTGCGTCCCATTCCCAATTAGTCATAGGAGTTGCCTTGCTCACACAGACTGACACACAGTCTCACGCGTACTAACTCACATGCTTTCTGACACACACTCATTCTCACTCATTCACCATACTCACACTCAATCCCACATACACAAATAAATACACTCACACGAATTCTCACGCTCTCTCATGCAAGCTCACTCTTACTCGCTCATTCGCACTCACTCTCACCCACACTCTTACCCGCTCACATACGCAACAACGACCGCCATTTACCACGAAGTGGCGATGATATTACCACACGGTTTATGCCAGACTACGTGCAATTTGAGGCCAAGTGAAATGTCGAAGCCTCGCTGACAGGTCACAGCGCAGACCCAGGTGTGATAGGTTGATTGATGGAGATGACTGACAAATGCAACACCTGTGCTTCCCACTGTGCCAACTCATTGCTTTTTAGCCACCTGGTGCTCCGCTCGTTTTTGTGAGCGTCGCTCCTCTGCCCTCGATTGTTTTTGGAGGGCAACTGCCTCCAACTGCCCAGTAGTGTCTTGACACTACCGGTATCAGTTATTGGCAAGTCCAATCAGCTCCACATCCTCTTGTACTGCATCAGCCCATCTCTTCTCTAGCCGATGTCACGCCTGTTTAGGCCCTTCTCTAAATCCAAACAAAAGCTGCTTGGGCATGAGGGACCAAGTCAATACAGCCTTGCCTGCCAGAAGAGCTCACTGATGGAATTGTATCCAGATCATTGAGGTATAATAATAATTTAAATTTATAAAACGCCCTTAAACAATCTTTCTCAGGGCGCTATGCCTGGAAATGTGGAAATAGGTCAAATCAACCAAGGAAACAAGAAGTGAGGAAGACGTTTGAAAATAACTAGAGAGAGAAAGACAATTTGACCTCGAAGGGCGAGGAGCTCCAGAGTTTAGGTGCCGCAATTGCAAAGGCGCATTCACCACAAGTGTGATGCCGAGATCGTGGGACAGTGAGCAAACACAATCTGAGGATATTAATGATCTTGGTGGAATATATGGCTGAAGGAGGTCATGAATGTATGGAGGAGCGAGTCAATTTAAGGCCTTGAATACCAGCAAGAGAATATCAAAATCAATACGGATATGGACAGGGAGCCAGTGAAGGGACAGGAGCACAGGTGTGATGTGATCCTTAAAGGATGTACCAGTTAGACATTGCAATTCCAGATAACCCAACTAATACTGTGCCATTAAAATATGGAAAACGGAAGTCAAAGGAAGAGAAATTATTGGGGAGAGGAGTAATTGAGACCGGAATAGAGAAAAACATTTCGAGGAAGAAATGTTGGGGTGAATTACAGCCATTCGCCACTAAGTGGAGGTGATGTCACCACGACCAGACCACTCACGTGCACGCCGGTGAGCTGTGCGTAGTCTGCCAGAAACCAGGCCAGGATGTGCCCCAGAAACACAATGGCCGGGTCCCATCCGAGTAGTTTGTAAGATGCCCAGGATATGAGACACGAAGACACGAGACACTCGGACAATGGCTCGAGCAGTAGGGTCGCAGGGACCATCGTGAGACGCAGCTTAGTCCACCTAAGACACGGAGACGCGGAGACACTGTGACACAGGAACACAGAGACACTGGTATACTCAGACAAGCGTGTACGTGTTAGTGAGCTTATGTTAGTGTGTGCATTAGTATGTGTGCGTTAGTGTGTACGTTTGTATGTGCATTAGCGTAAGTTATATGTGGGGAGCGGTAGTGCAACGGCGACCCGAGTTCGATTCCCATGCACGGCCATCGCCAGTAACGATTATCATGAATTAGTCCTGGGCCTCCCCTAGGTCGACTCAGCCTTAAATGAGTACCTGGTGCGATGTGTAAACATCGCCATTGGGGAGACAAAGGCGGCCGGGCGTGGTGTTGGCCACCCACCCCTTGTGTGCCGTGCCGGCCTTCATAGGTGCTCGCTAACAGCACTTGCCCCAACAGTCTGTTCATGCTATACGGGGGATCTTTGTTTGTAAGTAATATGCGCGTTAGTGAGTGCACGTTAGTATGTGTGGGAATTAGTACGTGCGTTAGTACCTGATCATGCGGTTCCTGAAGGAGGAGATTGAGTAGGAACCCGGGTTCTGCAGTGCAACTTGGTGAGACATGGCGAGTTTCCATCCCCTATGTAGACAAACACAAATACACTCCTCTCCTTTCCCGTACATCCCATTCTTCACCATCTCTCTCTCATATCTCCCATCTCCTCCCCGTGTCTCCTCCCCGCGTCTCCCCTCTCCTCCCCGCGTCTCCCCTCTCCACCCCATGTCTCCCCGTGCCTCCCCTCTCCTCCCTGTGCGTGGCCCCCCTACCTGTCTGTGATGGCCTTGGCCATGAAGTAATCCTCCGCGAGGAACTTTCCAAACGCTTGGAGCCCCCCAGCGTCGTCCAAAACCGAGCGACGCAGCAGACAGGACATTCCCGTGACACAGCGCACCCCAACCACGTGTGCCGAGACATAGCTACGTGGGTGTGCTGTACCGAAATAAACCTGCATACAGAGAGAGAAGCAGAGACAGAGAGTGAGACAGAACAGACAGAAAGAGATTGGAAGACACACACTCTTGACACACACTCGCACACACAGAGACAGTGACAGGAAAAGAAAACACACTCATGCACATATACTAACACTTACACAGGGACAGACAGGGAGACGCACAAACGCGGTTACCTGCTCGAGTGTGGCTGCGAATCCACGTCTGTCAGCCACGTACGGTAGCCCGTGGACAAGACCCACATCCTTGGACAACTGCAAAACCATGTCTAACAGTGTGTCTGGTCTCACTATAGGGAGACACAGGGATACACAGAGACAGAGATACACAGAGACAGAGAGAGACAGACACATATAGAAACAGGGACAGAGTGAGACCATGTTTAACAGCTTGTCTGGTCTCACTACAGGAAGACAGACATACTAAGTCACTGTGAGTGTGTGTCTGTGTTTGTCTATTTACGGATAGCGGGAGTGTAATGTTTAGCACTCTGGGTTAGGAACTCGGAAACTCCAATTCATTTACCGCTTACAGGCAAAATCAGTGGCAAAATATCAGATCCGTTCTTGGGTCTTCCCTATGTCGACTCAACCTTAAACAAGTACCTTGCAAAGTGTGTATTTAACATCAACACTGCGGAGACAAAGGTGCTGGCCACACCACCGACTCATAGGTGCTCGGTATTAGCACTTGCCCCTACAGTATGTGTGGGCTATGCAGGGGACATTTACCTTTGTATTTGTACTCACCACGAATGCCACTGTCACAGATCCACAGTAGACTGTGTTTCGCAGACTCATACGCAGGCATAAGATTATTCACCTTGGGGTTGATACCCACTCGCTTGCCTCCTACACATACAGACGGACACAGAGAGAGATGCATAGACAGAGACACGTAGAAACACACAGACACACTCCTCCCCCCCCCCCCCATGTATCTCTTCCCTCTCTCCCCATGTCTCCACCTCTCTCCTTTCTCTCTCACTTTCTCTATATATTTACCTCATCTCTCTCCCAGTGTCTTGCTCCCCCTGTTTCTCTCGCCCCCTCCTCTCGCCGTGTCTCTTTTTTTTACGATCAGAGGAAACAAGAAGATGCTCGATGTAGTCGGCACTTTGCTTCGTTGATCATTTGTTTTTTTGTTCAATGCTTTGCTTTATGTGCCCCCCCCCCCTTTTTTAAATGAAAGATTTCACGAAAGATTTTACACTCTGCTCTCCTCCTTCTTACCCCTTCCCTCTCTCTGTACCCCCTCTCTCTACCCCCCCTCTCCCTCCTCTATGTCTATGTTCCCCCTGTTTTCTATGTAAAAAAAAAAATTACGACAAGTACTGTATCTGCACCCAGCCCTTCTCGCAGTCCAACGGCACTCAATACACCCATGTCTCTCTCCCTGTGTCTCTGATTCTCCCTCTCAGTGTTTCTCTCTCTCCCCATGTCTGTCAGTTTCCCAATATCTCTCTTGTGTGTGTGTCTCTCTCTCTCACCCACGAGGAGTTTTGCGTCCGCGTTCGGGTATTTGTCGAGGAGCTGCTGACAGATTTTCACCGCTGGGTCATCTCTGTCCTGCACACAGAGAAGAATCTCCACCTACACAGAGAGAAAGAGTGGGGAAGGAGTCAGATTGGCTATTTATTCATCACACAGAGAGAGAGAGAAGTGGACTATCTGCCTGTTAATCGCAAAAAGAGAGGAGACATACTGCCTGCCTCTCCATCTTGTTATAAACATTCTCCATGATGGCGCCTATGAATATTTTCGTATTACGAATTGTATAACTTTCCTCTCCCGTGTGACACTCTTTCTCTCTCTCCCCCTGTGTCTCTCACCCCCCCTCTCTCTGTCTCCCCATGTGCCTGTTTCTTCTCGTATCCCCATTCCTGTAAGTATTTCATGTTGAAGAATTTCTCGAAGTTGTCTCCCCGTGCCCCTGTGTCTCCATCTCCACATGTCTCCCTGTGTATCCCCACGTCTACCCGTGCCTCCCGATAGCCCCGTGTCTCTGTGTTTCCGTGCCTCTGGATAATCCATGTTGAAGAATGTCTCAAGATTGTCTCCGAGGTTTGGGTCGACGCCTTTGAGCGGCTTGAGGAGGGAGACACCAGGAAGACATGAAACAGGAACTTTATCCGGAACCTGCCTCCGCAGGTGGATGCGTCTGGAGAGACGAAGACACATGGAGACACACACAGGGAGACACGGTGAGAAACGGGGAGAGTTGGAGAGACACGGGAACACATGAGAGCACAGCGAGACACATGCCTACAGGGGATTATGAATGCATTATAAATGTAGTTCCTAAAATGCAGCAAGTTGGCACAGTGAAAAGCACAGGTGGAGCATGTCAGTCATCTCAGTCAGTCAACCGATGGCACCTGGGTCTGTCCCATGACCTCCTGCGAGTGAGCCTTCGACACTTCATGTCACCTCAAAGTGCATCTAACCTGGCACAAGCACTGTGGTGACGTCACCACCACTTAATAGGGAATGGCGGCTGTTTATGTTGTGTGTGAGGGTGTATGTGTGACTCAGCCTCAAATGAGAAGCTCGGTGCGATGTGTAGGGAGACAAAGGCGGCCGGACGTAGTTCTGGTCACTAACAGCAGTTGTCCCAATAGTCTGTTAAGGCTAAACAGGTGATCTTTATCTTTGGGAGGAAGTGTGAGTGCGTGCTTGCTTTTGTGGCTCGTGATAACATAGTGGTTAGCAATGGCGGGGCCAGGATTTTCAGGTAGGGGGGGCAACCCCTCCAGCAATGAAAAATGATGGAGGAGTTGTTAGTAAGGACTTGTCTCTTGCTTTTTATTCGACGCGTGTGCGGCGATGGCGCAGCCAACGATCGAGGGTCGAATTCGAGCCGTGTGTGATCGGCATCGCGCTCGCTGAAGGTGTTGATGCCTTCAAGGAAGTCGTGTGCTGTCTACGCAACTGCGCACAATTCTGAGTGACTTATAACTGCTTTGTCGTTACTTATTACCAATTATGGACTCAGACTGTTGTCCTATCATCTCATAGAGTCTCTGGCTCGTAATAATATGTTACATAGTAGTGGGGGTCGCAAAATGCTGATTTATTACTAATAAACCCCAATGACCCGATCGAAATGAGGGATTTCGATCGGATCATTGGGGGGGGCACGTGCCACACTGGATCCGCCAGTGGTGGTTAGCATATTGCGTGTGAACTAAGTTTAAGTTCCGCTGAGAGCCAAGATCAGCCACGAATATTGACGAATATGTGAACCGGTCCTGAATCTCCCCAAGGTCGACTCAGCCTTGAATGAGTACCAGATTGATGTGTAAGCATCATCATTGGGGAGACAACAGCGGCCGGGCATAGTTTAGGCCACATCAAACCAGCCTTGATAGGTGCTCGCTAACAGTCAATAATAATAGCCTGTTAAAGGCTATATCGGGGGATCTGTGTGTTTGTGTGCGTTTGCCCCGTATCTGTTTGCAAAACAAAGAAGCCCTACGTGAGATGAGCTCGCCAACCACACGCAAGCCCAACATCTATCTATCTCCCTGTCCCCATCCTCTCTCCTTCCCTATCTCCCTCCTCTCTCTCACACGTGTCTCCATCCACTGTCTCCCCATGCATCACCCCTCCCATTGTCTCACTATTTTCCCTCCTCTCCCCCCCCCATGTCTACTTCCTCTATCTCCCTTCTCTCTCTCTCCCCCCGTGTCTCTCTCTGCCGCATATTAATTATTTAAGATTTTTTGTGAAAACACTATGAACCTTGTAAATTCACCTGCGAGTCAGATTTCACACTGAATTAAAGATTAATGCTCCATGCGCGTATGCATTTGTGTGTTTTGGAGGCTCGTGAAGAACGCTCCTGGGCAGTGCCAGGCGAGGGGCACTTTTATGCTAATGGTCAAGTTGGAGTGACGTTTTGAGTGAGTGATTTGGTATTGTGAGTGTATGGGTGAGCGGGTACGTGAATAGGTGGATGGTTGAGTGGGTGGGTAGGTAGGTCAGTGGGTGGGTAAGGGGACAGTACATCTCCATGAGCTGTCACATGGTTAAATAAAGGATGGCAAACGCTATTCATTATTTAATTATATAATGCCTCTTCTGGTCGTGTCAAGTGACAGAATAAACAATAGCAGGTGAAGCAGCCTATGCAGAACAATAAGGTGGTAGTACAGGTAGCTCTGGTGATGATGCTGTTAAACATGAACACAGCCCAGCCAGCAGTGATGCGAATTACACATTCCTATGGCCAAGAGCTACTAGGCACATTGAACATTGATACAATTAGACAACAAGCGACCTGCAATTGTAACATTTTTACAGCGTGGAAGAGTAGACTAAATGACCTCTCTATAGGGGCTCTGAAGAGCTTCCTTTTGTGAAAGCTCTTCCGCAAACCGTGGCATTAACAAGTAATTTCAGTGCTGCACATTTTACCTTTTGACATAAAAAAAATAAGAAAGGGTTTACAGTAAACAAGAGTCAGGCAAGGCAAAACACAGCAACAAGGATAATCTCTCAAAAGTTGTATAAATAAACATGTGTATGTGTAATTGTGTAAATATAAGTTCGTATTTTTACAATGTTTTAATGTAAAAGCAACCAAATGCAACATTAACGTATACCGCTGAATCCTCCGGTATAAAGACAAATTCTTATTTAAATTATCGCTTGAAATAATATTCGGTTGCTGCTAAATAACGTGGCTGTTCTAAATGCTACAGTTAAAACTTGTTGTAGATATTGTGACTAACACGAAATGAAGGTTTTAACGTGAAAACGAGAGCTGTGAGTATGCAGTGCCGCCCGTAGAGGTACAGTGTGCGTGCGTTACAATAAAAGAAAACGAGACAAAGCTACACAATTAAGCCTGTGCAACTTTACGTCACAACACACACACACAATTGCACAAGAAAGCCTCGCATTAAAATAAACAAAACCGAAAGTGTGGCCGTGCGGCTGATGGGATGCGTGGCAAAAAACATTTTCTCTTTTTTTACGCGAAGGGACAGATATAAGAAGGCGCAATTTTATTTCACTTAAAATTCTCCTAAGATTATCATGCTTATTTTGCATGGACCCTGGGACCCTATATTATGCCAGAGAGCTACGTCCCTGCCTACATAAACTACGGCATTTGGTTTGAACGAGACTAACGCTGCTGCAGCAGCTGATGAGGCACGGAACGTGGAAACCGATGCCGTCCGCTCGTGTTAAAAGCAATAGTTTAAGCCTGGCTGCCGATGGGCCACAGTTTTGCTTATTTGTACTCTGATTGAACTCATGGTTTAAAAAAGCAAGCCCCTAATATATCCGATGTGATAGTGAATGGTATCGTGTCAACCCATAGGGTTTACCCCGGTATTCTTGTACAGGGAAATTGAGTTTTTAGGTCCATACGGCGTACAGCCGTTTCAATAGGGCAACACAAATGTTTCGACTTATTTGTTTGCGTTTCGCCCTTGTTGATGGGACTTTTTAGGATGCACGTTGATATTTATAAGGGGCACGGCGTGACCATTAAGGTCTGAATTGGTCTGAAATAAGGTAGGGCACTGATAAGGGGTGGACAGGTATGATGAATGCAATGCAGAAACCGATAAAGGAGGGTTTGTTGCGTTAAAATTAATGCCGCCGATCAGATACACTTACAAGAAGGGAGTGTGGCTGGCTGATGGGATGTGTAAACAACTACATTTGTAGATGTTTAAATGTGGAGAGACTGCTTTGTGAAGGGCGCATATTGTCTGTCCGCGTATCTACGTTTGTTCTGAAGTCTTTCTCGCATTGGCGGTGGTGGTTATCTCCATAAACAAGCTGGCAGCGGTGGAAAAATTCAACATGTCGATGGCAGAGGGGGGGTGTCCAGAGTTTTCTCTCTCCTCTCTCCCAACTGCACTGCTTCGTCGCTGCCGATTTGTCTTTTGAGTAAGCACCACCTTGTCAACAACCCCTTATCAGTGCCCTACGTTATTACAGGCCAATTCAGACCTTATTGGCCACGCCGTGCCCCTTATACATTTCAACGTTCATCCTACAAAGTCCCATCTCAAGGGAGAGAAACACGAAATCGACGTTTTTTTGTTGCCCCTATTGAAACGGCTGTACCGCCGTATGGACCTGAAAACCCAAGTTCCCCTGTACAAGAATACCGGGTACCAGTACCAGTTAAAAGGGTAAAAACCTATTACTATATTTTGCCACTGGTAAAGGAGGTTTCATAGTGTAAATGCTTATCCCCGAGATCTCAATACTCTGATAGGGCGCTGTTTTTGAGTTGTACGCCTTTTGGCGACATCTGGTCCAACACCAATGGAGACTAGGCTCTAAGAAAAGCTGTCTCGGGTGTGGACCAATCAACTTCAAGGACAGTGAATATCATTATCAGAGTTGTTTCTTTTTGTTTGCATTTAGACTGCTTGTGTTGTGGTTATTGCAAACATGATCCCTTGTATAAAGGTGTCCGTTTTTGTACCAGTTGAAAGGGTAAAACCCTATGACTATATTTTGCCACTGGTAAAGGAGGTCTCATAGTGTAAATGCTTACCCCGAGCTCTCAATACTCTGATAGTGCGCTGTTTTTGAGTTGTACGCCTTTTGGCGTCATCTCGTCCAACACCAGTGGAGACTAGGCTCTAAGAAAAGCTGTCTCGGGTGTGGACCAATCAACTTCAAAGACAGTGCATATCATTATCAGAGTTGTTTCTTTTTGTTTGCATTTAAACTGCTTGTGTTGTGGTTATTGCAAACATGATCCCTTGTATAAAGGTGTCCGTTTTTGTACCAGTTGAAAGGGTAAAAACCTATTACTAAGAATACCGGGGTTAAACCGTACGGATTGACACGGTAAGCCACCCCTCGCTGTGCGTTCTAAGTGGCAGCTGGCTGGTTTGTGTTGCCTGTGTTGCGTGTCCAGTTGTAGTAGCGAAGCGGACAGCGCTACGAACCCCGGCTATGAGCCGAGTTCGAGTCCAGCCATCACGACCAACAACAACAGCAGCAGCAGCCAGTGACGATAACCTGAACGAATAGCGTGATGTGGCTTGCAGTAAAAACATCGCCACTGAGTGGGGGAGACAAAGGCGGCCGGTGCGTGTGTTGCTTGACCACCCCACCCCGTCATAGGTGCTGCTTGCTAAGAGCGCTTGACCCCAGCATCATGTTCAGGCCAAAAGGTGGTGGGGGGGGAGTGTGGATCTTTAAACTTGAATAGCGTCAGCGATGCAGCACTGCGACAACTGTGCGTGTGTGTGTCTGTGCCGTGTGTGTGTGTGCTTTTGTGTGCGTGTGTGTGCGTGTGTGTGTCTGTGCCGTGTGTGTGCATGTGTCTGTGCCGTCTGTGTGTGCATGTGTGTGTGCCGTGCGCGTGTGTGTGTGTGTGCCGTATGTGTGTGCGTGTGTGTGTGTGATTGTGTGTTTGTGCCGTGTGTGTATGATTGTGTGTGCCGTGTGCGTGTGTGCGTGTGTGTGTGTGCTTGTGTGTGTGTGCGTGTGTGTGCTTGTGTGTGTGTGATTGTGTGTGCCGTGTGTGTGTGCCGTGTGTGTGTGCTTGTGTGTGTGTGTGCTTGTGTGTGTGCGTGTGTGTGCCGTGTGTGTGTGCGTGTGTGCCGTGTGTGTGCTGTGTGTGTGCGTGTGTGTGTCCTGTGTGTGTGTGCGCCGTGTGTGTTTGTGCCGTGTGTGTGTCTGTGCGTGTGTGTGCTTGTGCGTGCGTGTGTGCCGTGTGTGCGTGTGCCTGTCTGTGCCGTGTCTGTGTGCCGTGTGTGTGTGCTTGTGTCTGTCTGTGTGTGCCGTGTGTGTGCGTGCTTGTGTGTGTGTGCCGTGTGTGCCGGTAGTAGCTGTCGCCGCGGGGACTCACGTGAAGGCGATGGACACGAGATGCATCAGCCACAGCACGAGGCCCAACGCGAGCGACAGCGCGGCCACAGCCACGCCCGGCGCGAGCGCCATCATCGCCGTTACTCGCCACCACCTCCACCACCTCCACCGTCACCACCTCCACCGTCACCACCTCCACCACCACCGTCACCACCCCCAGGACACGCAGCCGGCACCCCCGAACGAGCAAAGAGCGAGGGGATCGAAGGAGCGAGCGAGCGAGCGAGCGCGCGTCCCGCACCGAACAAGACGAAAATAATGAAAGCGAATGGGGGGGGGCGAGGTGGTGGTGGTGGTGGGGGGCAAGGTGGTGGTGGTGGGGGGGTGCGCACACAAGAACGAGAGTGAAATGAGAGCGACTGCTTGAGAGAGAGAGAGAGACACGCGCGGGGTGGGGGGGGGGTGCTCAGCTGGGTGCCCGCACCGTTAGGTGACGTCACCGACCCAATCACCCCGCACACCGCGATCCAGCCTCGCGCGATGACGTCACTCGCAACAAGAGCGCGGTGACGTCATAACCACGGCAACAACTCCGGCGCGGGTGCGAACGTGCTCGATGACGTCATAACTACCGCCGGCCACTTGCTAACTACCCCGGGCGCGGGTGCGAACGTGCTCGGTGACGTCATAACTACCGCCGTCCACTTGCTAAACTACACCGGGCGCGGCTGTGAACGCGCGCGGTGACGTCATTCCCAGCGTGATGCAAGCGTCGTGACGTCCGCGGCCATTCGACGAGATGACGTCAGCAATCGCTGATTTACGTCGATATCTTCTCGGATGACGTCACGGTTCGCTTGTTGAACTGAAATTTAGCACTGGCAAGGAAAGCCTTGAGGATGATGCGATGTGCAACAAAAGAATATTGTAAAAAAGAAAACATAAATTATATAAATAATAATAGAAAGATTTTGGACGATTTTTGACCCCCCCCCCTCGTCACACGACGTCACAAAAAGTCAGTCTCCCCCTCAAATATGACGTCACAAAGCTCTGCCCCCCCCCCCCCCCAAAAACATGCTTCAAATCGCCTTAAACTATTGTCATTGTAGTGCGTATTTAATGTGGCGCTGCACTCTGATGTTGTAGGAGAAAACATTTATATAAAAAAAGTATATTTAATGAAGTAGAACTTGTCTATATTTATTTAAAGTTGCTCATTCTGATGTGACGTCACATTTCTCCCCCCCCCCCTCGTCACACATCGTCACAAATGTCTGACCCCCCCCCACCCCCAGGTGCGTGACGTCATTTATGGACGGCCCCTAAAACGTCTCCCAGTATTCAATTATGTCTCTACGTCTCCCTGTGTCAACGTGTCTCCATTGATGTCTCCCTATGTGTAAATGTATAGTAGCCGTCTCGCTGTCTCCCTGTGCCTACGTGTCTCCCTATGTCTTGGTAGGAGGGAAAATCCCTCAGCCCAGAAAACATCATGGGGCAAGGTGGGGATGAACCATGCTCGGGCTGCCGTGAGTGACATTTTGGAGGAAGTCGCCCCCCGTGTGAGTGGGCTGGCTGATGATCCGTCTCTATTTATGTCTCCCTATGTGTAAATGTATAGCAGCCAAATACTCTTTGGTTCTTTCGGTAAAGTCACGTAGGTATAAAATAAAATAAATCACAACGTTTCGGGCGCAACACAAGCGTCCATCATCAGGTTTCAGTTCGAGTTTTCATTTATTTGGTATAGCCCTGTGAGACATTCGGCTCTTGAATCGGGTGCAACCGCAGCAAACAAAAAACAAAACATGGTGGAAAACAGGTGGGAAACCTGATGATGGACGCTTGTGTTGCGCCCGAAACGTCGTGATTTATTTTATTTTATACCTACGTGACTTTACCGAAAGAACCAAAGAGTATGTTCCGTCTGTTGCGGATGCGATGTGGTCACGTCCCCTCCACTTCGTGGCGAATGCCCGCTGATCTCTCCACATTCCTAGCAGAGGTCTTGAGGCTCTGTAAATCTGACATGGGTTCCAGAGTTTACATCGGCGTCACTTCTTTCGCACCGTAATTAGCTAACCGTGCGAATCGGAGTTGCGGGAAAGATAACGGCTATTATGTCCCTATGTCTATTTTTACTTTTACTATTTAACGATTTCTTTTACCAGGTAAGGCCCACTGAGTTGTACAGCTGTTTTACAGAAGCGATCTGGCCACAAATGATAGCTCATAGCAATGGGCTATGTGTAAATCTATAGCAGAAAAATACTCTAAACGCATGATTATAAATGGAGGGGAAAACCGGAGGACCCGGAGAAAAATACACGCGACCACGGGGAGAGAGAGCATGCAAACTCCAAACATACAGCAGGCGTCAGGGTTGGGATCGAATCCGCAACCTCCTGCATACCAGGCAAGGTAGTTAACATCTCGCCACCGTGGCGCCCTCTCTGACTCCCTGCGTCTATCTCTGTCTTCTTGTCTCCGTGTGCGTGTCCTTGTGTCTATCTGTGTATAGTACAACGCATCAACTCTTAAGGCCTATTAATACTGGTAGGAACCACCTGGTTCCACCAGCTCACAGGGGATTATTGTGTCCGTCCGTCGTGCATCCAAAAATGGGAGGGGTCGGGCTGGGTGGGGAGGGGAAGGTGGGGAGGGGCTGGGTGGGGAGGGTGGGGAGGGGCTGGGTGGGGAGGGGAGGGTGGGGAGGGGATGGGTGGGGAGGGTGGCGCTGGGTGGGGGGTGGGAGGAGTGGGGCTGGGTGGGGAGGGGCTGGTCACCCCGTGGTGCCCTTATAAAACTCAACGTTTAACCTACTCACGCCGGCTTGTGCCCGCCCTCACAGTCGGCCATATTTGCGGAATACACCACGCCGCCGTTGGCCCTGGCCATTGACCGAGCAACCCAACGTTCCTACCAGCTCCCTCCGCAGGAATGGGTTTAATGAGGGTTCTAACAGAGATAGAGGCGCACACAAAAGCGTATTGGAGTACTTCTTGTTACAGCCTGTGTCCACCAGACGGCGACACATCATATCGCACATGACACAGACATCAAAATTGAAGTAAAAGCAAAAAATTGCCAACAAAACGCCTTCACATATCTGTCCCTCCAAGTGAAAACCAAAAGTCGTTTGAACACATCACATCTTCCTCTTCGATGTTCATTATCTCATCAGCAGGGTCTGATTCGAAGTGAAACCTCTGCTTCCAAACCAAAGCTGTTACATAGAAACAAAGATCCCCCATATAGCCTGAACAGACTGTTGGGGCAAGTGCTGTTTGCAAGAACCTTTGAAGTCCGGCACGGCACATGAGAGGGTGGGTGGCCAACACCACGCCCGGCCGCCTTTGTCTCCCTAGTGGCAATCTTTACACAAGACACCAGGTACTCATTTGAGGCCGAGTCGATCTAGGGGAGGGCCAGGACCCGTTCAGATAATCGTCACTGGTGTTGGCCGTGAGCGGGAATCGAACTCGGGCCACCGGGTTCGTAGCGCAGCGCTAACCACCACACTGCTACCGCTCCCCACTATATACCTACACACAGCCGTACATACACACACAACTGTGGCAAACACGCATACTGCAGGTGTGTTGAATATATTGAAAAATCACGAAAAAATATATTTTCAAAGCTATTATTATACAGCCCCTATGTCGACTATCAGAGATAATTACTCCCACATCTCAAGCTCCGTATCATTTATATCAGGACAGCAAATAGGATGGAGAAAGGTCATTCGTTATAGCTGGATTTTAGTTTTCTCCGTCGTATGTCTGGGGTTTCTCCAGACAGCCCCGTTTTTTTCTCACACTAAGAAAGTCACAGAGAAAATATCCGAATACTCTTAAAAGTGGAGTGTGCTTGGCATGGGCCCTGGAAATTCAAGGGGGCCCTCCCCTGTCCAATTCTCTCAGTCTTTAGAGCGCTGCGCCTAGACCCTTGGTGCAAAGCCTGCGAGTCACTGTCTCCTCCAACATGGAACCTTTCTTGCCAGTATCAAAGTATAAGAATATGTTTTACGCTTTCTGACACAATAAAACAGGTGTTAAGATCTTCAAATACCAAACAGAAACCTTTGCAAGGAATCATGTCTGCATTAACCACACATACTTGTGATTCGATCAAAATCCCTAATTTCGATCGGATCATTGGGGTTTATTAGTAATAAATCGGGATTTGGCGACCGCCACTGCCACTGTGTAGCATATTATAACGTGCCAGGGACTCTATGAGATGATAGGACAATAGTCTGAGTCCACAATTGGCAATAAGTAACGGCAAAGCAGTTATAAGTGACTCAGAATTGTGCGCAGTTGCGTATACAGGACACGACTTCCCTGAAGGCATCAACACCTTCAGCGAGCGCGATGCCGATCACGCACGGCTCGAATTCGACCCTCAGCCGTTGGCTGCGTCGAATAAAAATCAAGGGACAAGTCCTTACTTACTAACAACTCCTTACTTACTAACAACTCCTATATCATTTTTCATTGCTGGAGGGGTTGCCCCACTACCTGAAAATCCTGGCTCCGCCATTGCTTGTGAACATGCAAACAAAAACACGCTCTGGTAATAAATGAATTGTCTTTGAAACTGATTGGTTCACACCAGAGAGAGCCGCCTTCTTTAAGGCCTCGTCTCAATCAGTGTTAGACCAGAGGACGCCAAAAGGCGAACAGCTATGTATATACGCATTGTCTTTGTGGTTAGTGCAGACATGACTCATTGCAAAAGGTCTCTGTTTGGTGTTTGAACATCTTAACACCTATATTATTGCCAGAAAGGGTAAAACCTATTCTTACAATTTGATACAGGCATGAAAGGTCCCATGTTGTAGCTGCTCACCCCTGATGCAGTTGCACCTCCAGATTACTCAATAGCCGTACCGCCGATCTCCAAACATTCCAAGCAGGACCCTCGCGAAAAGGGGGTCTCGAGACTCAGTAAATCTGACACGGGTATAGACGTAAAATGCTGCGCTTGCAATGCGCACCAGGCATGGATACGAAACAACGCACTGAGCCGTCACGGCTAAGATCGCGGATTCGAACACGGGTGCTTTCTCAAGTGTAGCGAGTTGATGGTCTCAGAATCGGTCACAACGATGACGGCAGGTTGGAATGTGGGGTTTCGCTTAATTTGAAATATCGATTGGACTGCCATGCCATGAACTTGTACATGGGGCATGGCCCCTGGTGTGTTTGATAATAAATAAAAACGTTACTTGCAGAGCTCTCCGAAGAAGTTCTGCGGTATCTCATGCCGGGGGAGTTCCACAAAAGTGCCTGCCTATGTGTGTGCTATGGGTCCCGTTTAAACCAGGTAGGTACAGGATGGTTCAGATGTCTTGTGATCCCAACTTAATTAACCCGTAACATTTTATTTTCTTTAGCATATTCATTTACATTTTAAA